TAGTGAGCAGACAACGCCTAATGATATCAATCTGCTTGCACAATAGAAATCAGCTTGTGCAACAAGACCTCCGATTTCCCTTCTCCCCACTGTGCCCCCCCCCAATATCTGCTTGAGAGAGACTGCCAACCCTCCAAAGCAGATTTTTGGGGGCACACAGGGAAGGAGAAACAGACCCACTCGTACTATGTTGGAACTCATTTCTCTGCACACTTTTGCCTCTGCCCCCCCCCCAACCATGGCCCCTTAAAAAGGGTCCCCATCCTTGCTCCAGATGTTGTTGGGACTCCAACTCCCATCAGTCATCACCAGCATGGCCAGTGACCAACAAATGATGGGAGTTGTAGTCCAACAACATTTAGAGGGCTATAGGCTCCCCATCCCTGCTATAAGTCCTGCCTTAAAAGTTGGAATAGGAATAATCAAGTACTTGGGGTGGAGGGAAGGACATTTTAAAGGGATTTAAAAAACCCACACACCATCATTTATGTTAATAAATGGTAAGAAACACATCTTTCTCCTACACAGATGTATCTTTGGTACTTAGGAACATAAAGGGTGGTAACATTAAGGCCTACAGCTACATTAAAATAAAGCCTGCTGCATAACTCTTTCTGTTCATTTCCACTTAACTAAAAGGCATCAACGCTAGTCTGTGTATTGTGTGTAGGTCAGCTTTAATGACCACATTGCAATAGTCCACCATCAAAAATCATCTATCTGCACAGCTCTAGTCTACTGTTTATTTAGGCATTATTAACGCAAAACTGTGTCACCCAGAATTAAGTATGCATTACCTGAAGGGCTTAGCTATTCCATGCGAGAGAAGGAAGGATAAACTAAGTCAAAAGAGCACTAAACTGAGGTAAATAATCACCCCACTGTAAACTGGATCCCCACTTTATTCTAATTTGCCTCAGTATAGCAGGGAATGGGCAGTGTTTTTCTTTTTCATAAAATTGTCCCTAATCAAAGTCACAAATTAAGCTACACAAAATGCTAAAAAGTTCTTCAAATCCCAAATATCAATTTGACATTTGTAGCAAGTATCCATTTTAGGTATCCAAAGAAAGGAATAAGCTTAAAGGACAGCCGCCATACTGTCTTTACACAGAAAGACAGTTAATACATAATTGAGTCCACAGAGGGATACAATTTCCTCAGAGTTCATGGTCCATATTTCTCTTCAAAGAACCACAAAAACTAATCAATATAATAGATTAAACAAAAGGGGAATTGCTGGTGTTCAGATATGACTGAAGTAAAAGGGCAGCATAGCAGAAAAATGACACAGATGTTGTAATAATTGGCAAATGATCCAGTCCTGTACCTTTATGCTGAAAAATCTTACTCTTAAAACTGATAAATTTCCTGCAGTGCGTGCTTAACATAAATTAACTCTTTCAAACTAAAAGAACTAAACACTACTAGCTTTAGAAATTGCTGTAAAATTTTGTGGAATGAAAAGTCTACTTACCATTTAAAATGATGACAAACATTACCCTGATTAGTTGCTTGTGGCATCTCAGGTCCTCCAAAATCTAAAAGCAGACCAAAAACAGGGAACTATGCCATACAGTTCTCATTTGCAATTGTCCTTTGCCTCTCCTTTTTAAAAAGTACTGCTTATGTTTTTTTCATCCTCTATCTGAAAGCACAATTTATCTCCCCTCTGCTGGTTTCTTCCACAAACCTTTCCAACCAGTAACCCAGTCCTTTGCATCTTTATTTTCAGAGTGAATTGGATTCCCACTAAATTCAATGGGACTTTCTCCCAAAAAATTGTGCATTGGATTGCGACCCCACTTGCCCAAACAGTGCATTGGATTGCGATCCTACTTGCCCAAACAGTCTTATAATACATCACACTGAAATATGAAGTGGACTGGAAATAATGAAAATGTATGACTATTTGTAACCAGCCACAGATACTTTCCTCCACCAACATCTACAGAATCAAAGTGAAGTAGAAAAAGGACTGGTTACCTGCCTCCCTTACCTGACAGGGGGATGTCTGTGTTGTCCTTTTTTCTTCTGAAGCTTGCGGTTAGCTCTGTTGCAGCATCTCTGAAAGGCTGGCATTTTCTCTGCTCTCAAAAGCTATCATTTAATGGCAGGAAAATCCTCTGTATCAGGGGAGGATTAGCAGAGACGGATGAGTTTGTCTTGTTCCATAAAGCTCCTGGATTGTTGACAAATCCATCAGCTTTTATTCCCCTCACACCCCCCAAAAATCAGACAGGAGCTGGCCCTCAGCCATCCCCAGCATTACAAAGGAAAACAACCCTCGGCCAGTGCTAGTTACATAAGGAGAGGCATATAATTATGTTTGAGGGCAAGCTTATGATTTTAGCATACACAGTGTCTGAGGAAGGCACACACCTGACTTCTCCTATCAAGGGAAAGTCTCAAAACTCAGCTGCCTGCCATAATCTGAACCACAACACATAGCAGTGGAACTGGATCTACCATTGGGCTGAGTGAGGCAACCACCTCAGGAAGCAGATGCTGGGACAGAAATGTGTCGTCCCCCCCATGTCTTTGAACAATGCCCCCACAGATGCAGTGGGAAAAATGCTGTCCAGCCACCAGGGCTGAAGTAAGAAACATTTCTGGTGCCAGATGCTGTTCTCTTAGCATGCACTAGTTGCACAACCAACCTGTTGCATAGTGGAGAAAGTGGCCATCAGCTGCAGTCATGCAATAGGACTTTATTTGCTCTCCCTGCCCCAGCATGCCTTCCAGATTGGGGGAGGGTGGAGCAAAAGGCAAAGTTCTGTTGTTGAAACATCACTTGCATGTTTGTGCTTTTCGGTGCATCTGCACCCAGTATTTGTGGGATAATCAGGCTTAAGCCTAATTAATGAAAGGGTTAAGACCATAGAGTAAGCTGTCGTGCCAGGTTTAGCTAGGTCACTTCTCCTCGCATTAGGAAGGTGATAAAGCCTTTGTTCTTCCATTCCATCATGCAAACTCTACCTCTAGCTTAGACCATGTGACTTAAGCAAGCCATCCTTGTGTTTCTATACTTTAGGAACTTTCACGACTTTGGAACCCCAATCTTACTGCTTGTCTTTTCTGACTGCTCTACGGAAAAGCACACGAATCTGACCTTTGAAGAGTTTCAACTTACCAAACCCGTGGTTTTTTTCTATGCTAAGAGAAGTGGAGAACTTTAGAAGCAACTGAGGAATTATTTTAAAGGTCTACTGCTCCATCCACTTTCCTTTGCTGTATGGTTGTACCTTGGAAGTCAAACAGAATCCGTTCTGGAAGTCTATTTGACTTGCAAAACATTTGACTTCCAAAGCGCGGCTTCCGATTGGCTGCAGGAAGCTCCTGCAGCCAATCAGAAGACCTGTCAAGACATTCGGCTTCCCAAAGAATGTTAAAAAATGAGTCACTTATGGGTTTTGATCGTTTGGGAATGGGAACGTTCGACTCCCAAGGTGTTGGGGAGCAAAGGTATAACTATATTTAAATCTCTGCTGAGGTTTTCTCACCAGAGTACTTGCCCCAAACCTAGATCTCGGGCATCTAGGGAATTATCTTTTTATTATACCCAATATATATTACTTTTAACCAGAAAACGAAACCCACACTATTTCCCTCCACCTGATGTACCAACAACACAAGGCACAGCCTGCACCCACTTCCGTAGTACATTAATACAAGTGCAATATGTAACAATGTTGCAGTGGATTCACATCCCCTAAGAGGAATGTTCCTCTTCTGGAGCCTTGTAGTACTTATTTCAGGGAAGCAGGGAACAGCAAGGTGTCAAGGGATGGATATAGTCAAAAATATATGGAGGGCACCAGGTTGGCAGTGTATTAGAGCGCTGCCAGCCCTATCCCCAAACACTTTAGTTACTGAGGGGGTGGGTTAAGAGTTCTTACCATAAAAACGCAGCTTATTTCAGGTAATTTTTAACTCAATGCATCATTTGTATGAGACAAATACTTTAATGGCTTCCTGGCAGACTTGTCTTCCCAGGCTTTTATCACGTCTTAATTTTGTTCTTTCTTCCATTGTTGTATCGTGCAATTACATTGTAAACTGCTCTGCTAAATTTTATACTGCCAAGAACAGTAAAGCAAACTAAAACTTCCAAGTTAAGATTGTGAAGATCACATTTCAATTACAGAGCTTTTTAAAGCTTGACACCCTATAATCTCCAACCATTCTCAATTTGTCTGAGCTGCTGTTTTCAGAATGACTTTTGGAAGATTGTGCTTTCTCTATTGGAAGTTACCCTCGCCATCTGCAGTCACTTACTCCAGCAGCAATCTCAGGGGTTAAGTACCTTCCCGTACCAGGTGTGGACACAACTTTATTTCAGCATTTTATTCCACCTTTAAGTAGTTTAATGCTGAAGTTTCAGGTACTTTGTTTAAACAGAGATCTGTTCCACATTTAAAGATAGAAAAATTGTATTTTAATGATTTAATAATAAACATTCAAGGACCTCTGAATTGAAAAGGGCACTTGAGCTAATTGAAACCACACTTATTCCTTTTCACACCCTTCAATTACTATATGGACATAAAGCATATAATTCTGGAAATATATTGGGGTGAATTCTGACTATGAAAGTGTTTTGGTGTTAAAACTCTGAATGGCATGCAAGATCATTCTGCAAGGGGTTAAATCCACATACCACTGATCAGTTGTTTGGGAGGAAAGGGGTTTGGGGCAAAATCTATTATCTGATCAAGCAGCCATTTTTCTGCAGGTGGGAGGAAGACCCACCACTTGAACAACATCCCCACATTTAAGAAAACATGAGGCAAAACAGGCCACTAGGTCTGGGGGACCAAGCAAAACAGCTACAAGGGGCTGTTCCATATAATGACCTTTCCTAGCTAAATGTGTGAGCTGCTTCTATTAGAAACTTGCATCTGTGGCACTTAATCATTACTGATTGCAGTGAGACACCCCCAGCTTAACAATGAAAAAGGAGAAGCACATTTTGTCACCAAGAAAAAGACCATCATCATAAAGTGCATTTCAACTTTTTATTTTATTAAAATTGAGAGCAATGCACAGCACATGCAGTGCTAGCATCTAAACTAATACAATAAGCAATTACTAAACCTACAGTGACTTGAAGTTCAAATCTTTACATTCAGCAAGTTTAAATCCGTTCATTGCATATGATTAAACCCATTCTTTGCATATGATTGAATCCTTATCTGAACTGAATAATATTGCTGGCTGTAAAACTTGCTAAAATGCTATTGCTGAATGTACAAGTCACTGATTATGCCAATACAACAAAGATAACCACATGTTTTGAGGATTGCAATGTGCCAGACATTCACTGAAAAAAAAACCACACAACTAAACAAAAACTCACGCAACAAACATCTGAGAATCTGGACACTTCACGTCAGTGTTTTGAAGTGTTTCATTAATATCTTAAGACAAGTGTATCAAAACCTTGGCATGTTTAATTTTAAAGTTGCCAATTTTTGTTTTACTATCAGAAAGTTACGGCTACATTGCCAATGCCGGGTCTGCTTAATTTGACTTAAGAGTTTAATATGACTTAAACATTAAAAGCTCACACTACCCCGAAATATATAATTTCACGCATACGGTGACATTCAACATTCAAGTGCCAGTGTTTTTGTACTGTCTTTTGGTCAAGTTTCTTTAAACTTTCAAAGAATCACTTTTAGGCTTACAAAAATAAATATTTGTCAAAAATGTTCAATAAATATTACACAAAACTAGCAGCAAAAAGTATCTAGAAATCTGTCGTGTGCAAAGTTTTCTTCCCAACCATTATTCCCATGGTCCCAGTTTTAGAATCTAGTTCCTCCTCCTTAGACAAGCTGCGTTCAGTCTCCCAAGAGACAAAATAAGATTGGAAGTTAAGGACACGCACACAAGACATATAAAATTCTCTGAATGTGCAATAAAAGAAGTATTTTGTAAAAAGTTATGGGCAAAATGTACAAGGGCCTAAATCTAGACTAATTGAAATAGCACCATAACAAATGACCTCAAATACTGTCAAGTGCACCTACTTAAAGTTTAGAACAAGGCACAATACACTTGAAAAGATCTATTGCACTTTAGGAGATTTTGCTGTTGTCCTATGCCACTTAGACTAAGAGTTGGTAACAGCTCTGGCCGCAGAAGATAGCTCAGAGAAACTAAGTGGCAGAGGCATTTTACTGTTGGAAATACTTATCTTTGGCCAGATTCAGCATAACAGACTAAATACAATGGAAACCTATGCAACTAAAACTGACTAAAACTGCACTTGATAGCAGAATTGAAACCTTGTGCAGTTATGTACATTCCAACCTTTGTGATCTCAGAATTTGTTACTCTTCTGGAGCCATTTTACAAGTCTACAGTAAGCCAGTTAACACTTCAACGCAGCTTGAACAGAGTAATGTGAATCTGCATTAAAATAAAGCCTGCTGCATAATTCTTCCTGTTCATTCCCCCTTGACCAAAAAACATCAACACTAGCATGCGTTAAGACCAAAAAAATCAGTCAGGCCCTTAAAAGGTGGACCCATCACTGTTGTGGTCAGCCATTCTACCATTTCAATTTTAATATGGCAGGCAATTTTGAAAAGTCTAAGTAGATGAATTCTCCTAAAAACTATTTCAAGTTCAGACCTTTAAACATTCCCTGTAATGTTCCGCCTCCATTTGGCTAGCTCACATTAATAATCTGCCTAAACACTGGAATTGCTGTGTTTACTTGCATTAACTTTAAAACAGTGCTTGTATGCATGTATCCATACATCACTTCATCATCATCATCATGACTGGAATGGCTTATTAAAGACTATCAGGTTCTAAGTACCTATCCAGGATAGAGTGAGCAAATCAACTTTAACTTAGTACAGTTTTGCCACATTAGAAACTAATTCCATTGATATGCTTCAAGATGTTTTATTTTTTCAAATCTGAGTATCAAAGCCCTAATGCAGGCCACCGCACAAGTTTTTTTTTGTAGTATAAAGTGGATGAATCAATGATTCCTGTAAGTTGTATCACACCTGCGTGCCAAGGTTTGATTTTTTTAAAGCCCAAGTAGAGTAATTTTGTCAAGACAATTGATAATCTTGGGCATTACTGAGCCAACAGGACATCAAAATAAAAAGTTGTCTAAAGTTAAAGGCACAGTACATTAACAAATGATCCTCAGTCACAAAATTATAAATACAGTCTGGGAGTAGGGGGGTGGAGGAGTTAATCTCAACTACAATGGAGTCTTTAAACCTTCAAAGTAGGGCTTCTGTTCCTTTCCTTCTTCTTGTGACCTTGAGCTCCCTTAAAAAAAATTCAGTGGAGAATCACAGCTGGTAATGTACTGCGAGTTCTTGAAGCTACACAAGGTATAGTCTGGCTAAGTTACATGTGGTTTCCATATTAGCTTGTTTGGTAAGAATCTGCAGCAAGCAGATCAGTTGCCCCACCAATCTACCCCCTGAGAGTTATAGTTTCCTCCGTATCCATCACTGTTATAGAAGCCGCCATAGCCACCACCTCCACCTATTAAGACAAAAAGGCAAGAAGAGTTTATGACCAAGTGAATTTACCTTTACAATCTTATTTTCTACAGTTTGGGAAAAACCCAAGAGTTTAGATTTCCCCACCACCTTCCTTCATTCCAACAGCCCAAGGCACACTGTGAAATGAAACTCACCTCCAAATCCTCTGCTGCCTCCATGGCCACCGCCACCACCACTGCCACCGCTGCGCCCACTACTTGTGCGGCTGCTGCCAAAGCTACTGCTGCTGCTGGTACTGCTACTTGTTCGATAATCTCGGGCACCAAACCCTCCACTGAAACGGCTAGAGGAAAGAACAGCAACAAGTTGCAATTAGAAGACCACAGTTCCTTAAGTATGCTATTTAATACATTTCCTCATTCACTGCCCTTCATGTTGCTACATCAGGAAATTCAGTTAATCAAACATCTTAGCTAGTTCTTCAACAATTGCCAGTCCCTTGGCTAAAATTATGTACTATATTAATTTTTAATGTTATGTATTTCATTTTCAATAAAAGGTATTTCGGGAGAGGGGGCGCCAAGCAAAGCAATGCTGGCCCCAATCCGTTTCAGAGCCAGTATCTGAAGAAATGCCCACTTCCACATAAACCAGCCTAAATGCCTCTGGCAGCCCCTGCCTTCAGAGGCTGGGAGAGAAGCAGCCAGATAAAGGGCCTTCACAGCTGTGGCTCCCAATCCGTAGAGCACTCATCCAGCGCAGAATTGTGTATTGCCAGGTAAAAGGGAGTCTCGTATAAAGACCCAAGCAAACAGATCTGTTAAATCCACCTTGCTGCTTCAAAGTAATAGTTTATAAATGTTCGAGTTACAAGCCACCATGAGAGCTCTAGAAATTGAAGGACAACCATATTTCTCCTAAGATCTCCGCTGCTGATTAATAATAAAAATTAACTATTTTGATGGTGCTTAATAATGGAATCTTAAGAATTGTGTTACACCAAGCACCTTCTGCTGAGCAGGCTTATTATATGGGCCATACTCCACTAAAATATCATTTCCCCAGAGCCAGCGAGGGCAATGGTTTCAATTTTTTATCATGCTGCTCCATGTGTCCTCTTTTAAAAGCAACCTCTCCTGGCTAGTAATTACTATTCTTCTCATCCTGCAGAAAGGAAGAGCGCTGTCTTCCACTGAAGGGCCAAAGGGAGGAATACAGAAGTAAAATATTATACTGCTATATGGAAGTCAAGTATTTTGCTTTGACGTTGGGTATCATTCCAGCTCATCTACATGACATCTAACTGCTTAGGGATTAACTCAACTTACCCTTTTGATCGCCCACGACTGCTTCCACCCTTGTGAATCTGCTCATATGCCATATTTTCTAGCCAAGATGGTACTTCCTGTTTAGCTTCAACAAGTAGATCTAGCAAGTCTTTTGTGATATTTATGTTCCTCTCATTGAAGAATGATGTGGCAAGACCTAAAGAAAGAAATACAGCATATTAAGGCAAGGTAAGGAAGCTGTATGTTCAAAATACCAAGAGCATGGGTAAGACATATTCCTGAGTGCTCTCCAATTACAAAAACTTTTAATTACAGCAGTAGCTGAACTGTAAAGCAGCATTCAAGAAATTTTGCACACAGGCGTATAATGACATCCACCCTTTCCCACATTGAGGTAATCTGCCGTGTGCTTTGCAGGAATGGGAATATTTCATGTGAATCTTTCACAACATGCCTCTGTTAACCAAAGATCTTCTGCACAAAACCAGTTCTAGTCTACTCAGTTACCAACTTTTTCATACTCAAAACATGCTGATGGAGTTTAGTGACATTAAAAGTCCACATAGTATGCAAACACAAATGCTTATACCACCGTGGAAGTTTTATCAAGGTGTTGATGAAGAGTGTCTTACCAAGATTCCCGACACGGCCTGTACGGCCAATGCGATGCACGTATTCTTCTATGTCACTTGGCAAATCAAAGTTTATGACGTGCTTTACATTTGAGATATCCAATCCTCTTGCTGCTACCTAATGAAGATAAAGAGTCAGCCATCAGCTCCCCATAAGCTCAAACTGCAGTGTAAAGAGCCAATACAAAGACACAAGCATTTTCTTAACCAAGTCTATACTTACTGCAGTGGCAACCAAGATGGGACTTCTGCCTGAACGGAACTGGTGCAATGCCTCTTCCCTGTCTCGCTGAGAGCGATCACCATGGATGCTTGTGCAAGCATAGCCTTCGTGGTAGAGGAAATCCTCCAGAGAATCAGCCCCCTTTTTAGTCTCCACAAACACCAGAGTCAAGGAATCTTTTCCTATGTAAGCGAAGCATCTCATTAGCAAAACAATGCCAAATCTATTGTTATAGCACCACCAAGTGGTGCAAACTAGTATTATGACTGCAACCATAAAAAAATAACAACTTTACTAGTCAAGCTAGCTGCATGCAGATTAAAGAAAAATATTCAAATATAGGAGAAAACAAGGAGGAAAAGTCTGAAGCTTTTCCTCCACCTAACATAGATTCTCATTACCTGAGCCATTAGAGTTGTGTTGGATTTCTCCCAAACAGTCTTTACCTGTGGCATTTAGGAGGTCAAGCAGAAATGACCGTTTGTCTGACTCTTCCACCCACACTACTTTCTGTGTGATGTTCTCAGATGTAGAGCCAACTCTGCCAACAGCCAGAAAGATATATTCCTCCAAGAAGTCACGAGCAAGCATCTTCAAAAGAGAGAACTCTACTCAGTATGAGAGACAATTAAATAATGAATCCACCCCCATTAGACTTACCTATAGCTATAAGCTTCCATGGACGCATACAAACTAGGTGTTTCTCTCCATATTTTAAACTAGAAACAAAGTATTCGGGCGGGGGGGGGAATACTTAGAATTTTTCTTGTTCTCTACCTATGGTTAGCTGCCTACAACAGCAGCTGCTTGCTGGGTTTGAGTATCACCACTTCTATAGTATGCTGACTCACTGGAAATGGGGCATTCAACTACTTTGCAAAACAGAATACCTGAATTTCCTTTGGAAAAGTAGCACTGAACATCATAGTCTGACGGACACCTTTGGGTGGCATAGTGTCTTGCTCAACAATACGACGGATTTGAGGTTCAAACCCCATGTCAAGCATACGATCAGCTTCATCCAGTACCAAGTATCTGGAAGGTATTATAAGACCACATTAGGATTTCCAAGATTCCATGTTAATATGCTGCTGTCAAAATGCTAAAATTATTAAAATATTATTTTCATACTTGCAAAAGTCCAGTCCAATCTTTCCTCTCTCCATCATATCTACAAGACGACCTGGAGTTGCTACAAGCAAATGGCAACCACGTTCCAAGTCACGTATCTGTTGACCAATGTCGGCCCCACCATACACGACGCAGGGGCGGACTTTGGAGCGATATGCAAACTATGGGAACAAAATTTAGTTTTAGAATTCAAGACTTGAGATATCAAGTTCCTAGGAGCACAATACCACAGGGCTGGCTAATCTACAGGCCTCATGTGCCCATCCCCCTTGCCCTGGGATTTTTGCAGATTCCCTCACCCCAATTTTTTTTTTGTTCTTTTAAGATTTTTCTTGGGGGGCGGGGAGAATCAGTGACCACTACTGCTGTGATTCTGTGATACATGAAAGTTTTTTAACCACCCACCCAATTTTCCTCTTTTAAAAGTTAGCAATTTGTCACTTGCACCTTCAGCTCCTGTATTGTTAACCATAGGTCAATGTGGCTGTATTAGCCACTCCCTGAATAATACTTACTTTTCTGGCTTCTTCATATATCTGCACTGCCAGCTCTCTTGTGGGAGCCAAAACGAGTGAGATGGGATATTGCTTACGGCGTCCATACCTTCCGTTTTCCTGCAATATTAAGTCCTCATTACCAGCTGGAAAATAAGCTGCTAGTAACAGTTATTTCTCAACACAATCTGCTACCCAAGTGTTTACACCTTTTACTCTGCTCTTTCCATAAAGCTTTTTAAAGGTTGTGGTCTGAATCCTGCAGTGTTCATGACTGCACCCAGGCAGGAGAACCACAAGCTGTGCCAGTAACTATTAGCATCACAGCTATTCTAGCAGTGTGACTGTCATCATAATCAAGATGCTGGCTACAACTGAACCTAGACCTACTCTGGGTAATTCTGTGCAAACTCCATCCTGATGTGTAAACTTATTTGATGGCAGTGTCTTAAAATCAATTCACCTGCTGTTATGGTGGAACCTGTTCTAGATGGGGTTGTTGGGGAGAGGTGCCTGGCACAATTATCAACTTTTAGGCAGTAGGCCAACATTTCGTCATTTACTCTGGCATTTGATTCTTATACGCTATAATGGTACCCTAGCCTGCTTTAATATTTATCTTTTAGTGGGGTGCAAAAAAAAAAAAAATCCATCCTTTCTACAATATTGCAGGATGATTGCTTTTAGTAAATTATGTTGCTTTATGTAGTAAGCGATGAATAAATGTAATAAAGGGTATATTTGTACTCAAGATCTACATTTTTCAGCAATGTAACAGAGATGGCAATGCGCACAGTGCTAAAATGAAGTACTGCATTGTTTGTTTAAACCAGATATAATGAACTTGCCTTCATGGCTCTGAGGGCATCACCTGGGCCATCTGTATATATCTGACTCAATATGGGCAGAAGAAATGCAGCAGTTTTTCCAGACCCTTTAAAAAAAAAAAAGACATTTAATCTTTAAAGCAATGCAAAAACCTTTTCATTCCATAAATCCCACCCAAATGTTATGCTCCATCCATCCTGTACTCATTTCAAGTTAATCTGAAACTGGCATTAAATTTAGGGTGGTATTTTAAATCCTAATATACATTTTACCACATTATCGGTGTCCATGTTGTGCTAGAGTCAACTGCCAGTAAAGGGAATGGCCTATCCCTCACTATGTACACCCAAGAACCCTCAATTAACACCCCCAAATTTCTCAATTAGAACACTGCAGTAACACATAGCCAACACAAACTTGCCTGTCTGGGCACAAGCCATCAAGTCTCTCTTGTCTTTGATGATAGGGATAGCATATTTCTGCACTGGAGTAGGCCGAGTGTAGCGGGTGAGTTCAATGTTCCCCATAATGATTTCTCCCATGTCAACATCGCTGAACTGCAACAGAGTTCAAGTTATTAAACAACCTGGTAAAAGCCCAAAAAGTTTGCTTTACACTCAGAAGAGGGGAAGGCAGAGGATAGGCGGAGAATTGCCCCTCATTTTCCAGCATCTTGCTAAAAGGCTGGATACCAACAAGTCTTGCAGTGGGCTAATGCAGATGGAAGAAACTTCCCATCTTCCTCACCAGCCCATTTGATTCTTATGTAAGATGGCATGTCCCCTTCCCTTTCTTGGTATCCCCTTTTGTTTATGCTGAATACAAAGGCAGCAAAGCATATTTCTCAAAGCCTAACATAAAAATATAGTGTGCTGCTGGAGGCAAGGAGAGTTATGTTCCTCCTCCAACATCCTGCATTCATTCATCTGCATGCAATTCCATGTTGCCTATAGCAATCACATAGATTATTAAAGACGAAGACTTTTAAGTAAAGTGTCCCTTTTGAAGGACCATCAGATCCACAACGCTAATTTAAATGTATAAAAGTAGTCCCTTGGTATTCTAGTGTAAGCAGCACACTAGTTGTAGCATTAAACAAATACTTACGCTCTCAATGTGTGGAGGACAGTTGTTGCCTGTTGCTTCAACCGGAATGTCATCATACTTCTCAAAATTAATGCCAGTATTCCCACCAGCAAACAGCTCCCTAGAAGATAAACATTCAATGTACTATCACACAGCACTGAATACCTGACTTACAGACCACCAGATCCCACTGCTAGTACTTACTGCTCCACACGTTCACTTGGGGCAAGTGGTTTGGACCAGTCATCTTCATCACTTTTATCAGACCAACGACTGTTTCCACCACGATCAAATCTGCCGCCAAAGGCACTTCTATCACCACCACGACTGCTAATGCCATCAAATTCACCGCCTCTTCCACCACGGTCATCAAACCTAGATTACATGAAATTACACTAAAACCAGTTTTCATGACAGTTTCTGTGATGTGATGTACTAAACACACTAATGAAGCTGCCTGGCTGCTAGGCAGCTTCAAAGTATTTCATGATATAATTAAACAATAAATCCGTATAACACCACAGCTATCTATTTCCCAAGATTTGACATCCCCTTGAGAAGGATATATTACCCCAATATTTCAACTGTCTCACATATGAGGCATGTGGACAGAATACCAATGAAATTTGAGGTGGCACACCTGTTCAGATTGCATTTTAATCCACGTTGGGAATTGGACTATCATTTAACTCCTCTACTGCTCTCACAACACAATTCTGCCACATCCCCTTAACGCCCCAGCCTCCTGGTCCTTCATCAAACAAGGAGAAGGCTTAGTGAAAGAGCTCCTTCCAATCCCAGATATATGCCATAACTGCAAAGTTGCTCTAAATTGTCATTCCCCTGTCTTTCTGCTGGGGCCTATGTGCTAATGCTAAGAAGGCACAAGGACTTCTATTATATGGATGTAAACTTTAGAAGTCCTACAGCAGTAAGTTGGTGGAAATGAGAGGGTAGCCCTATACACATAAAAATTAACATGCTGCAGTCAATGCAAGCCTAAGAGCTACAAAGTAGGCTTTCAACACAAAAAGCACATGTCTTAACCTCAGTCAGTTCTCCCCTATTTCTACAGATTACTGAATGTTTTACAGTGGTGGCATTCACATTTTTAATGGGAAGAGAGCTACATTTTTACCTTCCTCTTGAACCATTACCACGCTCAGCAAAAAAGCTTGATTTTCCTGATCCACGGTCACTCCTTGCACCAAAGCTACTGTATGCAGCATCCCTGTCTCTGCCAGCATTCCACCCACCATCAAATCCTAGGAATAATAAAATCACCAATGAAATCACTGATTGTGTAGATGCTCAGTGCAAAGATACAAAATCCCTACAAAATCCCTCAAACCATCACCATGAAAATGTTTGGGTAATTAGCAGCCTGTCTTAAGAGAAATTCCCATATTTTATTGCACATTTTAAATCAAGGAAAGGCACTGAAATCGGGTGTTTTACTGCCAATATTGCAAGATGGCAGAGTTTAAAAAGCTGGTCCAGGGTGATCATGTAGCAAATTATATTCAAGAGGCAGCAGCCGATGATTCTCTCGAGCTGCAGCAAACCCCAAAAGCAAAGCCTAGAAATGTCCATTAGGACCCTGCCTACTTTTGTGCCCATGGCGTTGTAGTAGAGTATGGCCATTAGGCAACTTTTCGTGAATTATGTCATTATCTTATTCTAGTTACAATTAATTTGTCTCAAGAAAAAAATGGCAACCTGGGCTGAAAATGAGACCTTCCCGGAGTCCATCAATGTGTCCACAGGTACACTGAAGCAAAGATGATGAAATAGAAAGCAGTGAAAAGACCTGGAGACTGATGGTATTTCCTGACAGGCAAAATCTGGAGTCGGTGGTAACTGGTATAATGAGGCCACTCAGTGAGAAGCTTCACTGTTCTTGAGACATTCGTATGACTGTTTGATTTGGATAACTATACAACTCCAGAATTCTACGGTAGTATCCTATAGCTGTAACTATAATAATGGCTCCAGGATCCAAATTCAAATAACCAACAAGAATCAGTACTAATTCTGTAGCTTTCCAGCTGAGGGCAAAGCAGCTCTGCAAATGGTACTTGATAAACCAAGCCTCAAACTTCCCTAAGAAGTCTCAACCTATGCTACTATAACCTGATCTAAGCTCTCTAGAAAGAAGCTGTCTTTATTGCCAAGAGCAGCAGTGGACACTCAGGTTTTGTTGGATGAAAGGTGCCAGGTCTCCCTCGCCCACCTCTGTCATCACGTCCAGATCCTCCTCTGGATCCAAACACACCACGATCACGATCGTAGCCATTCATCCGGCTGTCACGATCATATCCATTCATATAGCCATTACCTCCACGAGAGTCCCAGCTGGGGGAATCTTTGGCAGAGAATAAAAAGTTACAAAATTAAAGGGTAAAATGCGCTAGCAAGTTCTTGCAAGCTCCACAGCATCAGTGCGACTTTTGCTGCCAGAAATTTACATGAAAGGCTCCTTTCGGGGAAAAGCAGAGTAGTGTTGGGCCTAAATTCTTGATTAGAAATGCAAGCCTTCGCCTGACATGGATGCTGCATTGTGAACCACTTTACAAAGCTGCAAACCAGGTTTTATAGAAAGGTGTGTATTTAGTTGAGCCAAGAGATTTTTTTAAAAAAGAAACTAATGCAGTGATTCGTATGTGTATTAGTTTTGTGCATCAATACTCGCTGCCATGCTGAAAACAGAAGCATGTTCTAAAGAAAGCTAGTCAAACCGAATGAAGCAAGATTCAAGATCCTGTGCTAAACTTGGCAAATATATATTTTATTATGAATGGAATGACGACAGACCAGTCAACGATGAGTGTTGTATTATTTTGATTACAAATCCTGCTTCCTAGTAAGAGCAGATTGCAGTATAAAGTTCATAAAATGATGTTTGAGTCTAAGCCAGTTAACTGATGCAAATGAACCTTGGTGAGCCTTGGGCTCACACACTTTCCTTGACACGCTAACAAGGAGTTCTGAAGGCTTCAACTTATATTTGTGCTTGACCACAACTTGTTATGCCTGGGGTGGCCACTGTGGTACTCTGGAGGACATCCATTAGAATTTGTGCCATTGATATGTTTGTGATAGTGGGAAGACCAGATCTGCATTTTTTACTGTGCAGTCTCACACTGCAATCTTTATTCTCATGGTCATTTTTTGGGTATCTGTTTTTTTCTACTGGATCCAATATCTACTCAAGTCAAAATGTGTGCTTTCTGTCTGCAGGGGGAGATGGAAAGAGATGAGAAAGAAGCAACCAGAGGTGGTGACGCCCACAGAACTCTCATCATTCCAAATGTGCCCAATAGCCCAAAAAGATTGGTATCAATGCTAGATGTCCAAACTGACAAACTGGTGAATATTAACTACAGAACCATTTGCAACAAGCCAAGTTGAAACCAGAATTAGCATTAACAGGCTTGTCAATTTGGACATAAACTGCACTTAACAGAAAAGAAGTCTTAACTCCTGTTGATGGCTGCACACCAAAGGAAGCACGAGAAGGAAGTGTACGAGTCCAAGGCTTGCTTGCATCACACTTAACTGTGATTTAGCATGATATCCAAACTATCCCACTGTTACCTTAGGGGGTTGTATTGATTCTTCAATTCCTAGATGATGCTAACTACTTAAGCCCTAGTAAAAAGATTGTTCACTACAAGGTTTCTGTTCACTACAAGATCCTTCCACTGAGACACGTTTGGTACTTCGAAGATGCTGAATTTATTTGTCGGACTAGCAGAGCAATTGAACCTCTGTCCAGGCAGCTGCAGGGTTTAGCAGAGCCACTGCCACACCCACAGCACTGTCACTCACACTGGTCAGCTTGGAAGTCAAGAGCAGAGTTGTTGTAGCTATCAGGACCAATGCAATCAATTGACAACAGTGGGGTCAGCTCAGGATCCAGCAGATCCCAGGCCAGCTGAATTACCCTGATCCCTCCCCAGTTGGGGACTTTTTATGAGCTGGTGGAGTGAAGCTTGCTGACAGTACTCCTACCAGTGAACATTTTCAGTGGGTGAATAGGGAATCTGCACCGCCAGAGCAGATTGATCTGGACTCACAAGAGAGAGCCCCCTGCTACCACAGTAGATTAGGGAGTTGGACAGCACCCTAACATTTATACTTTCTGTATTTAACAATTTACTGTACATGTATTTCAGTTTTTTAAGAAGTTCTAGAAAAATTGTTTGTTCAGCACTGTTAAAAAGATTTTACATCTCTAGATTAGATGAAGTAAGATTCTGCTCCATCTAATTGTTATTCTTTAACATTCCAAAAACCTGAAGTTTGTGTTAGATTTCAAAATGCCAAGTTCTACTAAGTTACTTAGAACAAGCTATTCTAAATACTTCAAATACTTATCCAACCTATAAGCAACCAAAATGCAAAAGAACTGAAAAAAGCAACATGACATCTGTTGGAATAATAGTTTTCAAAGATGTAGTACATTAGGCTAATATGTAAACTTATATAAGTTCTGTGAACCTGCTTAAAGAACCTGTCCAAGGACTATGGGGAGAAGTTCATAGATTTTTTTAATTGGGAAATTCTTTAAATTGGATTAAGCACACAACCCCTCCATTAATTAAGGAAAATAAATTATTGGTATTTAAGTTCAGAGTATATCGTGTTATTTCCTTCCATATTTAAAAAGATTTTATTAGGTGTCTAAAATTCTACATCCAAACAGAATGGTTATTAATGGCTACTAGTTACAGTAGCTATTTACTACCTCCAAGTACTTATCAAGAGGAAAGAACTAGAATTGGTGCGCTAAGTTTCTGCTTGTTGGCTTCGCATAGGCATTAGGTTGGCCAATGTGAGAGCAGGATGCTGAACTAGATAGGCCTTTGCACCGATCCAGAAGGGCTCTTCTTATACCTTATTCACACCAGACAGCACTGCACACTATTCAGCTTCAACATGTAACTAAATAAACTGTGGGGCATGGTAAACTTGCTAGAAAATTAGCACTAAAAAGGCTTGGTAACTTTCAAGTGTCTTGTGGGCCAGCTACTTTTATGCCTTGTTTAATAAATCAGAAGATCCAAAAAACACAATTCCAGCACTTGCCAGACCTGAGTATTAGGATTGTTGTAGGTTTAAATTTTATAAGGTGCAGAATTGGAAACCTTTCCTTGTCTTTTTCAGTCTATCCATTAGAAGCGACAAAAGCTTGCTCAGGTACAAAGTGCAACTGAAGTTGTTGTTTTCTTAATGTGTAGTTTTCCATAAACACAGTAAGCCAGTAGATTAAGCCCGCAATTTATGCAGAATTTACGTTCCAGGGATTGCATCTAAAGCCAAATTCAAAACACATTGGGTTCAATAGCAGGTGGGATTGCCGAATAAATGTTTTCTTGAACCCCGCTCCCTTTTTATTTTTTGCCACGCATGTAAAGCTGAATGCATACTAGCTAACTGTGTGTAAGTTGTGGGTTTACTGTATTCAAATTAACCCTAAAAAGGTTAAAGTTGCAGGCAAAGGAAACATGCCTGACAATGAGCGTAAAGGAACAAATGCTCACACAGTTAGTCGACTGCAAGTTATGACTATGCAATATGCTTAGAGGCATGCTCTCAAATGACAAATTTTTAAGACCACTCCATCCTGACACCAACTTACAGCTTCTTGGTGGCATCGAATTGGAATAGTAGTTTGCCGCATAGTTATAGGCATTACCTGCTGCAAAAGAGCCATAAAACTCCCAGCATTATAATTCACTCCCGTTCAAATGCATAAAAAACTCAACATAATGGTACAGTAGACTTTCTTCAACCTGTAAAAGATATTTTACTCAAGCAACATAAAAATATCCGTGTGAAGATGTCAACTTTCCAGGCTTCCACATTCACAATCACTCACCAGCTCACCTTTGGCGATGAGAGGGAAAGAGAACAAGAGCACTCTCTTGCCTCCTGGTGGCCAGCATAGGGGAACCCCGTCCTGCTGCCAAAGCACATGTACAGAGGGCTTAGGAATGGCAGGAGCCAGCCTCTCACCAGGTCAAGACACCCTGAGAAGCCAAGATAAACTCTCAACAGCTCCAAACAGTCCAACACAAGGAGTGCTTTCCCTCAAGAAAAGGGCAATGCATCTGATTCAACAGGTATTGTGCTACGTCACACTCAATAATTTATACAGCTGCTTTTAAGGGTTGCGTCCTAGTCCTACTCATAGTAGACCCATTGAAATAAACAAACATGGCTAACTTAGGTCCATTAATTTCTATGGATCTACTGAGAGAAACTCAGAATGAACCACATGCGTACAAGAGAGAATAAGCTTTCCCCTGGGAAAGGTTCATTCTATCCTCTTGTGTTGGATAGTCCTTGGAAGCAGCAGGAATCACTCTTCAATGTTTCTAAGCATGTCCTTGTGAGGCAACAACTTCCAAATGCGCACAGTCACCTGTATCAGTCTGTTGCAAAAATAAAGGAACTTGTGACATACTTGACCAATTGTGATAAGAGCTTCTGTGGATTTATGATACAACTCTATTGGTCTTTACAGTATCCATACCTACACGAGGAGAGAAGGGGTAAGGACAACTACAAATAGATGGATATCAATGCCATTCAGTATTTGTTAGCCCCAATACAACTGAGTTTTCTTGCAAAGAGCTGTTAGTTTCTAATAGAAATTAGAATCTGTGAATTTGAACAAGCTTCATCTTATGCCCCTTGTTCTGCCACTATTCACAACTTCTATCAGTTGAGCAACGAAGAGGGCAGAGTCAAGTTGTCCTGACAATAAGCACCCTATACCTAAACTTTCCTATCTAGTAGTTAGAATACTAGCAAAACTAGTATCTGTACATTATTTCCCTGCTCCCAAATTCAGTAGCACTTCCAGACCGCTTTGCTGAACTGTGCAGAGATCATGGTTCAATAAAGGACACAATATTCAATCTGCAGATATTTAGAGTAGGCTTGGAAACCTGCATCCCAGAAGATGCTGGACTTGCAACTTCTATCCCCTTCAGCCAAGCATGGCCAGAGTTGTAGACCAGTCAATATATGGAAGGCCATAGGTTCTCCACACCTATTTTAAAAGACTTCTGGCAGCAAAGTAGGGAGAGACCTAACTTTGAGAGCTACTTACCAACGAACTGATTTATAGTCACAGTAAATTAGTTTCTCCATGCAGATTTAAGCTAAAATACTGAAAGATCACAATTGCAAGTAAAAAGTATTCTAGAGAACTCTTGGTGCCTCCCTGCCAGTCCACAAGCAACGTAATTTTTGCAGAGGCATCTGAGGCAAGACAAGGTGTCACAGGTTGGGAGAGGGATGAGACCTGATGGTCTCCAGCACTTCAATCCTATTTGAATTAAGCCACATGGAGTAAAACACTAACTTACTCCCAGGTAAATGAGTACTGGATTGCAGCCCAAGTTTAGTTGTTGATCAGACACTACTAAGGCAGCATATTCCCCTATAGCATTGGAGAGTTGAATTTTTAGAGTACCACGATGCAATTTAGCAGGAGATTAAGAGCTTAATCAACCAACAGCTTAAAGCTCAAGAATCCTTGGACAAAGCTCTGTGTTCAAACTTCCCCATAAACAGGATTGATGGTTACAGGCTACACATAGGGTTTTTCAGGGCATGGTATAGCCACCATCTTATTAGAATGGATTGTACCAAACTATGAAAACAAAAAAATGTCAATGAGCTGACCGTAAGACTTCCATTAGTAGAATGTGGAGGATTTTCACCAGTACTTCATCAGCTCTACAATCCACCACATCCTTTCTAGATCTCCATAGGGTTAAGGAAACTTCCACAGCAGATTTAGAAGGGTATACAGGAACTGCTGAAAATTGCTTCCAGTGTCAATCAAGATGATAGTACGGGTATACAGTCACCATTTATTTTACATTTTCATAATGTGTGTGGGCCACTCCCTTACAAATTCTTTATTGACAAAGACTCTGATAATGGGGTGGATATTTCAATACAGGAATCACTGCCTGACTTCATGATTACTATAACTTTCTAAATGAGCAAACCATTCTCTTATTCTGCTTGGATGCAAGCACTACATTTTACAACAGACTGCACTGTTACTTAAGTAGCTTTATTACTCAAGCCAAATATACAGCTCATCAATCAGCAGCTTACTTTGACTTGCCTAGCTAACTACATTGATCCCAAATATTTCCCGTACCCACTGTAGAATGAAGGAATCTAATTTTTGCCACAGACTTAATAAGGTGTTACTTAAATGTGCACTCTTAATACCTTTCCCTACCTTCAAAAGCCTAGGTACTCATATGTCCAACCCCTTGTACCAAATCTCCCTGAATCTGAGCACCCAACACTTTGAGATTCTTGCAGTTCAATTCAGTTGTAACCCTATTTTTTTAACCCTGATGCTCCATATATTCAAGTACCAACGAACATACCCTGCTTTGAAGCTTCTCTATTCCGTAAGTGAGGAGGAATGTACCGGCCTTCTGAAAGTTGGAAAAAAAAGTTTCAAATTAAAACTCTGTACAGCAAAGTCTGTTGCTCTTTTATTGCCAAGATTGTTAACACCTTATGTTGTTTATTGATTAAACTTAGTCATTTTTGCTATAGCAACTATAAATAACTTACAGTATTTTAAGCAAAAAACCAAACCAACATGCACATTAAGAAGTGTTTAAGTACTTCATGCTTAAGCATATAGTCTAAACATATAGCACCCGTTCCCAAGTATTTTCATTGTTATAAATATGCAAAAAACTAAATGGTGGCAACACAAGAACGAGCCTTTTGGATGGTGGTTCCCCATTTGGGGAATACTCTCCCCTAGGGACACCTAAATATATGTAATAAAGGTGCCAAATGAAAACTGCTCTTCATGCAGGCATTTGGCTAATTAACATTCTATGGATTTCCAAATGTGTTTGTGGGAAGTGGGTTATTGGTTTGTTTTGCTTTGTAATGTATTTTGTATTCTCAGATGATATACAAATTTAATAAATAATAGTAACAACAATAACTGGAACGTGCTGCCGCCTCACTATAGGCAATACATACATACCCCGTTTTAGCAAATGAAACAATTTATGCACTCTTGAGTAACACAATCACTAAATCCCTTTTGTTGATACAATGCTCATACTATTATGCACCAAAACTGTATGCAACTTGCAGTCTATTCCTTCAAGGTCTGCAGTTAATTAACTGATTAAGCAGACATCCATTTAAGGTTCTTAACATTCATTTTAAAGGCAAGTTTCTAGCATGGTAATACGTAATGTATAACAGATTTACGTATAACTGATTTACATAGAATACCAATGAGATTTAGTAGTCTACAATTACAGTACTTGCAGGATGCCATAGATCTGCTCTCTCAAGCATCAAAATCTGCCATTTTTCTACTATTGCACTGGACCAACATGCCATCAAATATTCTCTACTAGCTGCAGTAAGATGCTTTAATTCTGAATTATATACTTACTGCTTGCTGTACCTCCTCCACTCTGATCGTCTGAAGAATTCAAGTCTAGACCAGCAAACTTTTTAAAAAAGGAAGAGAATAGTCATGCAACCTGATTAATTGAAAATACTTCAAGTAGTAAAGAATTTCTAATCTCATCTCACATTGTAAATTACCAGGCTCTCTGCCTTAGACACCAGAATAGCTTTGATATTGCTGTTGTAAATTTAATGTCAATTTAAACCATACCTCCTTAAAACGTACTTTGGTTTTACTTAAAGCATGTGACATTATGGACAAAGGCCTCAATTTAGTGCTGTCTTCCAATATGCTTAATATTTGCATTCAAAAATACAGTAGACTACAACCCAAATTCCCGTTTCCTCAAACGTAACTACTTGTGCCAATGCTTTTAAAAATAAAATGGAACTTAAGCTTACACTGTATACCTTAGCCTTCCTGTAGTTTTACTGAAGCTGTCAAGAAAAAAGGGCCTAAGCCTTAGGATTGTCCAAGCCGTATATACAACCAAGGTAAAAAATACCGCTGCTGAATATTTTCATGTACTCATGAAAATGAATTTTGCTTGCGGAAGGGGGGGTTAATAAGAAAATCCATTTATATCCAAGAATCCCCTTTTTCAACTTAAGATGGATGCACATCATCTCGCGCGGCCTTCAGACAGAGCCAATAGCAGTTGTACAAGGCAGGCTCGCTCGGCCGGGTGGGCCTTCGGGGAAAGCGCTCCCTCCTCCCCGCCCCCACAAGCGGGCCTGGCGAAGACGGAGCGCCCCCCCCCCGCCGGGGTTTACTGCCGGAGCGACACAAGCAGCGGCGCTCGGCTTTCACTGGCGGCCGCTAATCCGGCCGCGTCACGTGGCTCATTCCTCTTTCCCCTTCCCGGCCGGCTTCGTGACCTACTTCGGGAGCCGGCTCTAGCGCAGCGCCACCCCGCCCCGAACCGGGCAGAGGGAAGGCGCAACTTCATTTTAAACAGGCTTCCGAGAAGCCAAGACGAGAGGAAGACACGGCCTTAGGCCTGCCCTTCCCCCCCCCACCTCGTGGGCCTCGAGGACAAAGGAGTCGGGGGCGCGCGCGCGCGCGTGAGGGAGAGCGGGAGGAGCAGCAGCAGCACCAGAGCCATTGTGGCTCCCACTCCCCCCTCCTCCTCCCCTTCCCCAGACAGAGGGAGCCGCGCACGCGCCTCCGAGCAGCCTCTTTCTCTCCCCCCTCCTCGCTTCGTCACACGCACAATGGCCGCCGTTGTCCCCCACCCGCTGCAGTTCCCTGCCGCCGCCGCTAGGGGGCCCGGCAGATGTAAGCATTCGCCAGCGACGCACAAAGCCCCCACAGCAGGCCTCAAAGGGCCCGGCGACGCTTCACCCGAGCTACCCTCCGCTCTCCGCCGCGCCGCTCCCTTCCCTCGTTCGCGGGGGCTCCGCTGGCCTCGCTCGGCTCCCTTTCCCGAGGGAGGCTCGGGGCTTCGCGGAGGCGCCAATGGGGCGAACCCCACAAAAGGAACTGCGTCACAGTCAAATGCGCCACCAGGAGAGCGGCGTGAGGAGGATGCGGGGGGGGGCGAGAATAAAAGGAGTAAAGGGGCGAACTAGGATCGATTCAATGAGTCCGGAGGGCCCCCGAAAACAGGCCGGGGAGCGGGGGGGGATACGCCTCGGTCCCCCAAGCCCACCCGCCATCCCGCCCCCGGTTACCTGCTGATCTAGACCGAGGGCATTTTCCACTGCCACATGACTCATAACGAGAGATCGTGTCGGGAGGTCCCGCTCCGCGTAGAGAAATTCGGATTCACTAGAAGTAGAACTAGCTTGGGCCGCTGTCGCTTTCGCCACTACTTCGCCTCGGAATCGCGTCTCTAACTGAAACCCCCCCAGTTCGGCCCGGGCCTTTATATATTCCTCCGCCCCCTCGCAGCCGCCGTGCTGACTTCAGCGCGCAAACCACGCCCCTTCTTCCTCCTCTCGATCCCCTCCCCCCACCTCTGCTTGCAGCAAAAGGTATCGCGGGGAGAACTCTCCGCTCCGCATAAAGAGGTGGGGGGAGGGCGAAGAAATCCCAAGGCTACCGCGAGAACTAGGGAGGCTGCGGACTCCTCCCGATTCAGGAGGATCTAGGTGTTATCGCGAGGTTTCTTCACACAATGTTTACAGCGCTGCTCGCGCGAGATCTCTACCCCTCCCTCCCCGCCCTGGTTTGCCTTCCCCTCCCTCCCGTTTCGTTTCGTAAAGACTCTGGTGAGTCACCCCCCCTCCTCGTTTTCTTCGAGATCTCGCGAGATTTCTGTCCAAATGAAATAAGGCTCTGGGAACAGAGCGGTTCTCTCTAGGTCACGTGGGCATTTCCGCTCGGTCCTGCCGCCATCTTAGGCTGTATGCGGCTGCTGAAGTGGCGCAGCCTTCGGGTGGGGGTGGGGGTATAGTGTGAGGGGCCCAAAGTGGAGAGCCGAGGCCATCTATTTCCCGAGGATTGCGAGAAGCAGCACGAGAGTTGGCGGTAACGTCAGAGTGGCGTTGCGCGACTCGCTTCTGCCTTGTGTGTGACCTAGGAGGGGTCGCCTGGCAACCGGCAGCGCAGCCAGCAGCCCCTCCCGACGCCCTGTAACCCCTGAACAATAAGGAGGCGATGGCCTCCTGGCGGAGTTCCCCCTTCTTGCGCCTTTCCCACCCCCTTCCCTCTGGCGCCTAATGCCGTTGCTTCGCTTGGTCACAAAAAACCCTCTGCAGAGAAAGGATGCATAGCGATGACCTTGTCTGGGCCTCTCGCATCATTTGCCCACGGAAAATGCTGCCTTCCATTGCAAGGAGGAGTTTGGCCTCTGCCGTCTTAAGTGCGGGAGGCTTCTGACCCCAGAGGTCAAGGTCAAGGGCTGAGAGGCCGCCCAGTATTTTTAGCTCTTCAGGACGCTTCTCCAGAATGCCTGTCGCCTTGGATGCATTTTGACAAAGGAGCAGATCTCATAGTAGCCTCCCTCCCAACTTCATCCTCTATTCACCTGAGGAAAAGCAATTTGACATTGTTGGCTTGCTTCAGTAGATTTTTGTATACTCAAAAAGTTTGTTTCTCCCCATGCATACATGCTAACTTCACATTTGCACTATCTGACACAGTATGGTCTTAGGCACATTTATTTTAGTAAGTCCCATCAAAATAAAATAGTGCTGCAAGTGCCGCTTGTTCTGAGGCAAATGTGTGTATTCATGAGAGTTGTGTATTAGATAGGACCAATTTATTCCTTCAAGAGACAGAAAGTATCCTATCTCTCAGTGCTTGTAAATTCACTTGGCAATATATATTTACAACTCAAGTTGCAAAGCCCCTTTTTTGCTGAGGAAACTACAAAATAATTAAATTTCTCAACACTAAAAAAACTGGGTTTACCAGTATATGCATCATATGTGCATCAGGGCCACTTAGGTGAACTTTTCCGCTCCTAGCATTAAGGGTGCAATTCTATATACACTTTACTGGAAGTTAAAGAAACAATTGTGGTTTGGTTTGGTTCATGGGTTATTCTAAAAGTGAATGTCTTGTGAAAGAGTTGCTAATTTCCTGTGATGCATCTCATGTAGTCTGAATGAACATTGTGGAATATTTGGAGGGGAGGAGGTATGCCACTCCATCCTGAGATTGCCCAAGCGTCAGTTCATCCTCTTAAACCATAGAGCCCTGAGATGCAGGGAAATTAGCCTTCTGACAGTTATCCACTGGATGGAGGAAGAAAGGCATGGATAAAGACAATAATAAAGGCTTTATTGCTGTTTTGGGGGACCAGAAGGAGCACTGTAAGTGGCTCAACAGCAGCAGCTGGTAAATGTCTATCTCTGCAGACACACATACAAAACCTACCGCCTGAACAAAGGAAGTAACAATGCTTGTATAACTAAGCATGGTGCTCTCCATGTTGTTTTAAAGCTGGCTTCTACAAAAGCTATAAATTATGCAAATTGATATGTGAATTCTGTGCATGTTTTCCTGAGAATAAGTCCATTGAACAAAGTAGGGCTTGCTTCTGAATCTACATGCATACAATTAACATTTGCTGGTCATGGAGAAGGACAAGAAATTATGCCCTAGGAGCACTGAAAACTTTATTTGGAAATTCTCTGGCTTCTGAGAGTTCATTAAGAACTGCAGTATACTTTCAAGCCCAAATAGAAACTTGCTTTTTAAAAAAAAGAGAGAGAAAGCTGAAATACCCAGGATACTGCCTTCTCTGTTCAGTATCATGACCAGCTTCCTTCCACAGTACTGTAGGATACACACAGCCTTTCTTAAAGTCCATGTTCCTAGGGTCACACACAAGCAGGAAAAATGTAACATTGCCAGGATTCTGCCGTTTAGCTAAGCAGAAGTGTCTATTTTCATCTGTTATGGATGGTCCTTTGTATGTTAGCAAAGTGAGGCAAGGACAACAAATTCTCCCTGTTGTTTTCTGTCTGCTAGCAGGACCTGGAGCTAGTCCTCTGCCTGTGGATGACATCCAGTGCGTTTGCGTTTGTCCCTGCCTTCTAATTTGTTGACTCTATTATACCAATTAAGTACTGACAGTTAGCTGCATATGTACCTTAAAAAAGAAACAGCTAATAATGCCCACTCACAGCACAAAGAGCTCATAACGCACCTACTCTCAGCAGCCAGAAGCATCATAGCCAGACACTGGAGAGACCCTGTCAGGAGCAAGCATAGACCAATGGTGTTAAATAGTATGGGAAACAGCCTTATTAGAAAAACTAACCAACAAACTGAAACTGACATGGGGACAAATAGAAGAAGACGCCTTCACCCTGGTATGGTTACCCTTTATCACATACACAGCCCAACAAGAACCTGCCAACAGCATTAGAATCAATCTGGCTAACCTGATCCAAAAACACCCACCCAGCCCACTCACACATGAAAACAATTTTCACTACAACCAAATACAACCAGCCACACCCTAGCCTAGGCCACCCCCAACCTCTCTCATCACCAAAGAAATACATGCAATTAGTAAAGAGAACCCACATAAGTGGCACACATACACAAAACAGGAATACAGTAGAAGCATTGCCACCCAACCCACACACACCCTTTACCATCCCCCCCTCCACCTGTTTCCCCCTTTTCTTCCTAATGTAATACCAATGTCTCAACAAATGAAACTGATCTGTAGAAAATGTAACTTGAAAAAAGAGGCATTGCACATGTTTTTGTAAACCGGAAAATTTCAATAAAAATATATTTTAAAAGATAAAGAATAAAAAGAAGAAGCTGCCCAATAAGTGTGCAAAAGCACACAAGCAGATTCTCCGTGCACAATTTTTAGTGTAGTTTGCTTGTGCAGTTTTCTGGTTTTGTGCTGCCATTCACTGTCTCTGTGTGTGTGTGTGTGTGTGTGTGTGTGTGTCTGTGTGTGTCTGTGTGTGTGTCTGTGTGTGTGTGTGTGTGTGTATATAGAAACAGTGTAACAGTATTTAGAAACCTGCCACCACTTAAAAATCCATTTTGGAAGAACCAGAGCAGTTCGTCTTTTAGTGGGCCAAAATTGTTTTAACTGTGCTCAGCCTTTTAAATATGAAGCTTTGGAGTGCTGTGAGGAAAAAAGGAAGATTTGGATCAGACCCTATCCTACAGCATCTCTGACATCAGACTCATGGACATGGGCATAGCCAGGATTTTTAGTGGGAAGCAGGCTTTCTATTAGGGCCTGCCCCCCACTAATGTATTTTTATTGACGGGGGGGGGCAGCAGCCTCTCCCTGCCCCCCCCCGGCTATGCCCACGCTCATGGACCTGAAGGTGTATGACTTCAGCTGTTCCAAATGAGGTACTTTTGGGTGGGGAGAGTAGAGGTGTGCAAACGTATTTTGTCTCCTTTATTATTTCTTGTGTTGAATAAGGAAGTGTGTGAGAGAAATAACATTCCAAATCAGCCCACACAAAAGGCACACAAATAGGAAATGGGTCAAATCAAAGACAGGCCACAACAGATAAAATAGCACTGAAAACAGGGATCGCTTCCACTGCTGCTGGATATCTTGGAAGCTGCAGGAGTACAACTCCCATCATCCCTGAACACTGGACAGGCTCTTGTGGGAATCTCTCAACACCTGCCAATAATAACTGATAGCCATCTATGTTGGTTAATATATTGCTATGGTAAAGACCTTGGGTTGTTTTGCAGTCAGTTCCCTTACTTTAGGGATCATGCTGCACAACGGAAGACCCTCAAGGCCAAACCGGAACCTTTTCTGCAGAGTTGTCCTTCCTTATCATCTGCTGCTCACAAACCAGAGGCAAGAGAAAGGTGTGGAAAAGCTGCTGACTGTGAAAACAGATATTTCTCATAGTCCATGCAGTTGGATGTGGAAGGGGGCTTAGCCCACCATCCTCCAGCCCCTCCTCAATGCAGCCGTCTCATATGACCATGTGCTGATGGTGAGAGCACATACATGCAAGCAGCTGCAGTCGTATTCCTTAGCTCTTCACTCACTTCCTCCAGTTTGCAGGGGCCGATTTTGGTCATATGGCATTCTGAGCATGGACCAAATTTGATTCCCTCCCCCCCCCCAAAAAAAATACTTCTTATTTTCACAATAATTTCTTATTTATTTATTTATTGTTATTATTTTGTGCCCCCTCGGCTTGGCACCCACACCACCCTGAATCTGGCCATGGTTTCCCTCTGCATGATCATGAAATGCCATGATTGCTTGTGCTTGTGATTCGCGTAGCCTGACTGTGTGAATCAGTCCTCAGATTCAACTTCCTGGTTTGCTTGTTCTCCCAGCTAAACAGATACCTAGAAAACTGCCAGGGCAAAGTGTTCTAGATGAAGTGGAGTGACCTGTTATTCTGAAACAATTATATTTTCCAAGAGAGTTTCATTCAGTAGCCGCCGCATGGAATGTTGCTGAGCACCAGGAGACTTCAGACTGATGTAGGATGGAGCATGGGATGTGAGGTTAAAAAGGAATGCTCTGATAATTTGGCAAAAAAGAAGAAGGGTGGAGCAGGCTGCTACAAGTATGCTAGTTATCATTTCCTCCTCTCATATGATACGATGCTAAATGTATCTTTGCATTTAGCCTGCAGGGTTGTTGCTTTTAAAATGAAAATATCAACTAACTGGGGCATGTGATAATGATCAGGGTCATTGCAGGCATGGAAGGAGAAATTAATTATTTTCTCTGCTACTGTGAAAGCTGCTCTTTGAAATGCAGGGACGGGTCAGCAAACTTTTTCAGCAGGGGGCCGGTCCACTGTCCCTCAGACCTTGGGGGGGGCAGACTATATTGAGGGGGGGTGAACGAATTCCTGTGCCCCACAAATAACCCAGGGATGCATTTTAAATAAAAGCACACATTCTACTCATGTAAAAACACGCTGATTCCCAGACCGTCCATGAGCCGGATTTAGAAGGTGATTTAGAAGGTGATCCAGCCCCCGGGCCTTAGTTTGCCAACCCATGTGCAGAGACATAGGAAGCTGCTTGACAGCTACCTGGAGTCAGACCACTGGTCCATTCAGCTTACCACTGTACACACTGTCTGGCAGCAGCTCTCCAGGGTTTTAAGAGAGGAGACTTTCCTACTTAGGGCTGCCGTGCACCCGGATTTTCCCAGACATTATCAGGATTTCAAAGGCGGAATAGAAATTCCAGGGGGAATTTCCGAGAGGAGGTACTTTGTCCTGGACCTTAGGCAAGTCAATCCAAAAGGGCTCTTTTTTCACATTTTTGGGGGCTTCCTGAAAAACCCTCAGCAACTTCCAGGCAACCCTATTCCTACTCCTACCTAGAGATGAATCCAGGAACCTTCTGCATACAAAGTAAATGCTCTCTCACTGAGCTACAGCCCTTTGGGAGAGTGGGGAGCCCCTCCCCTCCATTTGCACTATAGCTGCAAATTTCAGTTTCCTTTCTGGGGCCAATAGAAGCTTGGGGGAGCAATTTTCATAGGGGAAAATAGAGATCATGGGAAATGGTTAAAGCCCCCTTGGAGTTCAATCCAGATAGGGCGCTTCCACAGCCGCACTTTTTTAAAAAACAAAAACACCATAGGAGCCAATTCCTAGGGGTTCAGGTCCCTTTGGTCTCCCAATAAAATATTTGAAGGGACCAAGCCCCCGCCCCCAAGTTGATCAGCATTACCATTCAAATAGTGTGCATGTGCCACATCATGTGATCAATTATGTGGGGTGCGGCTTACATGACCCCCCCCCAATATTTTATTCAAGTTGGCACCCAAGTTGTGTGCCATTTTCTTCTACCTGAGTCTATCCTGCACATCACTCCTCCTTCTAGGTACATCTCCTCCTAGTTACAGAGAACTTGCCAGGGGAGAGAACATGTCTGAACATTCCAGGGAAGTGATGGAGAGTGTCTAAGTAACCACAGGGCTTCATTTCCCAGCCCACTCAAGGTGCTGAAGCCCTCAGTGTCCCGACTGGAAGATGAATAAAACCTGCCCTTGGTACCTCCATTCATTGGAACCTCCACTTGGAACCTTGAGAGGCAGTGAGGGGATCTGTGGAATCCTGAGCCTATCCTACTGACGTTGTGTGATGACAGCAAGCTTGATCCAGGCCCAAACGCAGCACCAGCCAGGAGCTCATGCTCCCACCTCTGCCCCAGACTTGCTGCTCTGTAAAGCCCTGTCGGCTGACAGGCAGTGTTTGGTTCCCCTACGTCTAGAGGAACATACGTATATGGACCATTGGTCTGATCAGGCATGATACTTTTTAGTATGTGAATTTTGAGCTCTGCTTCACTCCATGTGAGTGGTTCCATAATTCTGTGCTATAAACCTCAGATCAATTTCCCAGAAACGTTGTACTGCAAATGGAATAAATGTGCAATTTTTTGAAATGTGCATAACATAGTTAATTTGCACTTAAAAGCAATGATAACCAGAATCGAAGGTTTTTTTAAAATCAAAGTAAAGGAGGTTAATCCAGATTTCTACGAATGGGAAGAGCTGCAATCCTTTGTGTGACTTGCATTAGCCTGAAGATTTAGTAGAATGAGGGATCTTGCACCCAAGTTTATATGCTAGGAAGGAATTCTGATGGGAAGGAAGAGAATTGAACAAGAAAGTAATATGGTATACAGTGGAGCTGGTGACCGAGACAAGAATTTCTTGGATATTGTTAGAGACACCATCCATAAGGAACTAGAAGAGCCAAGCTATAGAAGCAAGGTACTGCCTGACAAGTGGGTTCTGGCTGATGCAGTCTTCCAGAGTCTGCAGACCGAGCATATAGCGCAGCTTCCAGTTGAGGTATCAATGCCATCTTTAAGTTGTACAGGCATGGTTCTTTTATATTATGGTCACCAGGTGTTTTGAAGGAAATTTGTTGTTTATAACAGCAAAATGCCTTCTTACTGTGGAAAATGGCCTCACTACATAACAGCTCTCTGCTTGCCGGCAGCCTTAATACCTTATGCCTACGCACAGAACCTTGAACTTTAATTACATCTGCTTTGATGCCCTCTCTTGGTTTTATGCATGACTTGAACATTTACTGCTGTTTGGCCTACATTCTAAAAGCTCCATTACTGAAGTTCACCTTCTTTAAGCAAGCTAATTTTTGGCTGAGAAACCCTGAGGATATTTTTGTGCAGCTGTGTTTGCTTTATGCAGAAGGCAGAACAACACAGAATAGCTTGTACCATGATTACTCTGCTTTCCAAGCATCATTTGGGAGGATGAAGGGTGGGGGGGTGGCACCTAGAGTTTAATGTTCTTTTAAAAATCATTCTAAACCAGGATTTTTTTCAGCCAGAACTCACTGGAACTCAGTTCCAGCACCAACCAGGTAGGTGCCATTGCCATTCTAAGAAAATGAAGGAGGTATTCATGGTGAGTTCCAACACCTCTTTTTCTAGAAAAATAACACTGTTTTTTTAACAACACTATGATCTTTTTGTCTAGTTATGACTTATGCAGGAATAGAGATTGAGACTAAATCACTTGGACCAGCAGAGCACAGCACGACTGCTTGAAAGGTTTACACCAATATAGTTACATGTTAGTGCTGGAGAAGGTGCTATCACCAGTAGCTTAAGGGTAGAGCATTTGCTTTGCATGCAGAAGTCCCAAGGTTCAATCCCTGGAGTCTCCAGGAAAGACTGGAAATCCTGGAGAGCATTTGCCAGCAAGTGACAACACTGAGCTAAATAGATCAATGGTCTGACTCAGTATAAGGCAGCTTCCTATGTTGCCCCCAATTGTGTTTTTATTCACTTGTTTTTTGTCACCCTGAGCACCTTGGAGTGGGAGGGCGGGATACAAATTTAATAAATAAACTGTTGGGTCAGCTGCTTGCTGCAGGAGCCTGGGATATGCTTTACCTCAGCTAAGAGTTTAGAATGGAATTGGTTTGCTCAGAAAAAGGAGGCAAGCTGGAAGCAACCGGGAAACAAGTATCTGAAGAGTTACACTGATTGCTTCATGATAAATGTCCTGTCTTTATAAGCCAAGTTTACCTTAGCTCAGGGAATGTGATCCAATCAGACCAACATTACAAAAAAGTGCCCCCTCTCAATAAGGGCGGTCCTATTAATCAAGAGTCTACATTTATCTACACTGGCTAAAGGACTGCATATGCATTTGGGCTCCATAAAGGAAAGGAAGAAGAGTATCCTGACAGGGCAGGAATCCACCACACCCTGCCAAGTAGTATCCTGGCTACACTAGTCCATAGGAAAAGGCATGGCTGCACATATTCAGTCTGAAACAGGCTTTGAAGCTTTTGTTTAAAGAGGTATATAAACTCTGGGCTTCAAAGCCCATGTTGTTCTATTGCAGCAGTTCCATCCCGACTATGTTCTGTCCCATTAGCAGCTGTGGAACTGTAGTTCTGGCACTGGGTGGAGAATGCCTCAGGTTGTTTGTTGTGGCTCGTGGCTGAGGTTTCTGGTTGGGGTGGCTGAGGTTTCTGTGCAATAAATACAATCGCCTGTGTGAGGTAATTAATAATAATAAAAAGGCTGGATGCAGCAAGAGTCATAAAATTACACAGCAGAGTCATAAAATTACAAAATTGTGCAGCACAGTGAAGCATGAGGAGCACAGGTTGCAGACACTTTAAATATCCCATTTAGTCTGCTTACAGTGCTTCCCTTCTCTATTCCTCTTGCAGTGAACAGACCATAGCATTCATAAGTTTAAATGCTTTGCTTAAAAGCTCCAGCAAAAAGCAGCAGCAAGAAGAACACAGGCAGAAATATTGGGTTTGCAAAATACGGAAAAATACTTCTGAACACATGGTCTTAACTTGAAGCAGTCGAGACCAGACATATTGCCTGCTTGGCTTCACATGGTGGAAGAGAATGAAGAAAGGTTCACTTCCTCCTTCACTAGATATGAGGGGCGTGACTTAACTGAGTCTAGCAATACAATTCAGTGATCTTAACCCCTTCATGCATTAACCAGCCCTAAGCTTGCTAGTGATATTTGATTGCAATTTCCCAGAGTTTCTGGGCTGTGGGGTATCCTGGGGCCAGGATACACAGGCGGCGGCCATTTTAGGGGCATCCAACTGATGCACCATCGCCAATGTGCAGGTCCTTTGGGACACAGAAGAAGGCGGGATGGGAGGGAACAGGGAGGAGCCTCTCCTTGGCAAATGCTTGTTCCTCTCACAGTTATGCATGATTCTGATGAGTGCATACCCTACAATATTTCTCTGATGAAAATATGGACACCCAGTGCTATTTTTCTAAGAGGTGCTGGAACTCACCTCAGGAATCAAAAAGTTTGTTTATGATTAATATAGTAAATCCTTCAATATTCCTTAAAGAGCCTAGAAATTTCAACAGAATCCCTATGGAGGGTGTCTATCTGCACGTATCAAATGAATCATGACGGCAACACAGCATGAAAGGCCAGTCTTTCCTCCCAAAAGGACTATCAAGATCTCATCATGGATGCAGATGTGTACCTGCATCAAAAGTGCTGTGTGTGTAGCTCTTCGTGTACAAATCCCAGAAGAGTAGCAAAGACAACAAAAAAAGTCCTATGGCACATTAAAGATTAACAAAGAACTTGAAGGTGCCACAAGATCCTTTGTTGTATTTGCATACTGTGCCCTTCCTCACACAACCATCTTTAGGATGCATTCAGATCATTTTTCTGCCATGTGTGCATGGAGTTTTGTTTTGCTTTTTAAGGTGTTTAGGTGTTACAAACTCCCTCTTAGCAGCTTAAGTTTCGGTCTCTGGTGAAGTCACTGATAATCCCAATAGTTCTCCAAGTGCCTAAAAGAGCACACAGCAAAAACAAAGCAGCAGACACCAGATTAACGTCGCATAAGAAGAAGCGGGGGGCGGGGGGGACATATTCCACTGGGAAAACTCACAAGTCTCCTGCTTCCAACATACAGGTATTAGTTCTTCTTTTTCATCTCCCAATAAATGTGTTGTTATAAGAAGTAACCTTTATGAAAGGAGAGAAGCCCTTCATGTTCCTTGGTCTTTAAACTGCCAGTGCATTGCAGCCCTCGCTTAAACCTCCAGGGAAGGTGCTAGGAAATCAATGCTGTCATTAAAGTGTTTGGGAGGTCCAGAAGGAAATAAAGAAGGGAAAAACAAGGCAACTTAAAAACAAACCCTTAGGATGAATTGGGTAAACGCTATATTTGGAACGTTTGCTGAGATTTCCATAAGGTTGCCATGGAATATGCATGCATTAAAAATGCATCTTAAAAGGACAGATCTATTTGGCAAATGCATGCATTGCTCTTATAGCTTCTCTTGCCGTTTTAATTTATAAATTTTAAAATATGCCACCCCAATGAGATCATTTTTTTAGCCACTTTGTCTTCTCCAGTACCTACTTCAAAAATGGCTTTTTGGCTACCACCCAGTGATTTCTCTGCTTGCCTTCCACCCAGCTGAATCTTCTTACATTTTTTTTAAAGGGGGAAATGTATACAGTACATCTGAATATTTTGCATACTTTCCCATGCATTTAGAAAATGATGGTATAGCACTACTTTAACCAAAATGAAAAAATACTAACACTTCCTTTCCCTCCCACAAATAATTTTAGTTTGCATTTGCTTGATGTAGAATTATGATCCTAAATTAGAATGGTCCATGCACCCATGTAGCATTGTAAAAACAGTCAATGAAGAGTTGTAATAGGGGAAGCCCAGCCAGATGGGCGGGGTATAAATATTATTATTATTATTGCCAATGCAAGTCCTACTCAGAGTAGACCCACTGAAATTTATAGGCATAATTTAGTCATGCTCATTGATTTCAATAGATTTACTCTGAGTAGGACCCTATTGCATTACAGGATGTCCTTGGCAGGCTTCTAGTAGTGGGATCTGTTAGTTGAATCTGTCTCATACTTTATGCATTTTGACATTGATTGACATGACAATTGACCTGGCATGTTTCTGTTAGAGAAAAAATAAAAACAAACAGAAATTATTGTATAACTTCTGCATGCAAAGAACCTGGGTAGCTGCCTTATCCTGAGTCAAAACATTGATCCATCAAGCTCAGCATAGTCTCAAATTACTTGCAGAAGCTCTTCTGACATCAACCCCAAACATTCTTGCTCTCTCAGGCATTTGGAGAGAACCAGTGAGACTTCAAAAAAAAATTTTGCAGGGTTTTAGACTGTTCTGTGCTTCTTTAAAATATACTTTTAATTGTTGGTTTAACTGGCGTGTTTTTTGCAACTGCTATTTTTATGATATTCTGGAAACTACCCAGGGATTACTGTGATTATTTATTTAGATATGTATACACCACATTTTTCTTAAGCCTGCGAACAACATACATTATTGCAGGATCAATAAAACATCAGTAAGAAAATAACAATAAAAAGTGCTGGATGATCTACACATCTAGATAATAGAATACATGGTACCAAGGATCCTTATGCAAAGACCTCTCATTTTCCACTGGAAGCTGAAATGGAGGGGTTACTGGGGCCTTTTTTTGGAAAGTCCCTCCTTGTTCAAGGAGGCTACTGACAGGACAGGCAGGGGGAAAGAAGTGAAATCTGTTGAAATGGTATGTGGCAGAGCTGGCCCAGCCATAGGGCAGGATGAGACCACTGCTTCAGGCAGCAGAAGCCTCCATGGGTGCCCCACCATTGGCACTGATTTTGGTCCAGTAGCAGATGCAGCAGCGGCAGGAGTAGGTAGATGGTAGCGGCAGGGCAAAGCAGCCCCTTCCGTTTTGCCAACAAGCTGCCCTGGTATGTGATATTGTTCCTTTCTTGGCAAACCTGCATAAAGGAACTCCTGACAGCCACTGCCAGGAGGCTGTTATGTACATGCTGGATAGATCATTCCTGGAAGGGACACAAGGCATACAATTGGCCTCTGTATTGTCGGTGCATGTTGTTCTCCTCTGAATTGCCTGCAATCAATTGCAGAGATGCAAAGAACTGCAAGCTCTCAGGAGAGATCAAATGCCATTTGATAAGTTGCGAGGGATTTGGCGACATCTTGACGCCAGGTGATAAATTTGTGTGTTACTAGAACTGCAAGCTCCTTGGCCTTAGCTTTGCAAGTTCTCCCTTCCTCCTGTTCTCATGATGGCAATTCAGCCATGGCATACGTAATATTAACAGGGCTGCTGCCATGGTAGACCTATCAGAATCACAAATCTGCTCTGAACATGGTTTGAGCTCATTTCCAAGGCCACACCTACACAGCCGCAGAGCCAAGCCCTCGTGCTTCTTTCCCTGAGCTGCCTTGCTCTTCTCTTATCTCATTTCATTTCACTGGCCTGCGTGTTTGTGTGAGTGAACACCATTGGACATACTGTGAGTCTCTTGTTTGTAAAATAATAATAATAATAATAATGTTGTTGTTGTTGCTGTTGTTGTTACTACAATTTTACCATTTTTGTTTGATGACTGAGAGATTGAGATTTCAAGTTATTTTTAAAATTTTTCATCTGTCAATTCTACAACCAGCTAACCCTCATTAACAGCTGATGGAAGTCACAGGGTAATTATGCTGAGAGGAAAGGAGAGATGTGCCGGGACGTATATTTCTTTTTGACCAGTAATGGATGGTACGAGCCTGGAAACTTGGTAATACAGGTGCATAGTAGGAAGTTGGTTTAAAGGCTGATGCTCTGAAACACGAATGTCATATAAAAATACCATATTGGTCTGAATATAAGCCTCACTTTTCCCCCCAAATTCCGACTGTGAAAAGTTAAAGTGCGGCTTATATTCGCAACCTTACAAAAATTGGCTTGGAGCAGGCTTGTCCCCAGATGTTGCCTGGTTTTGGCTGGGCCGGCTCCCAAGATGGCGGCACGGCAAGGGGGTCCCTGAGAGGGAGTCAGAAGGCGGTGAGGAGGAGGAAGGGAGGGAGGAGCGTGGATGAGAGAGCGAGAAGGTCTGCTAGGAGGAGGAACAGGAGATGCAGCCGGTCTGCTGCAACTGGCGCTAGCCCACCGAGGTGCCTGGCTTTAGCCCACTGAGGGGCGTGTGAGTCCCGACAGCTGCTGCCTCTCTCCACCTGTACCACCTGAGAAGGGGTGTGTGCTCGTACTTATAGCTTGATTGGACCTAGGGACATTTATTGTGTACATGTACAAACTGCCATTGGGCAGATGGACTGCAGAACTCGATAGTGGTGATTGTAAGATGTACAAACAATGGTAACCAAATCACAAACTCTATCATTAGGTGTGATATAGCCCACCAAAAATCTGCCAGAGAGCCTAGGTTCCTGTGTTTTTGGTGAAACCTAGACTGGAGCTGTTCTAGGGAACTGGAACACGTACGATACTGAGGCTGGATTGAGACACATCAAAGAAACATTTCATAAACGTGTTCTAAACTTTATATGACAAATCGGGTTGGCAAAAACAGAACTCCACAGCGCCACCTGGTGTCACGGTGTTAGAAAGGATAAACAACACATATAAAGTGCTTTTTCTTTGCCAGTGTAGCTGAGTCCTGATTCCCCCCCCCCCTTGCCCTTAGCAATACATTGATAATTATTTGATACTGTTAAATTAACTTTCGTCTTTTTCCCCTTTTTTTCCTTGGAATTTTGGTAAAAAAAAAGTGATTCCATGCATCACGTAGATGACTAAGGGTTTAGGCTTAAGTTATTAAATACAAACAAATTCCATGTTACGGAGGCAAGCACACTCTGTACATGCTCATGCTATCCATTCATTTCTGAGGCTCATGATTCTTAATTGTTTCTCCTCCTATACAACTTAAAATACTTAGGCTGTGTCACATTTTGGTTGGGCACAATATTGGCAGCACATTTTCCTTCTCAGTAAGCCAACTGGCAACAGCCTTGTCTTATACCTTAAAAAAAAAAAAAACCAGCCCACCAGAATATGGCTTATTGTATGATACTGAGTACACAACTCTGGCACACTTTTAATCAAAGAGGCAGCCAGCTAACCATGGCTTACACCAGAAATAAGACAACAGTCCAGCAGCAGTTTAAAGCTGGCAAGTGTAACAATATGCTTTTGTGGGTTACTAAGAATGATGCATCTAGTGAAGTGGAGTCTAGCTCAAGACAGTTCATGCCACTGTATTTTTAAGAGACTAGTACTGTTTGTTTTGTTATAATGTTCAAGCAGCACTATGATCTGCTTGACAATGTCATCGTGAGGATAAGAAGATTGTAAAACACATTGGTTAACTTAAAATGCTGTTACAAAAAGTAGAATGGTGCAGGTAATGGTTCAGATAGAGCCTACATGCAGGCAGGCCTGTCCTAGCACACAGCCACATATTGGATTGCCAAAGGCCAACGTCTGTAAACATGACTACCCGAGTTGTGGCCCAGAGTCTGTTCATCTTTTGTTCTTTAGGCTGCTGTGAGCGCATGTCAGGACACTAATACAGTCGTACCTTGTCTTGCGGCTGGGATCCGTTCCGGAGCCCCGGTCGCTAGCTGAAAAGGACGCAGGGCAAAGTGCTGTGTCTGTGCACGGAGCGGTTTTAACTTCTGCACGTGCGCAAGCAACAAATCCGGAAGTAACCCATTCCAGTATTTCCGGGTTTACCGTGGACGTTCGCCAGAATGGCCACTAGACAAGGCAGACAGTCATGGAGGTATTACTGTACCCATTAAAAATCTCCACTCCTGCAAATGGTGGTCTAAGAACAAGGCACCCCCCTCCACGACACACGGGTAAGCATGGAAGGGGAGACCATGCCTCAAAGTATGGCACCTGCACTTACTCCAACTCCCCCAAGGAAAGAAAGACGTGGAAAGCACTCAAGGCCACAGAGTATCTCCCACCAGAATAGGGACAAAATGTGGATTGGCTTAACATCACTACCTTATCTGCGAGGCCGCAGGAGTATTCCTTGTACAAGGGGATATAGGGTAAATCTGTACTGTGCAAAAACAGAGGCCCTGGTGGCCGCTATAACCCCACTGCAAACAAACTTCCGCTACATCCCAGGGAAAGTAAGGAGGAGCACAATAGCAGACTCGTCTTTGGGTATTGCCACTGCTGGCCAAACAGTAACGACTCTCATGCATGCAGGATATGAAAAAGGGCATATGGAACAGAACTGAAACTACAGAGCAACTCCCCACTGTAGAAAAGATGAGTAACGTTGCAAATGGCTACCGTGTTCTACAACTGGTGCAGCTGGAATGGAGACCCTGAGAGCTTTTCATTGGGAGAGGAAGGACAAAGATGAGATATGCGGAATGTAAGAATCCCTAGGTGATATGACACTCTTCCCCATATTCACTCACGTAACAGCGCCACCTGCCCGCAATGAGCATCTAAGTCATCACTGTTCTCGGGTTTCTCTTGTCGCTCCACAAGCATCCAGGCAGCTGTTCTCTACCTTTTTCCCTGCCAAGGACTCAAGGCAGCTTACAGATAAAAATGGTGGCCCTGCAAAAACAAATTAGACATGAGCTTGCAATATCTCCAAATCTGGGAGAGTTGTGTACTGCTATTAACCAAATGAAAAACAAAAAAGTCAGCGGACCTGATGGGATACCTGCCAAAGTCTTCAAAGTGGGCAGAACTGAACTTACTACACACAAGCTCATCGGAAAAATCTGGGAGAAGAGATCCCAGCAGACTTTAGGGATGCCAAAATTATCATATATTTTTTTTAAAAAAGGTGATAGAATGCATTGCGGAAATATTGAGGCATCTCTTTATTAGCTGCAGCCAGCAAAATTATTGAAGGATCTTATCAAACCTTCTCCTAACTATATATCCTGAATCCTGGTTTTCGACCTTCTAGGGGGGACAGTGGGTATGATTTTCACTGCTCGACAGCGTCAATAAAAATGCAGAGAGCAAACCCAACTCCTGTATATGGTGTTTATTGACCTAAGGCCTTCGACACTGTAAATCATAACGGAATGTCCTCTCCTTGAAAATGTCCTCAAGGAATGTCCTCTTCTTGAAAAAACACACAAGACTGCAGAGGGGCGGTGGAACCAAAAGGGCCCTCTCTTGCCACCCAAGAGGATCTGTAGAGCTGGAAGCATCTTTCAGATATTTGGGGCCTATGTTGTTTAGGGTTTATAATAAAATTACACGTTAAAGTTGTATGCCTTGGCAGACTTGCCAAAACAAAAGCGTCTGTTGCAGGTGCTGAAAACAACATGGTGATGGCACTTGCCTAATATTAATTGGCAGGGCGTTTCAGAGTGTAGGTGCAGAATGGTCATTATGTGGCACTTGTAGAAGTGCCAGCTGCACAGATCGAAGCCGTCAAATGGGCGTAGATGGGGTAAGGCGATCCTTCAAGCAAACTGGTCCCAAGCTGTTGAAGGCTTTATATACTAATAATAACACCTTGAATTTGACCTAGTAACAAACCAGCAGCCAGTACAGATCTCTGAGCAGAGGTGCAATATGCTGACAGGGTCTCACTCCAGTTACCAGTCGTGCAGCATTCTGCACTAACTGCAGTTTCCAGACCAAGTGCAAGGGAAGCCTTACGTAGAGTTCGTTGACGAAACCCAATCTTTAATGGTGCCTGGACTACTACTGTGGTCAAGTCCAGGAATGGCTGTAACTGTTGTACCAGCCAAACTGACAAAAGACGTTTCTAGTTCTTACATTCAGACATCACTGAAATATTTATTGTCACTGCAGATTTGCTTCAAGTACCGTATCTGTCATATCATGAGAAACCATCAACCTGCCTGTATAAGGCCCGCTGTTAGTATCATGTCCATAATTTGAGGTTGCATCACTTTTTCCAAAGCCTTTGGTTAATGGATTAGTTACCTTTTTACCCATGCCCTTAGAATAATTGGTTTTCCTGGCAGTTGGGATTTTTATTCTTTTCTCCCTTCAGTCCCACAGCTCCAATGCATACACCAATGTGGCTGAATCTGTAGCTGCAGGGTGATGGACTCTGTGCAAGCTCTCTATGTGGTATTATTGTCAGGTGTGCCTCCAGTGACAAAAGCTGGTTCCCCAAGCGTCTGCAGACTGTATGCTTGCTCCTTCAAGGGGAGTGCAACCGTCTCCAGGGCAGGCAACTGGGTAATTTCTCAGACACAGGTGTTACATATGTAAAAGACAATCAGAAACTGGAGGTGTGCAGTGGCTGTGTACACACTCCCATTTACTCTGCATCCCATGTGCTCCTGTTGCTGGTTTGGGAAGTGGTATACACACACACCAGCTTCAATCCAAATAAAGAAACAGGACAACCTAGTTGCATTTTAAGCCAATAACGTGCCTTGCATCCAAACAAAGCATTGAATTGGATATTAGTTTAGATGCTGCTTTTAAAAGGGCAACAATATCTGAAATGGTTCATATAGTTTCCATTGGATCTAAAAAAGAATTCAGTACATATCAGAAGTCTGTTACCTGCCAATACAATTCATCCAATAAAAAGGTATTATTAGAATGAAGCACAAAGACTCCTTTGTAAATGAATGGCAGTTTTATTAATCACACAGCTAAAAACAAAAGTAGAGAGGTCCCCTCACACTTTTAAAACTTTTTGGTTAACTGTTCATCACCATCGGTACAAAGAGTAGATTGGGATAAGAATTTGTGTTATTTGGCTGTTATTATGTATGTACTGCATTGCCCAAACACCAGCTTCTGGGCTAGGGTGGGATATTTCATTATTTATCTGCAAACAGTTGTTGTATGCAGAAATAATTTAATAACAATAAAGAACACTATGAAAAGGTATTATTTGAAACATTTTGGATATTGCCTGTCCTAGGGATCAACAGACGGTATTTCTCCAAAATTGGAAACTAACAAGGGATGTTGTAGACCTTGGGTCTGAGTTGAAAGGTGTCAGCAGAGCAGCTTCTTACTTTAAAAAATGGGGTTCTTTACCTATGTTTCAGGGGATCTGTACTCAAAAAATACTTTTTTCTCCCAATGCTGTAAATAAAATTTGTATGCATATTTTGTGTTTAGTGTTTGTGTATATATGTGTTTGTGTATATTTTTTCTGGGGAGGGGGGTCCATAGCTTTCATCAAGTTCTCAGAAGAGCCCATGACCCAAACATGGTTAAGAGCCACTGGTTTAAAAGAAACATGACAGCATACCTAATCTCAGCAAGCAAGGATATTTTAGTTTGCCTGAATGAAAGCCTCCCAATTCTCTAATGGCCTAACCCCGACTCGTTTTTCAGGATGGCTCCGATTGCCTTCCAACAGCCTCCTGCCAAGCAGGAAATCAGAAAAAATGAGAAGCTTTTCTCGCCCATTGCATCTGCGCTGACAGCTTCACCTGCCGAACTGCTGCTTGTCGTGACGCAGCTTTTAAATGCCAACACAGCCCCGGCGGGCGGGGAGGGGAGCGAGAGAGAAAAAAAAGCCCTGACAAGAGCACAAGCCCCATTGCCGCTGAAAGGAAGGCGGCGCGCGTTACATAACCTGGTGTGGCCGCGCAAAGGGAGCAGCAGTGCAGCTGGAATCAAGCAGGCGTTTTATCCTCTGCAGGGACAGCGCAGATTCGAAAGGGAGGGCGACAAATTTCAGGGGCAATCTTACTAAGACAACTTGCTGCGGAAGGAGCCCAGTGGATTTTTGTTTTTTAAGACAATTTTCAAGTCCATTACAAAACAGCAGGAGCCGCCTATGAATAATAACATACCAGAAAGTGGGGTGGGGGCATTAAGTCCCATTTAACTTATTGCGATTTTCTTCGGGGTAAATATACACGGGGGATGTTTCGCCGGCAGCCCGCGATTTCCAGGGCACCGGCAGCAGCAGCGGCTCTCCAACGCCTTTCCCACGAACTCTCGTCATGGGGGACGGAAAGGAGAAGCGGGAGCGGCGGCCGCTTCGCTGCCATTTTGCGCATCCTTGCGATTTTTTACGGCAGGGGAGACGGAGAAGCCGCGTCCTGCATTGAACCGAACGGGGAAGCTCGGAGCGCGTCACGTGCCCCCTTTTCCGCGGAGTTCAAGTACCCGGATGCCGGAACTACATTACCCGTCAGGCCCCTGGCGCCTCTACGCCTGCCGTCCAGGCCGGAAGGACTTGGTGGCGCCGTGACCTCCGGAGCTTCCTTCTTTCCGAGCCAAGCCCCGGCTGAGGTAAGACACGAAACAGGCCTCGGGAGTGTATCCGTGTCCATCGGGGCCGCGGCGGCACCCCGCCGGCCATCTATGGCCGGCATCAGCCTCCGCTTCCCCTGGCCGGTTTCGCGGGCGGGGAACATTTCGCGCTTCTTTTCGTGCGGCTCCCATGAACGATTCGCTTGCCGCTGCCGGGCGAGCCTGGATTTTCCTTTGGCCGCCGAGGCCACGAGCAGCGGAGGATGGGCTCCGACGGGAGACCGAGCTCGAGGGGAACAGGCGGAGGGGATATTTTGTGCTCGTGATTTTGTGCTTTAAAAAATGTCTGTAACGGCAGCCATTCTCCAGGGCGATCCCTCAAAACAGAATAACGCTGTGAGAGGATTCGTAAGATATATGAAACTCTTGCTGTCACAAATATTTTTCTTCTACGTACTCCGTTTTAGTCAAAGGCCCTGTTGCATTTTTAAAATAAGCTAACTTTCAGATTGCAAGTCTTTAAGCTTTAGGTCCATATACCAAGAATAACTTGTTGGTGCAGAAAGCAGTATGAGTTGCAAACATTTTCACTGAAAAACTTTCAAAATAATATAAAAACATTGGGGTATGTGTTTGTGTGTGTTTAACCTGTACTGTGCTGTGTGAGACCATGACTATAGAGGAGAAAGTAAGTTTGCATCAGATTGATAGGAACACTGTGTGTGAGATCCAGAAGTACAGTTAAAATACTTGATATAGAAAACAAGCACACTAGATACTGAAAGTGTTTTAAACTGAAAGATGGGTGGGATAGAGACCCATACTAAATAATCTTTCTACACTAGAGACAGCTGCATTTTCTAAATAAGCATGCTAATAACTTTATTTTCAGGTTCACAATGGGCCGTGTAATCAGAGGTCAAAGAAAAGGTGCGGGGTCAGTGTTCAGAGCCCATGTGAAGCACAGGAAAGGCGCAGCAAAGCTGAGAGCTGTAGACTTTGCTGAAAGGCATGGCTATATCAAAGGCATTGTAAAGGCAAGTACCAGATTGTGGGGATGTTCTGTTTCTATTCTTGTAACTTAAGTTTTAAGAAATCTGAATCCCTTTTTCCCTAATAAGAGTAGTTATTAGCAGTTTATACAGTCAATAGAACTAGTACAGGCAGTATTATTTTGTTATGCATACTTTTGTGAAATTCTATAGTACAAAATTTCTGAAATGATTTGATGTTTTTAAGATTGACACAGTATGTATTAATGGTATTTAATACGATGCATATTTATATTTGTATTTTATCATCTTGATGAATCTGGTAGTATGTTGAATGTGGGTTATGCAAATATTAACATCTACATGAAACCACTGTCAGCAGTATGCAGATGATACTGTCTTGTTTCCATTTAATAATACCATGGAGGCTATTGAAGTCAGTGTCTGGAGGCAGTCTAGGGGGCAGTGAGGGCAAACAAGTTGAGGTTGAGACCTAGACAAGACTTGAGGTACTGACTGTGGGTAAGGAAATAAACTGCATCATAACATGGTTTATAACTTATCTTGCATGGGGAATTCTTTAGTGGCCACCATATCTCCAAAATTCAGTCAGTAACCTGTGCTCTGACAGGCTCCAACATTGCAGGTCTTAAGGAAAATCCTAAAGTCACACTTATTTTCTGTTGCTATTCTCTTAATGGTTTTGTTCTGCTGATGGTTTATAACAATAGAGAAACAAGATGGTAGGGAAGAAGGTAAGTGCATACCAATAAGGTAGTTCTGGAAATATTTAAGCTTGCTTAAGAGCAAGACAACTATAGGCTTCCATTTAAAAGGCAATGGCATAGTTGAAAAGCACGGAGGCTAAGGGACAAAGCTTTTGATTGATTTAGGGGAGGATTGCCTTTATTCCAACTTCGTTTAACCTCAGCCATTCCCAAATGGAAAATATGTGGAAATGAGGCAGCTCATAAGTTATGTAGATATGTAATATTACCTAGCAGGGCTAAGCAGTTATCTCAAATGCCTGGCCTTTTGATCTGGAAAGTGCATGTAATTCACTGAGTATATTGGTAGTGTTGCTAACTATCTGAAATTATAAGATAATTAAACTGTATATTTCAATAGGATATAATTCACGATCCTGGTCGAGGAGCTCCTCTTGCCAAGGTTGTTTTCCGTGATCCGTACAGGTTTAAGAAACGAACAGAATTGTTCATTGCAGCCGAGGGCATTCATACTGGACAGTTTGTTTACTGTGGCAAGAAAGGTGAGTAAAGACAATAAACAGTTGTGCATATTTTTGGAAATAGTTAGGTAACTTGAAAATGTAGATTAGAGTGATACTGCAGCTCTAAAAAATGTTTTTCATGTGTACAAATCTTTTAGCTCAACTCAACATTGGCAATGTCCTGCCCGTTGGTACTATGCCAGAAGGCACTATTGTCTGCTGTCTTGAAGAGAAGCCAGGTGATCGTGGTAAACTGGCCCGTGCTTCTGGGAACTATGCCACAGTTATCTCCCACAATCCTGAAACCAAAAAAACCAGAGTGAAACTGCCTTCTGGGTCCAAGAAGGTGATCTCCTCTGCAAACAGAGCAGTTGTTGGTAAGTGTTGCCTCATATATATGCTAGGTTTTATGCCTCATAAGCTGAAGTGTTTGTGTTTGGAAGCGCCAGAACACCTCTACAATCCAGATTCTGCAAGTTCTGTAGTTTTAGGACAGTACTTGCAGAATCTGGATTGTAGAGGTGTTCTGGTGCTTCCAACTAATAACACTTCGAAAAAGGTCTTAACGTGGAGGAGGTTTTCTGTAAAACTCAACCGAATTGGCTATTTACTACAACAGCAATGCATGATATCATTTTACTAACTTTCTCATACTAATTTAAGGCCTGTAATGAAATAGAAGAACATGACTGTGACTGATTATTTGGAGGTTAAGATTTTCCAACTGTCTAGTCAAGCAAATTCATTTGGGAGTCTTTGATGTTCTTTATTGAATAATTGTGACTTAGAGTTGGCAGCTGGGTGTCTTAAAAGAGAATTTTTTTAGCATATATTATTTTGCATTGAGTCTGTCCTCTTTAGTCTGTTGACAGCAGAAGGGCATTGTTGATAGACAATGGGCATATTGCATTGCAAGAATGAGGTGATGATTAAGCCCCTGACATTGTTGCATTCTTATTGGTGTCTTGGTATTTGTCACTATAGCTGCTTGTAAGCACTTAAGAAATTAGAATCCAGTCTTTAAAAATGACATTGCACGAAATGTGTTCTGTGTCATTATTTAATACTGTGTTGCTACAGCAGTGGTCACCAACCTCTTTTTTTTTTTTGCCCTGGGCACATTTGGAATTTAAAAAAAAAATGTTTTACTGCAAATTATCCAAATATACAATAATGAAGAAATATACAGAAAAAGGAAAGTGTATAACTAATAACAATCATAGCAGCATAAATATAATACAGCTACTGGTAATCACATAATATTCCACTTTTAGCTTTTGCTTGTGGATTACACAAATTTGGAATTTTGAGAGTGCCATGGACGTTACTCCCTCTGGTCGCTTTTTTCCTGCCCACCCAAAAAGCGAACATAGACAAACTTTCACTTTTCCAGGTGGTCTGGATAAAACCATTCAGCAGAATTAAAACAGATCCTCTTGAATGTGGTTTTACATGCCCCCCCAAGCGTTCTCAAATTTTAGCTTAAATAGGTAGGCTTCACAGAACCATTGCTTGCCAGCACCGGGAAATCATTGATCCATGGCATGAATCATGATTTTTACATAGTACGACAACAGAATCACAGAATATATCTGTGATCTGGTTATGTGTGGATAGATAATGGTTTTGATGGAGTCCCTATAAACAATGGGGTTCTGTGTTTTGGACCCATGTTTCTGCACCATGGTGACACTAGAAAGTACCAGATGTGATGTTCATTCAATGGAGACTGATGCGGTATGTGATCACATGGTGGTTAAGAGAACCTGTGGGAAAAACTTTTAATTTCAAGACATTTACATTCACTCAAGTTTCTCAATTCATTGTCTTCGGACGTCACTTGTCAGTCTTATGTTCCTTCCCCCAGGCTAGATTGCTTCACTTTCCCTACTTACCCTCACAAGTCACTCTGCTTTCTGATCAGGCGCCAACCTTAGCCTTAGAATGCACATACTGCTGAAAGAGAGAGTGGGAAAGGTCCTCCCACTTCCTCCCTTAGCCTTGATGTGGGAGTTGGTGGCTGTGAACTGTTCTGAGGTCTATTGGTATAGGGCAGTATACAAATAATAATTGCCACCCCTTATAACGGAGTCTAAGAGACTTGTGGGCAGCCTCAAGGGCACACATTAGCATCCTCAGTGCTGCAGTCTCATTTAGAAGTCTGATCACAGTACTAAATATGGAAGGTTCAAATATTTTTACCAAAGTGAACTGTGAGACAATATGAAAGCATTTCCCAGAAGCAAAGCAAATGGAAAGCTTCGAATAAAATCATTTGGTAAACATTGTCTATTGCTACTATTAGTGCTGCGCACTTGGAAGGCCTACAAAGAGCATAACTAACCATGTTTAATGGGGGAACAGTTAAAGCACTAATACTGTTTTTGGAAAATAATAACAGGGAAAATCTCTTGCAAAAAATCTTCCAGGTATTGTTGCTGGTGGTGGTCGTATTGACAAACCTATCTTGAAAGCTGGACGGGCTTACCACAAATACAAGGCAAAGAGAAACTGCTGGCCACGTGTCCGTGGTGTAGCTATGAATGTAAGTCTTTCTTGCACCTGCTTCCTCTGGTTACTTAACCTACTACCTTGATACACTGATGGTGGTTTGCAGTTTTAAGATGTAATCTATTTTAGTGACATTAGACAAGAGGAAAATGGAATGCAGAGGTAGAAGAAATGTAATCAGACATGGCTAGTGACTCCTTCATAGTATGGAGAATACAGTTCCACAAGGATAGGAACCAACAGGTAGCTGGTTCCAACAGAGATACGGGATTGGACTGGTTCCTCCTGCAGATAAAGCTAGATAAAATGGCTGCTAATGGAGATAGTGCTAATATGACCTAAGTGTCCATCCAAGTTTTCTTTACAACCATTACATGAATGAAGCAAGCTAAGTTTTAAGGCTTGTAATTCAATATACATCTGTAGTGGCACTGTCCCCATAACGAATGTAAAAAATAAATAAATCAGCATACAGTTCAAAGGTAAAACAAGCCAAGTTGTTAAATCAACAGCGGAATGTAGCACCTTCACTTTGTAGCATTTCCTGAAGGTCATCAAATCACGGCTTTGATCTAAGCAAACTATGCAGATGGAGCTTAGTGATAAACTTAGTTGCTGGGTTTTGTTTTGTTTTGTTTTGTTTTTTTGGTTTTTTTTATATTGGAAATAATTTCCTGCCTTATTTTTTACTCTGGTTGCTGCTTTTCTTTCATAGCCTGTTGAACATCCCTTTGGTGGTGGTAACCATCAGCACATTGGTAAGCCTTCAACCATCCGGAGAGATGCCCCAGCTGGTCGCAAGGTTGGTCTCATTGCGGCCCGTCGTACTGGCAGACTGCGTGGAACAAAGACCGTGCAGGAGAAGGAGAACTAAATATTCAGTTCAATATATTCATAAAGAAATAAATGCCACCTTTTGTTCAAAACTGGTACATGTGTGAGAGGCATTTTCTTTTTAGTTTTAACAGTTTGTCTAAACATTTTATACATGTGTAAATGGTCCTGAAATTTTAATCACCTTATAAAGGAACTGTCTTAGATTGTGTATGAACAGGAACAGGAAGCGGGACTTTGGGCCTTTCGTCTGATCCAGCAGGTCTCTTGTGCTCTTTCATCAAGCTTCAGGAAGGCAAGATCTCAAACTTGGCTTAGTACATAATGCAACATTCTTACACTTTGCTGTATAGCAAAGACATGTCAAATGGGAGTAGAAAGAGAGTGATATGCTTAGATTAATGGCAAAATAGAATCCTTTAAACAGTTCCATAATGCTGAACAAAATGTTAGGTATGTTTAAGGCGCTTAGAATGTTCTGCTTGTGTAATAGGACCTTCCTCTCCCCTTTGCTCCCTGGCACACTATAAATTTCTCCAGAGGGTTGGGGGTACACACAAGTGGAAGAAGTCCTGTTGCATGAGCAGAACGGTTTGCAGTGTTGGATACAAAAGCCCAATTTTGTCTTAAAGAAGCCTGTTTAATAAGGACCAAACTATGCAGTTGCACCCAAGGGTCTTTTGGCAAACTTGGGAGGAGCGTACATCTCCCTCCAAAAGCCGTTTGACATGGTCAGCTGTTCAAGGAAAGAGGGATAGTCCAAGCAGCCCATATCCAAATAGTGGAGAGATGTTTTGATGGTACATCAGTTTCCCTAGAACGTCATTTTGGGCTGCTTGGAACATGGCTCAAATAAATGACTGCATCCAGAGTTAAGGATACTGCTTCTACAATATATTTTCCAGCTTCCCCTCCTTTTTTCTTGTGACGGCTCTCACAGCAGCAGCACAACATGAGAAAGATTGCTACAGCAGGTGGAAGTAGAAGTTCCTGCTTTCCATTTAATGAAAAGACTGAAGTGAACTCCTGTTCTGTAGTCTGCTTTGCCCCATACCATGTACAGTGGTCCCAAAGGCTGCAAGACGCCCGCTAGGCGAGGTCGTTTCCCACCTATGGGCTGCCAACGACCATAAACAGGCAGCGGGCGCAGCGCGTCCCCCACGTCTGACCTCTCGCCTGGCGGCGGCGGGACGCGCCGCGGGCCAGCCGCGGGCGGGAGGCATGCCGCGCCCGGCGGAGTCCGGCGGGGGGACTCCGCGCCGCCGGGGCGGGGGGGACGCCGCGCCGGCCGGCGCCCGAGCGGGCGGGACTGCCTGCCCGGCCGGGGGCGGGGGAGGGAAGACTCCGCTGGCCGGGCGTGTCGCCGGGCGGGCGGCCCGGCCGGGGGCCTCCCCGCCGCCGCCGCGCCGCGGGGAACACCGCGCCCGCGCCGGGGGGACACGGCGGGCGGGGCGCCGGCGCGTGGGCGCCTCTGCCCGGCGGCGGGGGGCCGCGCCCGGCCTGCGGGCGGAGCTCTGCGGGGCGAAAGTTGTCCCTGCCTGCCTGTCCCGGAGGGCTTTTGAAGGCGGGGAGCAAGACTTTCGCCCCCGCCCGCCTTCAGAAGAGGTCCAGGACCTCTTCTGAAGGCTGGCGGGGGCAAAAGTCTTTGTCCCCCTGCCTGCCTTCCCAGGGGCTTTAAGTTGCCCCGGACAGCGGAGAAGTCCTCCGCTGTCCCGGGGTGATTTTAAATGCCGCCCGCCAGCATTTTAAGATCGCCCGGACAGCGGAGAAGTCCTCCGCTGTCCCGGGGTTTTAAAATGCTGGGGTGGGAAGAAAAGCCCTTGCCCCCCCAGCCTTCAGAAGAGGTCCGGGGACAGACTGTCCCCGGACCTGAGTCTGAAGGCGGTTTCCTAGGAACGCATTGATTTTCAATGCATTCCTATGGGAAACCGTGCATCGCAAGACGAAAAACTCGCAAGACGAAGAGACTTGCGGAACGAATTAATTTCGTCTTGCGAGGCACCACTGTAAATAGCATAAGGATTTATCAGTGCCCTAAGTACATTGTGCAAATGTAGAGAAAACAAGTTTCAATGTTTAGTAGATGGAATAGTTTTCAGAGGACCACGGATAGTAAAAGCAAAGCTGTGGGAGCATACTTTTTCTAGACACTTAACAGACTTCTTGCTTTGCATGATGTTATCACGAGCATGCTGTATTTTGCTGATAAACGAGGTGGAGGGAAGGCGGCTTTCACAAAAGGGAGTTGAAGCATGTAAGAAATATACACAAGTGCTGCTAAATGGAAAACGAAAATTGGAATATTTTTGAAGCTGGGCTAATGACATGTACTCTTAATGATGTCACAGACAACAGGGTTTTCTCATTTCCTTTCAAGAACTATATAGCTTAACAAACCTTTAGAATACAGTGGTGCCCCGCAAGACGAATGCCTCGCAAGACGGAAAACCCGCTAGACGAAAGGGTTTTCCGTTTTTGAGTTGCTTCGCAGGACGAATTTCCCTATGGGCTTGCTTCGCAAGACGAAAATGTCTTGCAAGTCTTGAGATTTTTTTTCGCTTTTCCCCCCCCTTTATCTAATCTGCTAAGCCTTTAATAGCCTTTAATAGCCTTTTAGCAGCTAATCCGCTAAGCCTTTAAGCCTTTAATAGCCGCTAAACCGCTAATAGCGCTAATCCGTTAAGCCGCTAATAGGGTTGCTTCGCAAGACGAAAAAACCGCTAGACGAAGACTCTCGCGGAACGGATTAATTTCGTCTTGCGAGGCACCACTGTACACATGGTAGAGAGCACACTATCTGAAAATAACAGGCAACTGCCTTACGTATGTATGGAGCAAAGCTGTGTGAGCACAAATTGTTTTAATGAGCAACCCAGTAAGTCTCAGAAGCAGGTGTGGCTTTTCCTAGATGTACAGCAATTGGGAAACTACTGCTTGCATTTGTAAGTGCACAGCTACTCAAGAGCAAGGTGCGAGGAAGCTATGGTCTGCTGGCCTATAATTTACACATCCTTTACCACTGGATATGTTGGTTGGGGTTGAATAAAGCTGGAAGTCCACAGCAACCCTCTAGAAAAACAGTGATGTAACTGTTAGTGAAGAACAATCTCTTGAAAGGAATCATTGAGCTAAGAATGAGGATTGCTTAATTAGAAGTAAACTAGCAGTGCAGGAAAAGTCAACACGTTAACTATATAGTTTAAAAACTGCTACTAGGTGCAGCTAGAGACTAATCCTATCAGTTACTTGTGATTTTAGTATTGTCCAATATTCAATATACACATAATACATGTATTTAAAGAAAAATGAATTAAAATATTTTGGGGGCTGTCCTGCTGACAGCCTGAAAGCTGTAGAGCTCTTAAAAACGTTAGTCTTGGACAGACTTATAACCCATGAAACAATTATAAACTCTATGAAAAGGTAGGTAGCATGCAGCAATAGATTAGATTAACAATACCGGTACAACCTAGAATAATATAATGATTTTCACCATATGTAGGACACTTGAGACAGCCTAAAGGTGTACAGTGGTACCTCGGGTTAAGAACTTAATTTGTTCTGGAGGTCCGTTCTTAACCCGAAACTGTCCTTAACCCGAGGTACAACTTTAGCTAATGGGGCCTCCCGCTGCTGCCGCCACTGCACGATTTCTGTTCTCATCCTGAAGCAAAGTTCTTAACCCGAGGTGCTATTTCTGGGTTAGCGGAGTCTGTAATCTGAAGCGTCTGTAACCCGAGGTACCACTGTATGATTGTTCACTGCAACAAGTAGGCTATAGTCAAACTGCTTTTGTGTTAGAATAGCAGCCCAGAGTGGTATACCGGTCATGAATTTTGCTACAAGGGTCCAGTGACGTGTTGCTCTGTCCAGCATATGAACATTGGAGAGAAAACTAAAATTACAGGGACCAAAATTATTTCACAGAATTAACCAACCAGGGAAAATCCTGAAAAGATAGTAACAAAGCAACTTATTCCTAAAACATTGCTTTCCAATAAAAAGGGCTACTTTCAATCATGAGGCACAAAGCATTCTAGAGCAGAAAGTTAAGAAACTGCAAATAGTTTCTACAGCAAGTAGTAGTTTCTACTACTCTCCTTAGTGTGATAGTACATGCAATCCTTAATTTATATTGAAGTATAGAGTTGAAGGGACGCGGGTGGCACTGTGGTCTAAACCATAGAGCCTAGGGCTTGCCGATCAGAAGGTCGGCAGTTTGAATCCCTGCGACGGGGTGAGCTCCCGTTGTTCGGTCCCAGCTCCTGCCCATCTAGCAGTTCAAAAGCACATTGAAGTGCAAGTAGATAAATAGGTACCGCTCCAGCGGGAAAGCAAACACCGTTTCTGTGAGCTGCTCTGGTTTGCCAGAAGCGGTTTAGTCATGCTGGTCACATGACCCAGAAGCTGTCTGCAGACAAACGCTGGCTCCCTCGGCCTATAGAGTGAGATGAGTGTGTAACCCCAGAGTTGTCTGCGACTGGACCTAATGGTCAGGGGTACCTGTACAGTTGAAAATACACTTTGAAGTAAACCACAATACATTGAAACCAAATTTCCAGCATTCCTGTAGATCAGCATAAAGCTCAACTGCATTAAAGTAGCTAGACATCAATGTACATAATAAATGAACTTTCCCCTTAAACATAAGACTAATCTTGCAAGTTAGTAGTGGACTACAGTTTCAGAAAGTGCTGAACTAGAAACCATCTACAGTATGTCTTGCAAACCAGTACTTCTGCATAAAAATGGCAGATACAGAGAGTTTCTAAGTTTTCATATTCCCCATAGATCTATGTTGAATTTAAAATTATGAATTTCTGAAAACTTTAAATTTAGTTCAAATGCAAAATAGTAGTTGACGCTCGTGGTGACATAAAGTGTAATTTGAATATACTTGCAGGGGGCTGGTGATGGTGAAGCAGAGATATACTAAAAGCTATTAAGTATTTCAGAATAGGCTTACACATTGAAATAGCTGCTCCACCACCACAATCTACAGTTTTTGTAAGTTTGTAACATGCAAGAAAGTCAGTATTAGTCTAGTAAAAGGCCTGTCGCACTTAACTAAATTTCCCCTCTATTGTCTTTCCCCCTAATGCTTGCTTGTGGTAATGGCGACTCTCAATTGTAATTAATGCTTAGAAATACTCAAAATACAATTGAAAGTGGGCTGCAGCGGAATCAAAGTAACATGGCCAAAACAAATGCAATATTAGAAATGAAAAATGTGTCAGTAGCATTTACAATAATATATCCAAAAATAGAATTCCTATAGAGGTGGCTACAGAATTGTGGGTTAAGCTTAGCTCATTTATCTCTAGACAGAGAAGAAGAATACTTTCCAAAGCTGGAACAAATTTCTCAGTCCTAATAGGACTAACAGGAAACTCATGGTGAATTGGCCATCTAAGTTTTGACACTAGTCACACTCAGAATAAGACTCATGGAAATCAATGGACTTAACAAAGTGCACTGATTTCAACAGATCTACCCCAAGCATGATATACAGAGAAATCCAAGCCCCTGATCTGCTATAGTGGAAGGAGTTTGGGTGGTGCAAAGGTATCCCTCTGCCCAGCCCCACAGGCAAGGACCCCCATGCAGCAGCCTCTCCCATTGGTAGTCAGCAGGAAGCTCTGAAATGGGGTGTTGTGGGGGAAAGCCAGCACTGGATCTACTGGATGGCATTGACTCATTTTTGGCCTTTGTTGCACTGGGAGCATTTCCCCTCCACTCTGGCTGGCACAAGTTTTGGGGCTGTGCTGTTCCATCAAGCCCTGCCATTGCTGGCCAGAGCATATGGTTGCGCACTAAGCTGGATATTAGCCTATGAAGGGCCAGTATATTAAGCGACAGCAGTCTTAACAGATGAAACAAATTGTTAAATTGGGGGAAGTATATGCTAACTTTTCCTCTTTCCAACTAGACTCTTTCTGCCTTGATCACTAAGGTCAACATAATACAGGAATCAGCATTTGGTTCTGAAAGGTGCTGCCAGCCTAGTGTTACCACCCTAAGAGGTAAAGTATCTCTGGAAGAAATGCCATTTGTGGCAACAGAACTGGCTAGCAGCCACTTAATGGGGATTGAAACTTAACCCGCTTACTCCTGTGTGAAACTGATCTCGCAGGGGAATTAATTGCTGAGCAAGGACCTAAAATGTAAGATAGCAAGAGCCCGGCTGCATGAGACCAAAGGCCTATCTAGTCCAGGTTCCCATTTCTCTGTGGTCAACCAGATGCCTTTGGGATGCCGACAATTAGGTCATGAATGCAACAGCACTCTCCTGCTCTTACCAGCATCCAACATTCAGATGAATACCAGCTCTGTGTGCTCACACCACCATTAAAGCACATTCTAAGCACATGGTTTCTCAGAAGGTTTGGAGCACTGTAGTTTACCCCCCCCCATTACAATTTCCAGCAACCCTTAACAAACTACAGTGCCCAGAATTCTTTAAGAGGGGAAAGGTACTTTAAAAATATAGTGCAGACAGAACCCCAGGTATTAGTCATTATTAGGAGATACGGGTGGACATTACCCATCTTGAATCAGGTTCCAAAATTATGAGGGGGGAAACTTTGCTATGTACTTCCTTCACACTAAGCATAAATTTATATAACTCTTATCATCCCTGCTTATGTGCCTTTCTTTGAAAATGTTTAGTTCAAAACATTCTTAGTTTTTAAGTCACCTAAACAATCTTCTATGCTGAAAACTAGAAGTTAATTTGTGAGATTCATACATTGAAGAAAGAAAAAATTAATAATTATGTACCGAGCAAGAAAGCATGTCCAAGAACAAAATAAAAGTACATAATGAGGTGGCAAGTATAGGCAGAGGAATCAAATGTGGAGTAACACACACAGAACCTTTAGCACTGAAGGGAACTTGTTTTGAGGAATTGAGGTGCAGCAGGAATTAAGCTGATAAACTAGGAAGCTTACCCCAAGGAACAACCAATGCAACAGAAAAACAGAATTTTTAAACATCTGTTCAAAGTAGTAAGTAGCAAAATATAGGTATGCCAACCCATTTGATCCAATAATTAGAACAATACAATTCTGCAAATATATCAATTTCTTAGAGGTGGTTTGAAAATTAGGCAGTACCAGTTAGATATGAGAAAGTTTCCAATATGATCATGGTAGATAAGAGAAGATAAACCTTTGGCTGGCTTGTCACATATGCTGCTTAATAAACTCCATAATCACTTCCAAGAAAATGCTTGATACAACTAACAAACAATAGAAATCCCACACATTAAAACATTATGCTCTACGTGTGAACAAGTCAGTTCTTGTGCTTGAGCAAATATACTTGTTTCAGTCATGGGGATCACTGTTGGCTGTATAGCTGCTTGCCCATTGCCCAGACAGGAGTAACCCCAGGCATTTCTGCTACCTATCTGTAACTGATCGATGCACCAATAATTTTGCTCACGCCAATGTATTTGCAAGGCAGGGAATGTGTGGAGCAAACGTGTGAAGTTGATAGAAAAACTGCTAATTGGAAGGTTAACACTTTGAATTAAGACAGAATAGTGCATTGCTGATGGTCAGTATCATATATTGACAAGACGCATAGGAACACCACATTCCAAAAAGAATTATTTCTCTGAAGGATAACAGCTAACTTTTGTATATAACTTTCAAGCATTCAAAGTGCTTCAAACATAATCTAGCTGTAATCCTTACAACACTAAGCCAAATCAGTTTTATTATCCAACCCATTACAAAATTATGGGGACCTGAAGTTGAGAGTAGTTTGCCTAGGGCAAAGGCAGATTTAGGGGAGCATAACTGGTTTGGCTTCACTGGGTGTGGCGCTTTAGGGGCGCCACAGGGGACTCCACAACTATGATTTAGAACGGAGTGCAAGAGGCAGTTGCGTGCGCTGAATTTTGGCATCACACACAGCGCTGCTGAAATTCTGAGACCCAAAAGTCTGCCTAGTGAGTATACGGCAGAGGTGAATTTGCAACTAGGAACGTCCTGATTTGTAGTTAAAATCTCTTAAGCCACTGCAGTATTCTAGCACTATTTAAGCACCATCTTTTTAACTCGCCCTGTGATTTACCTGAGTGCTCCTGCTTCTGCAGTATTTGCTGTTAAGCATGCAGGAATTCACTATGATTTAAAGTCACAGCAGTACAGAATTTTTGCCACAAGTGGATTTTGATAATCTGAGCAAAATCATGCAATTCATTAAGTCAAACAGTCTTCATAGGCCAGCACAGATGATATGCCACAAAAAGCTTCAGGTAATCTACTACTTCTGCTGTAATGAGGTTCTTTCACAGTTAACACAGATAAAGCCCAGCTGCAGTTCTACAATATAGCAAGTAAATCCTTTGGAATTTAATATTTCATTGGACATCTGATAGCAAGCTACTCACAATGAGAAGATAGGAGAGGGAACAATGTTTGCACAAGCATCTAGTCACAAAAAATTATTTTCCTTCCTGCTCATGCTGCATGCAGATCTCAAAATTGAACAGAAAATTCTAGACACTAGTCAAGCTCCTCTTCCATGCTTAGTGTAAAATAAATTAAAGGAGCATATGGGCTTCATCCCATTTTAACTATCAATAGTTTAACACAATAAAATGCTTCCCTGTCCATTTAGGGCTTTCAACGAATAAGGACTCAAGCAACAATAGTCTCCTACTAGCCAGAGGAAAATGGTGAGTTCACACATGTTTATAGTGTGTGATTAACACATGGCAGCTTATTTCCACATGTGTGAATGGGCTTCCCTGAAAAGGACTGGGCTGGATCCTAAGAATTGCTTGTGGGAGGAAAACAACAAAAGGGGATTGTCCTTCTCCCTACACTGTCCAACACCCTTTTCTGAGGGTTGGGGGGTCCTCCTTGAGTGGGTGGGCTATGGCACAATGGGATGGGGAGATTGTCCCAACTCGGGCAGCAGAACCTCGTGCAAGTGCATCTTTGCTGAAGAGACTTCAAAATCTTGGCCAATTCTCCCCCTTCCCCTAGCTCCCAAGGTCACAACCCACCCAGGTTTTTCAACCCTCAGGAAAGGTGACTTGGAGATGTAGGAGGGAGAAGAAGGGAGGTTCTTTTCTGCCCATTTCCTTTAATGAGTGGTTCCTAAGATCTACTAAACCTACTGTAAATGAGGTGATGCATCTACAGTCATGATGAGCCGCTACTATGCCAGCCACAATATTCTGTTATCTTCCATAATCTCCATTCAAGAAGAGTGCTTGTTTCCCCTCCCCACACACAACTTTTTTCCTATAACTATCTCTAGCATCCTACATTTCCCTTTTTTGGGAAGATTTTTTTTTTTTTTTAAATACATACTACCATAGCTTGCTTGAACAGAGAAAGAAAAACAAATGTAAATGTTTCGCCATATAACATTTGCTAGTGTTACCAGCATGTTTATGAATAATACAGAGCTGGGGGGGGGGATTCTCTTGAACAACTTATGAAAATTGTCCCAGGAAAGCTGCACTGAAATGCAAGGGAGGTATGAAGGAAACACTTAGGAAATGTCCTTCTAGAAAAGGTGGACACCACAAAAACTTAGTATTTTGCATTCAGTTCAAAATGGAATTGCACTTTGCGATAATACCACTGTGGTGATGAACATTCGCTTCTCTACAAATGTGTAGCTAAAGGGACAACAGCATACTTATTATACTCCCATCTCTTTACTTTCTTTTGTAATTTAGTAATGACATGAATTAATGACACCCAGAGTTTAATACCCTGCCTGGAAAAGGTTTGCTAGTTACAACTTAATTCCAACTGGGAAGCAAATTTAATCATTACATTTGTGTTTCTAAAGCTAATTCTTTAAAATTCATGGTCCTTTTAAAAAGACATAACATGGCTTAAGAATCATGAGGTTTAAAATTCCATTTTGGATTCTTTTTATTTCTCTTTTGCTTTTTGAATCTTCAGTGGACACTGCAGCCATACTTTTGTTTCCACAACCACTAAAATCTATTAGTTTTTAAATGAAAACCGAGGCTCCCATTACTTTCAGCATTCAAAAGCTCCCCCAAAGTGACAATATGTAATGAAGACCCAGCAAGTTGGAAGCCATGCATACCTCCTTAACTAGAGTGATTTACCAGCGCTAACACAAAAACAGAACGTTAAAGTTTGCTCACTGAAGTCAGTGGCAAAAATTCATTTGCACAAAGAACTGCTTCTGGTAAAGCAAAGGAAGCTATTTACACAAACACATTCTGATACAAACACACTAAAAACTTTTCCTACGGGTGATCAGTTTCTATATATTTAATGTCAAATGATTAGGAAAAATGTAGGATTACTGTTGGATGGATTGCTTTTATGGAAGACAGGGATTTCCCATTAGCTGTTACAAACAAAAATTAGGATTCAATAATTAGCAGAAGAGTAAAATTAAACCTTTAGGCACTTTGAGGACTTGTTTTAATGTGTGCCATTCATATTGAGGTATTACATTACAGCTTTAAAGTGACTGCTGCCAAAACTCTGACAGAAGCATGCATTAATTATTATTCAGAACATTTTCACTTAAAATGAATAAATGAGATGTTTTGCCAAGAAGGAAGAAAATGATTTTTCAGGTTTCTGCTACACATTAATTTTAAAGAGGCAATAGTCTCAGGAGTCTCTCTTCCAGGGGGAAAAGATAACCCGCAATACCTCCTAAGTAGTTGTCTGAAAACTATCTCCAGGAGGGTTTTGTCATAGCCTTGTGAAAGTAAGTTTAAAAAAGAAAGAAAAAGAAAAAGTATTTTCACAATCACTTGACACTAATCATTTTTCCAAGGCCAAAGTAACAAGTTCCATGTTCCTGTATAGAAAGATAGTCTTTGAAAAAACATTTTTAACAATAATTACTGGTCTAAGGAAATATGAACTGTTGCAGCTCTAATACAAAACAGGCTAATATTTTGATTTAAGTCAACACTAAACATACCCCCGTACATGGGGAATGTTTCACTCAAACGTTGTCAACCAATTCAATTAACTGCTGTTAGAAACATAACAATTAACATGAATACTAGAGAAAATCTGGAAGGGTAAAGTGATTGCTGCTACATAGAATATTTAAAAATGGTTTAAGACTACACTAAATGCAAAAGAACGCACTTGTGAGTTTCTCACTTTGTTCAACTATAAATCCTCAGTTTGATAAGCAGCATTTTTGTATTAACTCAATTGTATAAAATACCTTCAAGCTTGTGCTCATTAAATATATATGTATATATAAAACATACAAAAAGTACAAGATAGTCACATTAAGAAACTATTACAGTTTTCCTTTTTTATTCTTGTCAAGGGTCAAATTTCTGTTCACCAATTCTCAATGCGACTTTAGTTCCAGAATTCGGTATAGTGCACAGAATTCAACTACCTGTGCAGTCTGTTTAAAAAAAAAAACCACACACACACCACAGGACAAAAATGGTCTTCTTAAATCAAATTCTATTTGTGAATTCAGCAAAATAATTTCTATAAAATAAAACAGCAAATATTTAAATAGTATAGGGTGGGCTGTATCTGTTTTGCAGGGGTATTTGGTTTTTCGACAGATTCCAAAATAATTACACACATTCAAGTTACCAATTTTAATTTAAATACAGTATTTACTGATGTCTTCCTTGAAGTCCTTAAACAAATGTTTACTCTGGAATAGAGATACCTCAGTTTTGTATTTGACTAACCAGTAGTTTGTTTGTTTTTTTAATAATCAAACTCTGCTTCTAAGGTTTCGATTTCTCTTATCATGGACAAAGAGCTAAGATTCAATTCTTGTTTTCAAGTAGAATTGTGAACGAGCAGAAAACCAGCAAGTTAACTTGGTGCAGTGGCACTCACAAGTATTGTGTGATTTTGTTGACTTCCACTTCACTGCAATGCAGTAGAAAGGAAAGTGTTAGAAGTTTATCAAATAAGCTCTACCAAAGAAACAAAACAAGCACACCAAATACAGTCTATTATGCTCCAGGCATCCTGGCATAGCAAAAATTTGCATATTTGTTTTAAATCTTTTAATTTCCTATTACTGAAAACTAAGTGTTTTTTTATCCCACCCAGAGACAAAACTGTCAAACATCAGATGTGAGGAACATATGTGCAACTGAAAACCACCTGTTTGTCACATTGCCCAACCCTCCCCTCCCTGTTTTATATTCTAGGTGGCAGAAGAATAGGCTCTGAACAACACAGTTGTCACTCTGGGACAACTGTAATTTTTCTTTCCTCACTGGCTACACTAACCTGGTGTGAAGCCATGCTAAATGTTACAGCTTAACTATAGCTTCAAAGTGATTAACCTAATACCAGAATGAAAAAGGCAATGAAAAAAGACCTAGAAACAATGTTACATCACCAATTTTCCACATCAACCAAATAATTAAAAGGTTACCAGTCATTACGTTGCTCATAGTAAAATTGACTCCAGTGGCAAAGAATTAACATGAAACTATTTTTCTGGTTGACATGGAGAGGCTTACTTTTTTGGGGAAAGAAGTTGATCCAACTGCCATTAGGCAGGCAACACTGGTTGTAGAGCGCAGCGGATATATCAAGAAATTAATTGTTGTAGATCTGTGAGTCTCATCAAGACAAAAAAATGTTTCTTGCTTAAGAATTAACAGTCAAACATTAATATACTATATACACCTTTGCCATTTACACATTAGCATCAGGCCATTTATTACAAAACACTATACACTTTCCACTGCAGGCAGGTTATATATTGACAGCAAATTTCTGCAGATAAGACAGTGAATAGACTCTTCACTCCATGTTGATTAGGAATAGTTTTTCTAAATATTAGCCAGACACAGAGAAAAGTTGGACTGTAAGGCCTGGGTGCACAGTCTTGATGGGGCAAGTTAATTATGTGCATTTCCACTATTCTTTCGTCTGAGGCGGTGAAACCTCTTCACTGCCTTCATAATTTTCTTGTGCTCGTTGGCCAGTTCGCTGAGGGTTGTTCATATGATGTGCTGCTGGGCCTGTATATGGTTGTCCATGCACATGGTTATTCTGGAAGAGACAAAACACGTGATAAGAATGACTTCTATATTTCCCCAAAAAAGTAGCTCAGGGAACTGGGCAAGCAATAATTTATATTTTTAAATCACAACTAGAGAGCTACTTACACTTACCGCCAACTAAAAATAGAACAGATAAATTTGCACTGAAATGGAAAGGTCAAGGTTACAGTTAATTAATTCCAACTTCATGCAAAAGCTGAAGCTTTATGTGAAGGTCCTCATAACAAATCTTCAGAAATGGAATGGTGGGGAGGAAAGTTTTAATTAGTACACAGAAGCAGGAAGTGGTAATTGTGAATGGCCTTTCTTCCAAAGGGACAGTATATTTCTTGTGTCAAACTTAATAAAATGACTTCGAGGTGATCATCGTCAAATATGTCTGTTTTAACTGTTAACACACCTAAACTGGCAGATGTAAAACATTCGTGTACCTTTGTGTAATGTGAAGTTGGGTCAACTATGAACCTAAAATTGGACTTAAAATGTAGCCATTGTGCATGTTAGGAGGTGAAAAAAGCCAGCTCTTGTGAGAAAGTGAAGACACCACACACTAACAAATAAGGGAGCTGGTGGTTAAACGTGTTTCAACTTTGAGGAGATTGGGTCTATATCACTTACCAACTGCTCTGCTGAACACATCGATAAAGAAAGCAAGATGAAGGAAAATGAGCAGGAAAGGAAATTAACAGATTAAGGATATAGAATTAATTATTTAGGAAAGGAAAGGGAACAAATACTGGTTATGTATGACTTACAAAGGTAATGCAAGATAATTACAATTTTAGCTTTCTGGAGTTAGCACTACATTTACAAAGGCACTTAACTTTTAAGAGATATACATACATGCAACTTAAGGTCACATGGTGTTATACATGAACTATAGCAGGGCTGGTTCAATGCTGGTTCAGAAACTTCTATTAGCAGATCACTGTGTGCAAAACTTAAGTGAAATTTTAGGCATTTTACAATGTATAGGTTGTTTTCTAAAGTGGTCTTCAAAGCATCAATGGACATGTCATATTGGGGGAATTTAGTTTTTCTCTGGATGCACCTGTGAGCTGATTCAAGTTGGCTTGCTGGCTCACAGAGAAAAAAGTTAGATAATTGTTCCCATATAATGGTTGTGTGTGAGGGCATTCACAAGATACTTAAAAAACAAAAAAACAAACCAAAAAAACCCTGTCTGCTAATTACACTTTGCTGGAAGAGCCCCTCTACCTGAATCACATTCTATGATGTTCTTGTGAAAGTTATCCTTGTTCTAAAAGGAATAAAACTGGCAATATGTTTTTTAAAAGCTGAAGCAAAAAGTTCAAAGGATACCAAAATGAATTGACATGTTTTAAAGATAATTCTCTGCTTACCTGTTGATACTGGGAACCAGGCGAATGGGGATACAATGGAGCATCTTCTGGTGGAGAGGACTCATGCTCATCAGGGGCATCTGGGTCATCTGGTTCCTAAAAATGAAAATTGCCCATTAAAACAAAAAATAAACTACTTTTCACATTTAAATTCCTTGCCCTTATTTTCTTCTGGCAATTGATTGGACCCAGAGAAATTCCTGCAGAATTGTGTGGGTGGAAGCTGACTACCCTGCCGCTTCCATCACATCACTGCCCACTATCCCAGCCTCTTTTGAGGGTTAGGGCAACTCTGATATATGGTTGGCTATGACATGGAGCCTTAGGGAGGAACTCCAAAAGAAAAACCTGGACAGATTCTCCCACTCCAAATGAATCAGGATACCCAGACACTTGGAAGAAGCTCCTTTTGAGAAGGATCAAGAAAGAAATTCAGCTTCTGCCAAGCCCTTCTGCAGGCACCTCTCTAAATCCTATACTATGTAACAGCTCTCAGAAGTAGATGCTGCTATATTAAGAATTACAGGTTTGGAGGCTGTGGCCAGAGGAGTGCTCAATCTCCCTTGCCTTTCACAGTAATAACTGGGGGCACTTGGTACAGTGGAGGACTTAACTCCTGTCTACTTATGAGTTCCGAAGTCTCACTAAGCTAGAAATAACTCATAAATCTTATAGTGGCAGCTAGCACTTCAACTATGTAACTAACATATATTTCCATCAGGAATTTTATGAAACAAGTTGTTTGTCTTCCAAAGAATGCCAAAGCAACATTAGTTGTAAATTCACTCCTTACCTCCTCTGGGCATAGCTCACAAGCTTTTGCAAGGGTCATTCTTGCACTGTGTGATCTCTCTAGGAAGTAGCCATTTGATGTTTCATTACTCTGGACCGGAGGAGACCAATTGTTATAGGTATACTGTGGATTGCCAGTGTATGGCCTACGTTCAAGCTCATCTCCAAGCCACTCTACTGCCCAGGTCCACTTTCTCTTCAAATCTCCATTACTCTGAAAAGATGGGGGGGGGGGGAGAAAGCCATTCAATATTTTAAAATTACTTCTAAACACACCTCAGTCCAATGCAGCTTTTTAAACGGGGTGTATAGTTTCCCATTCATTACTCTTGGTTTTTGTAAAACAAAAAACCAAAGCAAACAAAAAATACTCCAGTAACGTCCCTACAGTTCTATTTTGTCATAGATGCTTTAGTTGAGATACCTCCATTGCAGGGTGTTCGACTCGATAATCCCTTCCAATCCTACAATTCTGTTCTAATTTTATTTCTATGAGGGAATAGACATTTGCTCTTGGTGGTGTTTTCCCCAATTTATTTGGATAAAATATACAGTGGTACCTCAGGTTACATATGCTTCAGGTTACAGACTCCGCTAACCCAGAAATAGTGCTTCAGGTCAAGAACTTTGCTTCAGGATGAGAACAGAAATCGGGCATTAGCTAAAGTGGTGCTTCAGGTTAAGAACAGTTTCAGGTTAAGTACGGACCTCCGGAACGAATTAAGTACATAACAGAGGTACCACTGTACAAGACCATGGCTTTATCTTAGTGACTCTGCAGAAAGAGTTCTATTATAACTAAACTTGGCTCAGTCCTGTCCTTCTCTTCATAGCATTAGAAAAATAGAGAAAGTAATTTTTTCTTGAGATAAAAGTAATTACCTGTAAAATCTGGTAGGCTACTGGACAGTTGCTGAAAAGAGCTACCATACACTTTATACACTGGTAAGCCCTTTTCTGATAATGATTCTTAGAGCGTTGAATGGTATCAAATAGCCCATCCCGGTCATCTGGAATTCCTTTAAGTGCATTGTGAATCCTAAGAGAATCCCAAACACACCAAAAAGTCAGAATTTCACACATATAAACATGCATGTAAATGTCAGCATCATAAAGGGCTAGCATTAAAATGTTGCACAAGCTCAGACCCAGCAGATCCAGATAATCAGTGTCTGTACTTGCAAAACTGTGGGTGTACACAATCTTAGGAGATGCATGCTCCCTCTACTCATAACAAGATGGAATGTCTCTCTTCTAGGATCTTGCCGTATCGTTACAGAGTACCAGTAGTTGTGAAGCACTGTCAGTGATATTTTTTATTTACTTCTTCACACCCTCTTCTAAAAGGCTGACATCTAAATATGCAGAATGTGTTCATTTTCTCACTTGGTAATCACCATTATGGCCTGTACCAGATTTTTTGTAGGGCCCATGCAAAGTGACCTCAGGTCTCCATTTCTGCCTAAGCTTTCCTGAACCCAGCTGCTGTTTCTCTACCATAAACTCCCTCCACTCCCCTACAGAAATAAAATTAAAAATCCTTTTGAGCTATAGCCTGAATGATTTTTATAGCAGATTGATTCACGCAAAATAGAACAGTCAACCAATTTAATTAAGGCTCAGTGTTTATATAGCAGTTTTCCCAAGTACTCAAAATAGTTTCCCCTCATCTCAGTAGTCCTTCTTGTCTTCTCCCTGGTAAAGTATGCCACCATGATCAACGTCCACCCAGAAACCTATGTCCCCCTGTGGAAGGATGTGTGGATCCAGAATTGGCTCCCCCAGTCACTTATGGACTCACTGTTAAGACTGTGTTCACGGAAGACAATCTTACTCGGCTACGAGTGATCGCCAAAGAAGGTACACCAGTATTATCACCCCCATGTAACAGATGGGAAGAGAAGAGAATAATGCTTTATCCAGAACCACCTAGTGCATTCTCAGAGAAGATAGGTGAACCAAGGAATTAACAGCTAGGCAACTGAAATCTGCTCTGTCTCCATGAAACAATTACAAAGACTTTCACACAGAAGCACCACATTATTAATGCAAAAAATGCAGATCCCAAAAACACAAGAAACCCAAGTGCTAACCTGTGAGTCTGCCAAGAGTCCTCAATTAGCAAGATTTGCAGAAGGAGATCCAAGTACGGTCGAAGTTCATATGTGTATGAATATGCAACCTTTAAAAAGTGGAATTTGAGGAAAACATTAACATGCAATTAATGATTATTTAAGTGTGTAGTACAGGAGAATTCATGCTATGAATAACTGAATGGGTACAGTATTATGTTATGAATGAGCTTTCGTTTCAATGCCGCAAGCCAAGGAAATATTTGTTAAATTAGGCTTTATCATTGAAAGAGAATTCATTTTCTCTGATGGTCACTTTTTTTTAAAAGTAACCACTACTTGTTGCAACTCTAAAGACTAACAGGATGAAAATCAAGGGACAATAACCTCTGCACATCAACCTCTTGAATAAAACACACCTTTCCTGACATTTCAAATCATTTTTTACCTGCCAAAGTAGTTCACTAAGGACTGTAGATGAAAACTGAGGATTCTCCCAACAGCAGAAGCGAAGTAGTTTGATGGTCTCTTCTGAGTTACTGCAGTCTTCAATTATTTTTTTCACATAACTAGTTCGCACAAACAAGATGTCTGCCACATTCTGCTGAAGTGCCATTATAGGCTGTGATAAATTAGTATCACCATAAGGGTTGCTAAGTGGAGGATTACCTAAAAAGAAATGTTGTTATATTATTTTTTATTTGAACTACAGAAACCAACAAGGTACTATTTAATGTAATCTTTTTAATTACTTCACAGAACATGTGAAGTACATTACATACATATGTGAAATGTCTCTTGTTCGATTATGAAAATCACTATTCTATAAATATTCACCTAGGCCGAGTCTGACAGATACAGATTAAACTTCTGATATAACAGTTATGATCACTGTAAAGCATTACGGCTGGTTTTGTAAAACATGGGGTTTGGTAGTATTCCTTAGTGAAAAATCAAAGCCTGTATAATTAAACAAGGCTTTTCTAAGACTTCCCTTGGAATAGGCTTAACTTGCACTACCAAAATATGGAATAGTTGTGTCACATCTAGACACATTTAAGAGAACCAACCTTTGCACATACAGTTCTGGTAATACAGAAAATCCTCAACTTACATGGAAGGTTACATTCCAGTGATCACACCTAAACTAAAAATCAAGTATAGTCAAAACACATTGGGTTACAATGGCAGGTGGGATTGCCAAAGTCTTTTCTCCTGGATGCCAGTCTCCTTTCTAATTTCTTTTCTTTAAATAATGCCAAGCATGGAAAGCTGAACGAGCACAACTTAAACGTGTGTAAGTTGTGAGCTTACTGTATTTTAATGATTTGAAACTTATCCAAATCTTTAAGTAAACACAGGCCAGCGTAACAGACAAAAGATTAGTGAGATGCTATGATGAATAATAAACTGCCACACACATTTAATCACAAATATATTCTGTTTAAATGCTCCAGAATTAACAGTACCATTGATAGAAGACTGCATACGTGATGACACATTGCAACAGCGGATTAACTGGGACACCACAGTATAGAGTTTGCCTAGTTCAGCATACTGGTATTTGATTGGAGGACCTGGGCCTTCATCCAGTGCCACAAGCATAAATGTGGCAGGTACATTTAGTTTTAAAAGCTGAGTTTTTTCTGCTACACCTAAAGGGAAGTTGGAAAAAGAGGAAGAATAATGAAAACATACTTAGCTACATTTAAGCTACTGAACTGAATCATATAAACAAAAAATATTCAGATAACTGTTCACATTTGGAAATCCATAAATGGGCATTTACTGTGAATACAATACTCCATGCCTTCAACAATCCAGCCAGAATCACTCAAAACCTTTCTGATTCAACAAGATTAAGAACGCATCAATTGTCTGCTGAGGAATAGCTCTGGGGAAAAACCAACCAACACTCTTTTCCCTTGCAGCTGTGGGATCACGGAAAAATTGGTAGTGGTGGGTATCTGTCTTCCAGAGAAGACTGTCCTGCATTAAGGGATCCCCAGAGCACAGGCTGAAAACCACTGATTTAAGCTATTAATAACAATTTGTGCCGCATCATTAAGCATTCAATGGGCAAGAGTCAAGACTATTAAGTAAGTGCACTGACAGAACATGGACAAAGCCTTTAGGGTGAAACATCACATTACCTAAGTTGGCATACATCACAAACAAGTTGAAATATTGCTGCAAATGGCGCCCGTGCTCAGACACTTCCCTTCGAAGAAGATTCAGTACTGCTCTCAGCAAATGGTCACTCAAACTTAAATTGTCATAGGCCTATAAAACAACACAAAGGATGATGACATTATTATTATTATTATTATTATTAATAAACATGTAAAGCTGCTTCACTGCAGCCTGTTAAAAGACCAGCTGAACATAAATTCTCAAACCCAGAATGAAATGCAACTTTTATTGTTTAATTATCAGAACTAATGATATCAAATTCAATTCCTGAACTATTCACTGTATCAAATTTCTTTGGTTAAAATGTTTTATCCTATACTGAATAATAGAGGAATGTATCACACATTACTTAGCAGATTAAGCTGGGAGAGGCAGGGGTGCTAAATATGAGACCAATTCAAACATTAACCTTCAGGAAGGTAGTCAAGAACACAGCAGAAAGACCAAATAAATAAATAATTCTGAAACCAGGGATGGGAAATTGTTTTGAGCCCAAGGGTTGCAACTCCCTCACCACCAAACTTCCAAGAGTCTGGCTTCTCTCACCCCGTCCCTTGCTGTAAGGTACAGCTGGCTTCTCTTACAGTTCCCAATGAAACGGCTGCTTCTCAAGTGCTTGGGTGTCTAAAGATAGCTGAGCACTGGCGATTATCACCGAATACTCCTCGAGTGACGGTTAACTTGGGAATTACAATAAAAGCCACACGTAGTGCCTCAAAGCAAGGAGCAATTAAATTTTGCAAAAATAGTGGAGGAAGCCAGGAGGAGAAGCAGTGAGCAATGGTGTTTCCTTGCCCAAGCAGCAACACTTCTGTGGCCACAAAATGTGTTGGGGGTTTGCAGGTCACATAAAAAACCTTTGTGGGCCAACAGTTCCCCACCCTGTGCTAAATGGAGATTAATTAAGCCACCCTTATACAAAAATTCTATTATATCAATTTATATTTAGACTATATAGAATTTAACAGCTCTCTACTATTGTATTCTGACTGTAGAAAAAGCATACCTGACTAGAAGGTCCAGGTGAAGCAAAAGGTGAAGGACATGGTCCATCTTGCAATGAAAAATGTGCAATAAATACTATAAGTTTTGCAAATGCTCCCCTCACTTCAGCACTAGGGCATTCCAAAAGGTATTCGGAGAAGCGATTTGAAACATTGAAAAGGACATTGTGCGCAAACCAAAAACGTACATTCTTGCTATGACGAAGGAGAATGCACAAAGCATCATACCTGGGGAAAAAATAAATTAACGGCATCACATACCCAGAAGACAGACTTGTGTATAAAGGTGGACACTTCAAATCCAGCACTGCATTGTTAGTAGTAGGAGCTTTGTTAACCATGATTAATATGAACCAGGATTCTTTATTAACCCAAGTTTTAACAAAATTAAAAACTACTAGAAACAGTGGTTTTGAGGCTCAGTTTCAATGCACTGTTATTTCACATTTTGAATGATTAAATTGTACCATATAATCAGTACAATAAAACTTATGACAGTCAAATTCTTCTTAAAGGCAAATATACCAGTCACTGGCAGGACCACGGACAATTTTCTTTGTGTGAAATCCTGTGGTAAAGAGAAACCTAGCAGCAAGCTGAACACCAATCATGGTTATTTCTTCTGCTTCAGGCAGTAGATGATCCTGTCCTAAAGAAAAACAGAACACAAAATGTTAAGACATTTATTTGAAAGTGATACAACAGATTATTCCAAGTTGTTTGTCAACCTGAGTCTCAATATAAATCTTAAATTATTAGAAAATTATTATATTTTATGTAAACCTCTGAGAGATTTCTTTTTATATTAAGTGGTATATAAATTTTATTTAAAAAAAAACCAGGAAAGATATTTAAGAGAATTCAGTACTCAAACTTAAGTTGTCAGCCAGCATTGCTAAACATTTTTTCTTGTGATCTATAAAACGGTTGGACTTATAGACCACAGCACTTCAGTTAGAAAGCAGTATCTTTTTTGTTGCATTTATCGGCCAAATACGTTTTTTAATTAAATGTAAATAATGCTTAATACCAAGGAAACAGCAACCTTGTCTTTTCTATCGCTCTTACATATTAGAAAATGCCTGAGGAACAATAGTCTCTTATCCAAATTTGTAATGTTTAAAATGATGCACAAAAATATGAGAAATGTTAAAACTTATGTACTTTCACTACCTCTTGTCAAAATTTATTATAAATATCCAAACACTAACCTGGAGGAGGATTTAGATAGACACTGTTACAAGTCAGTAATTTCTTTATGAACTGGAAATATTCTAGGCTGTACTGCATTCGGTTATGCATGAACTGGACATTTTGCTTCCGTACACTTCGCTCAATGGCAGATGGCATTTTAATTTGATGGGGTTTAGTGGTCATTGTAAGTTCTGAAATATATTTTATTAGTTCATTGTCTCTGTCTACTGTGTCCAAACGTTCATAAAAGAGAATGTAAGCATTCCACCACCTCTTCTGACGTCTGTAAGACATGCGCTTCATCATATGGTCAAATACTTCTCCCATGTACTCTCCACCAAAACACTGATTTTTCATTTCTTCATCATCATCCATTTTGCATTCTGTTACGTCACCATCATCAAATTTATACCACCTGTTTTTCTCACCATCTCCACCATTTCTCTGAATTATGTAAGAGTAGTAATGTCCACCACTGGCTTGACCACTGTGCACCAATACACCAACAAGTCTGTATTTAGTACTTCCAGAATGCTCATTTTCAGACTGTTCATTCTGTATCAGCTGATTTTCAGGATTTACATCATCCCCTTCTAGTTTAGCTACTCCTGCCACTGTATAAGGTTCCATGTCCAACTCTCGCGGAAATTCAAAATAGTCATTGAACTTGATTGCACATTCCCTTTCCCAGTCATAGTCAAATCGTTTTAGTTGGATGGCAAGAACTGGGGGCAACTTTTTAATTAGCAAGCGTTTAACTGTATCAACCTAAGGAATAAAAGATTCACATGTTAATGTATTCTATCTGTGTAAATTATCAATGCCAACTACAAATGCAAGTGAAAAATACTGCCACAATTCTTTGTCAAAGTGCTATAATATACCAAGTAACTATCAATACATTATGCATTGCATATCACAGACAAATTTGATATAATACTGAAAAGACTGGTTTGCAGCTTTAATAGTCCTTCCTGAATTGTGGTTATGAAGTATGTAACTGTAACTCTCAGTTCTCCTACACAATGAAGCCATCTAAAATGTTTCAGGCATGGCCAAAATTGGTCCTCCAGCTGTTTTGGGACTACAACTCCCATTATCCCTAGCTAACATGACCAAGTTTGGCCATGCCTGCATTAGGTCTTCCAAAATTAAATAAATAGTTGACACGTTCATATGAATTTTCAAAGGTTTTTTTTTTTTAAATAAAAAGAGAAAGAGAAAAAAGAAAAAAGCTGTATTTCAGTTACCTTCTTGTTGCATTTTTCACAATGATATGCATTTGCACCTTCCAGTAAGTCTCCCTTGACGTACTGTTCCAAGGAGTCAAGCAGGTTTTGGTGATTTCTTATATCTACATTCAGCGTTGTAAAAGATTCTTCACATTCGTACCTATTAATTGTTGGCAGATTAGGTTAAATTATGCTGACATAGCAATAGTATGAATTCAAGAAAATATTTTCATCCTGAAGCAATGTTTTGAAAACAGTACCAAAAATGTGTATTTTAAGTGTACAAAACACTCAAGAAATCTGTTCCATAGAGATTATAAATATGCTTATGACATTTTTTTCTCAACTGTCTCAGCACAACTTTATCAGTCCTGAAAAATAGCAATAGAAACGAGTGGATGATGACTAGCACCAAGACCTTCCTATCAGTACCCACAACTGTGATGTGTGAACAAGCAGCAAGTCAGTCTCTGAATCTGGACTTAAACTTTGGTAGGGAGTATTGTACACCTTAATCTGAAAATGTAAAATATCATAAAGTCTAGTATTTTGAATACACTTAAGGAACATTTAGAGTGCTTCACTATTATTTAACATTTACACAGCATCACCTTTCAAAAAAGCATTTTGAAATTTCACTCAAGATATAGTACCATATTTATTTTGATCATATTACAAATTCATTCTCCAGTTGCCTTTTGTAACCAAAACAGCACAATCCATGTACAATAGGGAGATATTACAGGCTCTAAAAATGACTTTAGGGCAAAGCTCTTTAAGGGGCAGGGGGGAAAAAACCTGAATTAATAACGTCTAATAAGATCACAAACTATGACCATCTTTTACAGAATGAAGTATCCTGGAAAAAGGCATGTCTGGCTGGCACCAGAAGAGGACTGCTCCATACTGCATCATTTTGTTGCAAGTCCATCTTGTCAAACCAAATGACAAATTACAAACGTTAAGTGTGGGCTCACAAAAGCATGTTGCCTTGAGTGTCAGCAGCTATAGCCATAGAGTTGCCTAGGCTTCTCTGGAGATGTCAGCACGAACCAGGCTATACTCAGATATATAACTGATATGTAACATCTGGTGATTGCCGTCTTAATTACATCAGAAAATGCGTGTCTTGCTATCATAGAGCTGACTCTGAAATTTTTTTGGAAACTTTGGTTGATAACTTTCCTCAACATGGCTCAGAATGTTGCATCAGCTGTATTTAGAGTAACTTGCTAATATGAACCACTCCTAAATGGTCTCTGTACTTTTCCATAAATGGGAGACTTGTAGCATATTTTTAGTGGATGCCCATTATTACTTTGATTTTATGAAAATGAGATGATAGAGAAGAAACACTTACCTATGTGGGCAGCCTTGACAGATCTTCTGATCAGCAAAGGAGCCTCCCAAAACTTTACTTAACATTGCTGGGTGACCCAAGGCTTTTAAAGCTTCATCTAGGCTATCCACCAAGGAGTTAAAAAATTCTAAAGCATCATGCTGTTCACGTAGATTTACAGGCTCACCCCAGAGTCTAGGATGGAAGAGATTCTCATAATAAAAGCACACAGAGTTTCTAACAGCAAAATCAAGTAGCATGAAAAAATTAAAGTAGTTTACATCACTATTATATAAATTTATCTTCATATAAGCTGAGCATTACAACTGGCTAGCAATCCTCATAAGTGCTGCACAGCTCGTAAAATACGTAACCTAGTACTCTGGCTTACTCGGGGTGGCACTCAGCATACACAGATAGCAGACTGGCGGTGCCCATTTGGGGAACCACAAAATGAACTCCGATAGACAAATCACTTTGCACTGCCTTCCCCTTATTGAGGTGAGGGAGGGGCGATGTGAAATGTATTCTCAAAACTGGATGAACTCTGAAACTGGGGGGAAATGACCCTGCTCTAGTTCAGATATAAAAAGGCTAAATGTTCAGCGTGGTAGAGATATGAGCCCATTACTGTTTACATGGGCCTGAAACATGGGCTCTTACTCAAGTGCTCCAGCCACCTCCTCCTCCAGTAGACCACTCTCATGAGTGGGGCTTGCTCATATAGAAATGTGTAAGTTCCATTTCACACTGAAGACTTTTGCCTACTGTAGAGGAGGGTAAATGCTTGCTCCCGCGATATTTACACCCTACACAGATGAACACAGGAAGCTGCCTTATACTGAGTCAGTCCACTGGTCCATCTAACATACTTGTCTACACTGATCGGCAGCAGCTCTCCAGGGTTTCAGGCCAAGGTCTCTCCCTGCTGTACCTGGAGATGCCAGGGATCAAACCTGGGGCCTGCATACAAAGCAGGTGCTCTTACCCCTCAGCTATGGCCCTTCCACTCAGCCCATGTCTGAACTAGCCCATCTATACAGTGATTTTCTTGCTTTCTGCATGATTAAAAAGATACACATCACACTGTCACTTAAGGAGTATATATTAAATTCCACTGCATTTCATTAAACATAAACTGTTTCTATCACAAGACTTCACATAAACACAGTTCAACGTAAGTTAATCTCCTATTTACCTGAATTGCTTCCAAAACCCTCTGGGTACATAGTACTGTAACCTAGAAGCTGCTAAGTGACCAAAGATGACCTGGAGATGTCTTAAGACGCCTATGTTGTATTCTTTTCTGTCTTCTGTTTTACTTAAGCTTGGTTTATCTTCATACTGATGTGGATAGCCAAATACTTCATCCCGTGGGTCAACATTGCTCTTTTAAAAAAGTAATGCAATATAAATGGTAAGCATGAAAAAATAAATAGAAATTAATATGCCTTATGAACAGAACCTAATAATGTCTGCTAGAGAAATAATAGTAGTAGCTCAGATTAAATGCAAGTACATATGAAACCCTATGAAGGTTCTAATGTCAACTAAAGCAGTCCAGTTCCAAAGTCAGGGGGGGCAACCTAAAGATTCTCAGACATAAGCAACAGGATTGTTCAGCTTGTGATTTTTACAGATATTGAAACATACATCAGTCTTTTCCAATTACTTTTTTCAGTAAGTCCAAAACACCATGACTGTGCCATGCATAGGAAGCTCCTCCTACCCTTGTGAGAGGCTTTTCAAAGGACTAGAAAGCCATATTGCACCCACTTGCTTCCACCTATGTATGTTGACATCTATACTCAGGTACAAAAACAAAACTCATGGGAAGCAGCCCTCATGGTTTATTTATTTTTACTCTTTTTTCAGAGTAAATACAATCAAGATGATTTATTGTCATTATACGTTTATCCCTTTACCCATTATAATTGACCTTTATTACTAAATCTCATATACTGAAAAGAGGGAAAGGTTACTTTAATTAATAACAACCACCAAAGAGTTATTGTTGTTACTTATTGACAATAATAAGTGTCTTATGGCACTTTAAAGACTAACAAAAAGCTTCTGCCGTAATCAATATGCTAGTCTTTAAGGTGTCGTAGGACTGTTTTTGCTTAAGAAAACTAGCACATCAATTCTTCAAAAATTGCTACATTTTATTGAAATTACGCTTTCTACAGCTGTCTATGTAAAAAAAAATTGCAGATTAATTAATAAAAAAGCTAAATAAAATGTACCACTAACATTATTAAAGAATAGTTCCAGAAATCAATCAAGCTACTCTGAGTATGACCTTACTTGGGTGTCACCCAACGGGTTGAGATCTTTGTGTTTAATTAAACAATAAGAAGCAGCATGGGACTACCAACTTTTGATTGCTTATTTATAGCAATATCAATTGTTTTGATAGTGGGCATTCTATTGTGTTGCACCAGTTTGGAATTGTTCTCCGGTTTTCACAAACAGTATCACTTTATGGTCTCCCCCGCCCCCAGAGGCCATAAATTCCTTTTTATTTCTCTTTAAGTCATCTATCAATTCTGAGTATGTGTAAAGTTGAATATCTCCCATTATAACTAGGTATACAGTATAAAGCTACTACATTTGAATTTGTCAAGAACAATATAGTGTTACCTCGTTGTCTTGCTTCTCATCTCCAGACATATCATCATCTACGTCACTTCCTGTGCCTTCAATTGCAAGGATTCCATTCCTGATGGCAGGAATCATGTACAGCTGCTGAATGACAGAATTCATGTAGCAAGTGGCACCTGCATTTTTTAGCCCTACAAATCCCTTTGGTGGTCGTGGTCCAACAGGTGGAAGATACTCCCATTCTGTTAGTGCTTCACAAGCTAGGAGAAATCAATTGTATTAGAAAATTAGCTCAGCTTCTGAATAAAACTATACACTGCTGAACAGCCATTACCTTAATACTCTAGTACTGAATAAGTTCATTTTAAAGCCTGTTCCAGTGATCAATGAGACTTACTAAGTATATATTCTTATTCCAGTCCTTGGCACACAAAATCTCAGATTTGATATTTGCATTTAATCAAAATGAAGCGTACAATAAAAAGCAGCTAAAAATTGAGTACCCCTTAAATCAGGGATAGTCAACATGGTGCCCACCAAGTGTTTTGGACACTACACTGCCTACTCCTGTTTTAAATAACTGTACTATTTAGAGATCACTAGCATTCTTGAGAGATTTGTAAATCAATTTATTAGCTTGCTTATACTAGGCCTGTAAACAAATGGGACAGGATTCAAAGATCTATGGTGGGTCTTTGCACCAATGGGAACACCTCCTTCGATGTATTTTCCCTGCCCCTCCCCCCAAAAAAACCCCCCACACACAACAACCTTAGACCATTGGGTACCTCTGAAGCAGTCTCAGATGTCAGTAATATCCTTTACTGAAATGCAAAATCCTACTACAAATGCCTATGTCTATACAGGAACTGCTTCAATATGCAAAGCATGCATCCCAACCATAGATACTATTCTCTATGCATTTCATCTTAGGAATTATAATTAATATATCTGGCAATTATTTCAAGGAAAAGACAAATGATTATATCCAATGTCAATTAGAATACACAATGACATTAATGGACTTGTTACTTGTCACTGATTTCAAATGGGTCTACAACATTCGATATCAAACAAAATACCATTTTGGAAAAGCAAAAAGGAAATGCAATTATTTGATTTCCAATAATGTCTAAAGCATGACAAATATTTAAATCAATATAAGCTTCATATTAAATATAGCATAAAATCTATGAAAAGTACTTACTAGTTATTGCGGTGCCTATATAATACATTTCAGTCAAAGTATCTACTATTTGTTTGAGATTTCGGACACAGCCCACTGCAAGTGCTACTAGCAATTCAAATCCAGCATTAATGGTAGCTGGGGAACTACAGACTGGTATGGCCTGCTCAGCGGGCAATTCTCCATTCCTCATGTACTGTAAGTAAACATTCGAGGCTGGAAAGATGAAATCATCTATTAACTCCTGAAAAACAAAAAAGGGAAAGGGGAAAAAAATCAAGTTATCCATAATTTTATTGCCATTTATATACTGTTCTTAATTCAAAACAGCAAAGTGGTCAACACATAAATAATTAAAATACACAATGAGAAATACATTAAAAAATTACAAACACATCTCATAACTTCAAACAATAGCAAGACAGTACAATTCAATAGATTATTCTACAACTCAGAAAGATTCAAAATCCAGTAAGAAAGCCCGAGTGAAGAGTGTCAAAGTGTTTACTGATGATGCTAGACACACCTCCAGAGGAAGGGAATTCCACAAGAAGGGCATCACAAATGAGAAGGCCCTTGCCTGGGTCCCATTCACCAGCAGCACTCGGAAAAGGGCCCCCTCCAAAGATCTCAATGGCTCGTCTAACACATACAGAAAAATGTGTTCTATCACACAGGCAATACCTGAACCAGAATTACCTACCACCACAAAATGTCTCATGACTTTAAACCTTTGGGGGTCAACTGCTAGAAGGAACGGAAGCCTGAACAAGGATTCCAAGGCAAAAAGGAAACCTAGCACCATTTTCCTGAGTCTAAGAAACAGCCCACTCGCCCTCAATAATACCCAATACACCCAATCCTAGCCCTTCCAATCCTTTAGCCATGCTCCAGCATGATCAAAATTCATAGGAAATGTTTTAAAAAACCCACAATGAGTAGCACACTGAATTGAGCCAATCTATTACTGTACGGTAATGCTAAATCATGCAACTCTGCCTGCCCTGGGCAGTACAAAGGGACAAGTCATCAATGAAGTCCTTCCTCACATTAAACTGAGAAGTTCTGAATTCCAGCTTTATCTCACAGTATAATCCATCATTCACTTTTGCCTTTGATTTGTTAAAAAGTGGGTTTCTCACAAGATTATCAGAAGCAATTTTATGATGGACTGAATTCTTACATTTCTATAAAAACCATTTCCTGGTCTCCTAAAAATTATTCAAATTTAATTAAATCTATATGTTTGTTTACAAGTTCCTCCTTACCAAGCTACTTCATTATGATTTTAGTTTTTTCCATATAACAATTACTTACTTTAATGAGATTAGCACCTCCTTTTTCACATCCAATATGGTACTTTTTTTCAGGAGTTTGAAATGCCAATAATTCCTTTGTTACTCCAAGGTGACCTTCCAAGATAGTCTCTTCTACACCTGTTTCTCCTGTTCTTTTCACTTCATCCTAAGAAAAGAAAAGAAAAAGAAAGAAAAAACGCTGTGTCATGAGTTCTGGGAACTCACTTTAAAATTAAAATATATACTGCTACAACTCATTACAAATATGCTCCCACCTTTCTGTCATATAAACATGGCAGCTAAAACATAAATGTTAACAGATAAAAAAATCAGTAAAATGAATAAAACTAACAACAAAACTTACCCTAATCCTTTTAAGCCAGTCTATTTCATTATTAAGCAGAACTTCAGCATTGGGCACATTAATATTACTATTGTATGCATAATTAAGAAGATGTCTTAATAGAGTAAAGTAGTCCCCTGAATGCTTAGCACGTTCTCGTGCAGTACTCTGTAAGAGAAAGAGGTCATGAGTAAATTCGAAAAGGTAGTTTACATTAACAGCAACACAGAATGATTCTTAAAACAAGAGTGGCGACCTCTTTATCCCTTCTCCATCACTTGACATGTAAGGGAGAGGTGGGTCTTGCAAGCAAAGACAACATGGAGACTTCTCCAGGAAACTGCCTTTACTTGACATTGGGGAGGAGACTTGCAAAAACCTTTGCAGATCTATCTCTCTCTCTCTCTCCCCCCCCCCACCTTTCCCTTTAAAATACCTTATATTACATGGATCTAGCTCCCATCTCTACTCTTCGCTCATTAGCTGGTGTGGAGATTAAATCCTAATGTGATCCTCTTGTCTGCTGGGACCAGGATCGTACAACTAATGCAATATTGAATCCTGCCCTCTCACCTATCTGCTGACATTGCTAGTGATGACGGCTGATGAGTGGGTGGTCATGATTTGCGGGGGGAAACCTGGAGGGCCAAATGGACTGCCTGGAAGACCAAGATTAGCCTGTGGGACCAATGTCCCACACCCCCAATGTAGTTCAGAATCCTGTTCTCTCAGTTGGCCTATGCAACCAGATGGCCTATGCAAAGCCCCCAAGAATGACCTGAGTGCATACTGCTCTGATAGCATGAATCTGTCAAATCCCTTTTTAAAACCATCCAAGTTGGTGGCCATCATAGTTTACCTATGCTCTCCCTAACTAATGACCATGTGGGAGCTGATGGGAGTTGCAGTCCAACAATACCTGTAGTATCACAGGTTAGCCATCTGTCAAACAGTCCAAAAATGTAGATTATAAATGTAATTGGAGATTTAAAGAAATTAACAAAACCACTGGGTTGCATCCAAAAGCAAGGTTAATGTCAGCTGCCTCAACCCAAGTTTCAGCAATTCCGCCTCTCACTGTGCCCCACCAACACACTCCAGACCTTTCATGAAGGTCCACCAACCCCCAAGAGGGACTTTTGGGGGCACAGAGGGGGAAAATGCCATACTGCGAAAGCAACCTTCTTTCTACATCAATTGGCTGCAAATCAAAGGGCTCCAATTCAAACCACCGATTTGTTTTCATGTGTATACCGATTTGTGGACCTGGTTTCAAAGCTAGGAACAGCTCTAGTTGATTGTAGAATTAATCATGACACTGGTATCAGTGATAAAATGCTTGAGGCTCATAACACTGAATGTGGGGCTCAGAAGGAAAAGAAAATGCAATACATAATCCTATCTTAATTTCTGTATTTCAAGTATTATCTGTTAACTGCACTGAGCTATTGGAAAGTATCTATAAAAATCTATTGCAGGAAGTTCTTATAGACATTAGTGTAAGTAACAATGTGAAAGTTTTAAATGCCTTACCCCTAAAACAGTGAACAACAGAGTTATAAAGAAAAGCAGAGGTCTCTGTCCCATACAACATCTGGTAGCCATTAGGAAGAACTGTTCCTGTGCCATCTGACGAACAGTTCTGGAAAAAAATTAACCAGAAAAAAATCAAATTAATACAGATACTTTGTAAACAAGACAAATCTTATTTGAGATTTGCTGGACAGTTTCCCTGCATGTTCATCAGGAGTGTCATTGCTTTCCCAGTTCCTAGGATTCAGGGAAGAGGAATTTAATTTGAAATGTACATTATGAAGGTGCTGTCAGATTCCAAAGAGACCACTGGAGATGAGGGTCTTTCCAAGTAGCAGTGGGCATGCAGACTTGGAGGTAGAAGGGTGACAAGTGAAGCTGTGTTTTGTGACGGCACTTGAACCAAAAAGGACCAAATGCAACGGCACTTATAAGTTATTTAGTTGTCAGAAAACAAAAACAAGAGCCTGAACACCAGATCCATAAAGGACAGGAGATCACCTGTCCTTTCTGATGAATGTTAAATGTGGAATCTATGATAGCCCACAAATTGGTTTTGATAGTTTAGAATCAAGGATGTCCACCACATCTGTAATGTTTTGGGGAATTACAAATATAGATATTTGAGAATCGTTCTTTAAGAGATAAGACATAGCCAGTTGTGGGCACACTTCATCTGAAATGTTGAGAGTTTATGACATCATGATTGTTGCTGCTCTCCTCTGGCTTCTAGCTGAAAATCTGGATTCATTAGGTGGGATTGACCTAACCAGTCCTATCAGTGAAAGCTCTGTGCAATCACATTTGCTTGTACAGAAGGGCTTTTGCCTTTTCTTCCCCCACCCCCCTGTGCATCTCCTGAGATTGGCTCAGAAAATGAAAATAAAAAACATTACCATACCACAGTTATAGTGATAGCCATTATGATCTAGAGATATACAAATGAAATCACAGCCCAGCAAGTGTACTTTGAATTGGGCATCTACAGTCACCTGCTGCCACCTGGAGTCAGCAACTGTGAGATGAAAAAAACCACTTACTTGCTGTGACAGTGCAACAACAAGTCAATGATAAATGTCTGCCAAGCTTTTTCTTTGCTAAGTGCATCCAGCGCTGTTGGAATCAAGGCAAAACAAAGGGTCATCACTTCGAGTGCTTCACAGCAAACTTGTTCATCTTCTGCATCTGGTTCATTGCCTGCATTTGTCTGTAAAATTAATCAGAAATAAGTAGCATGAAATAGGAATGAAAGAAGAACTAATGATTTTCTTAACTGTTCCCTTCAGATACAAACCAATACTGAGGACAAACATCTACTTACTACAACCTACAGCCTGAGTAAGGCCTACAACTGAAACAGGAATTATTAATAATCTGATATATTATTTATAGCCACACATACAAACATGAATTCTGACACAGTGCTGAAATTATGTGAAAGGGGAAAGGCATTAGTGAAAAGTCAGGGGGAATATAGTAATAAATAAAAAATATTTTTTAAATTTATATCCTGCCCATCTGGCTGGGTTTCCCCAGCCACTCTGGGCAGCTTACAACATATATAAAAATGCAACAAAACATCAAAAATGAAAAAAACCCCAAAATATCCTATAAAAGCAACAAACAAACGAATAAATCAACAAAAATGAAGAAGAAGACCCAAATTAAAATAACCGCCAACACCAACCCGAAAAAAACAAAACAGAGGAACCAAAATTAGAACTGTTTAAATCATTTTAGTCAGCTGCCCCAACCCAAGAATTCTCCATCCACATGAGACTGTAAAAAGGCACTGAGACTGCTACGAAGTTATGCTTCAATGAGGTAACACTGAAGTGCTTTCTTAAAAGCTATAAAGGCATTCTCTCAACAAAAGTGCCAGCAAAGTAACTATCAACACTTTAACTTGGAAATCTATTAGATGAAAATTATTTAAAATCATATAAAAATGCTTACAATTTCTAAACAGGCCACTTGAAGTCTGAATTTCCTAGCATAGCCCTTATCAAAGATCAGTTTGAGAAAAAAGGTTGCTTAGGATTTCTTACCTTCTCATAAATTTTACTAATATCCTCATTTGAACTGAATACCAGCTGTACTGATCCACATCCTGAAGCCCAAACTATTTTCTGCACTGCTCTAATAACACAAATATCAGGGATATATTTTGAAGCCTAAAAATAGAAAGATAGCATCAAATATAACTGTTCCAAATGTTTTTACTTCAGACAGGGAGAAAGAAGCATAGAGAGCAAGAGTAAAAAAAGCAAACACTTAATACATTTCCCACAAATCTGAATCCACGAGAGTCTGTATTCATGCACTGGAGGCTGAAGCTCATACCAAGTCCATGTGGCCCTGTACTGTCAACTTGAGAAGTGGTTCTCCAGGGTCTCTAGCCAAAGTCTCTCTCATCACCTACTACCATATATTTTTAAAACGGCACTGAGATTTCTGAATGCAAAGTATGTGCTCCTCTCAAAAGGGACAGTATCCTGGCACAGGGATACGAATCAGCAACTACAGAACCAGGAAGCATTAAGGTGTGACCATATGCCACCAAGGAAGCGCCTTCTATTTTGTCAGGTTGCACACTAGAGACAGGCTTCCATTAAGGATATATAAGAAACTGCTGAGGAAAGTACAGATTCTCCTCTCCCACTCCCCAAGTCACTGCCTTAAGCCTAAATCAGGAACTGAGGGAATAGTGAAAACTATACTAACCTCATCAGATATTTGCTGTGCAAGGCGTATTGCTACATTTCTTAGCATGCACTCTGAGGTTGGGTTGGGAATGTTCTGTAGAGCAGTTTGCAACACCACAGCTTGATCATGAGTTGCTTGGTTGATCTGGAACAATTTATTTTCAATATTTTAAAGAAAGAACATACTATCTTCAACTGTAAACATTTAACATGGTGGAGAAAAAATATATTTCCACAGCCATTTACAAATTAAGCAATACTAGTCAATATCAGACTTTAAATATTTACTGGTTATCAGATCACAATAAAGCATTTACAATTTTGCTTTAAGAACAAAGTTAACATTACCTGTGACATTGGGCTTGTGCCCTCTACAACTGGCTGACAAGCTTCCGCCACAGCTCTCACATGGCCATAGCCAATTGCAGTTAGCAAGAGTTTTGCTATTTTTAGAGCATTTAGGTAGGCACCCCTTCTTGTTTCCATATCTGCATTTGGCAGGAAGTTATTTCTGGTCAGCATACTCAGCACAAGAGGTAAGCCACCACTTTTTAAGAAGTTGTACTGGAAGTCAGTGGCATCTTCTCCCAGAGGTAAATTGGCAGGCATTAACAAGGCATAAACTACCTACAAGGGGGAAAGAAATGGGAGAAAGAAAACAGGAAAAATAATTCAGCAAACTTTTAAACTAAGTATACTGAAAGATGAGAGGATGGTTTTTGCATATTTGTTTCCTTTACATTTTGTGATGAAGCTCTTTTCTCCATGAGCAACCTTCCCCACAATCCAGTCCTATGGGAAGGCCTTGTAGTACAGTCATACCTCGTGTTGCGTTAGGTTCATGTTGTGTCTTTTCGGCTTGCGAATGCAGCAAACCCGGAAGTGTATACATCCAGGTTTTGCCGCACGTGCACGCGCATAAATTCTCTATCGCGCTCCACGCAGAAGCGCCGCTCTAGTTGCGGACTTTTCGGGGTGCAAACGGCACCCTGGAGAGGATCGTGTCCGCAACTAGACGTACCACTGTACTCTGTAATTTGGGTGTGATCCCTGAATTCAGGGTAAAAATAATACTAGAAGAAAATTTTCAAATATCAAAATATTAAAAATGAGATATTACAAACCTCTGTAAGATATAGCACTTGTGATGCAGAAGGGCCGAAGAAAAGAGAATCAAGGGATGGACTAAGGCTGCTGTCTCCGAGTTTTGCATGGTCTAAACAAATAGCTCTTAGTTTTTCTACAGTAGTGTTATCTGGAATAAAAGCACAATTTAAAGATGTTTCTTCCCACAGAGAATACAATATAGATTTCTGAAGCACTTTTGGAAAGTGTAATACATTGAAACTGAAAAGGAAGAGATAGCACTGAAGAACATGGAGATTTTTTGTCTTTTTTCCTTTGAAAATCACATTTTGCTTCACTGCTGCAAACTGGAGAGATGGCATGCACTAGAAATTTTCCATGACCACCTCTTTCAGCATGTGTCTTCCAAGAACCCCAAAACCAGTTTGAGGAAAAGCAGCTTGATACTCGCTTTTGAACTTTCTGGAGTGGAAATGGCAACAGTGTGTGCACTATTGCTCTGACTACTGCTTTTAAACACTCACACTGATGAATCCCCACACTGATTTTGAACATGGATAGTTAAACATGCAGTTTGATTGTTTTGTATAGGTAGCTTCTAAGATGCTCTACATTTCACTTTCTATAAATAGAAAATACACTGAAAATAAATTTTACCTGGTGGCATCAATTTCATAAGGATCCGTGCACCATCTCTAAGAGGTGGCATATTTAGGCTACAGCCTAGGTCTGCAACTTGCCAAAGAAACGAGATATATCTAGGATGCAGTGACATGATCTAAAATAAAAGTAAAAACCTGTCATGAGATACCAGCTCCTAATATCAGATAATAAATTTCAGTCTATAATTTTGAGTGTGTGTCTGTTATTTACTTACAACTCCAGGCAAGCAACTTTCAACTTCTGGGTTTGGACCATCACTATAGTGATTGCCATGGTTGCCTGGAGAACCAGTCGAGGAATCAGATGAGCTATCAGGGCTTGAAGGCATATTGGAACTTATCTGTGTAAGCTTGGCTGTAATTAGCTGGGGGGTGGGGAGTAATAGAAAGTGATAAAATGGAGAGATTGTACAAAACTGTTAAAACAGTTATCTTTCTAATAGCAAACTTGACTGAATATATTAAACTGTTAATACTATAGCTACTCACAAAACATGCCATTATTTCAAATTATATTTATGCATTCATTTACCTTTCAACAGAGAATTTTCAAAAATAAGTAAGCTGATCAATATATGATATTTACAGTACTTACTGTTTTATCTTTGAGATTTAATTGTCCAATTAATTTTCTATCATCTGCCGGATCTACTAGCTCGCCTCCAATAAATAACTCTACTTTTGTATGTGCACTGTTGGCTTTAATACGATTGAGAATGCAACGTCTAACTGAACCAATCGTGTCATTTGTATGGGACCAAACATCCAAGTCTTCCACTTGCCGGCCTTGATTTGGAAAACGAACTACCAGAGAGATGTGTTTACCACGAAAAGCTCTGAGAAAAAAGATAAAGATAATACCAATTAAAACAATCAAAAATCTTTAAAAACATTTACTACTGCCAGGGAGAATTATAGAACTAAATTTATATTTGGGCAATGCCTTTAATAGGCCAGCCAAAATGTCACATTAGAACAATACCTAATAATTGTTCCAATAGTGGTATTTTGCTGACATAGTTGACTTTACTTGTTAAGTTTTATTTTATTTTCAAAGGATTACAACACTCCAATAAAACTGGAATTCAGAAAATTTTGCTTACTTTTTAATAATTCTTCTACTTGTTTGCTAGACTAAAGGGGAATAAATCTGAAAAGGTTATCTACAGCATATAATCTGTATAATGGCCTGCACACAAAAAAATGAATGGATTATCTTTTGCCTTTATGTATGTGGCAAAGAAATCAGAAATATAAGATTTATGATTCTACAAATATACTGTACTAATATATTCTACTAATATATTACACAGGCTATGTTATTTAAAATTTTTTACACAATATGAGATCCATAGCAGAATCCTAACACCACAATTACTCGGAAAATTACTTAATATTGCATCCTTATTCACCAAAGTTTTGAAATTTCCACAAACCTTGACATTGGTAGAATTGTTCGCTCTTCGTGGTAATCACTGTCACATTCATTTATATATTCCCTTAAAACGGTCAACACTCGCACCATTCTTATCGCTTCTTGCCTTGCACAATTAATACTGTCTTTATCGCCATCCAAAACACACAAAGTATCATAGGATGCTTTCAAACGATCAAAGCAGGACTGAATGAAGTCTTCATGGATTACTACCTACAGAAATGCCAAGAGACAGCTATATCTCAACAAAACAACATAAAAGGTCACAAGAGAGACAAACTAATCCTGCATCTGTAATTTGCACGGATGACACTCCTGAGCAGAAGATTCCAGAAACACTAGTATTTTTAACAGGCTTCAGTGTGTCAACAGAATTTTGGGAATGATGAAAATACATGGCAATTAACAACTTAAAAGCCATTTGTTAGTATGAATTCCTATTTGAATGAAGAGCCAGCTAAATAAGAAATGTATGTTCTCAAAGATTTACTTTTGTAAAATAGTCCTCAAGCAAAGCATACTAAGGAAGGAGATTTTCATCAATGAAAATGGTAAATGCTACCTATTTTTTAAAAACAACAACAGGTTTTTTTTCATAATTTTACCTGATTTACTTGCAATCTCGGACCAAGATTGGTATAGATTTCCTTTAGTAGATCTATTGCTCGACTGGCAATGTCATCACTTCCTTGAATTACAACCTAAGGCAGAAATATAAAGCATATACCACTTTAACTTAAGCATTATGGCCTATGAGAATAAAATCTCTAAGTGCAATCTTGACAAAAATATGTATATAAAATCTACCGCAAATGGTCTTATGACCCATTCTTGGCTTTGATACAACACACAGTAATATTATTTCATTTATGAACTATTTTCCATAAGGCATCCCAAAGTGAGTTACAATTTTTAAAAATGTCATTAGATTCGTCTAACATATGACAACATCATACACACATAAAATAAATTTTCCCACCCTAGCCCATGAGACGAAGTTAAAGCAATACATCAGAAATAACATCCAAAGAACGTAATAAGCCCTATCCCAGACAACCATTTATATAGAAAGCAATATACAATTTATGCAAATCAAAAAGTTTTATAATGTGAAGGGAGTCTGATGTTTTCAGTTTTAGCCACATATATAACAAAGCTGTACCAATCAGCTGCAAAATAATTTTATGGCTCAAACCTTGTGCCAATTTTATTTTATTAGTCTATTTTCCCCCAAATGCTATTTGCCATACATTATTGTACCAGTCTGTCAAAGAAATGCCCTCCAAGTTCTTCCAGTATCTCATTACAAGCCTGGCCAATAGTAAAAAATAACTTATCAGGGGTTTTAACTGTAAATTAGTGTTGCCTCCCATTAGAAGATTGAGCAGTGCCAGCTCTGAACATTTAGAGGTTTACTTGACCAGCAATTGTGATTTACAATACCAGAACCTGGAACCTAGTCTGGTAGCTTACTGGCAGCCTGTGCAATTCTTTCAGCAGTGGTGTCATACAATGATATTCCACCACAGTCCAACTGCTGCATAGCTGCAGTTACTGGGTCAGTCTCATGGGCAGCCCCAAATAGAATGCATTGAAGTAATCCAATCTGGAGGTTACCAACATATGGATGACAGTGGTTGGGCTGCAATGATCCAGAAACAGATGCAGCTATCTTTCCAACTGAAGCTGGTGTACTGCACTCCTAGCTCCCGAGGTCACCTAGACTTCTAGTGACAGAGATGGGTCCAGCAGCATCCCCACACTAAGAACCTGCTCCTTCAGGAGGATACAACCCATCCAAAGCAGGCAATTGACCAATTATCCAGACTAGGAAATTGCTCATTCACAGCACCTCTGTATCACCAGGATTCAGAGACATAAACGCACCACCAAGCGCAGGCACCAGTCCAGGGCTTGTAAGGCTTCTTCCAATTCCAATTTTACAGAGAAATTGAGCTGGGTATCATCAATGTTTTCTGGACACCTCCTCTGGAACTATATTAACAGTGATACCAAGTTCTGCACAAATATGAGCAACCATACCCTGCAAGTGCCTTGCAGAATTCTCAAAGCACATCTCCAAGAACTGTACCTTAGAACTAGATTTCAATAGCCCATTCGGAAGTCAAAGAACTAGGGAAAGATAAGAAGGTCAAATGAAGGTATAAATTTTTTTAAACTTTTCTGTTTTTCTTTCTCTTTTTTTCTCTTTTCTTTCTTTGTTATGGATATTGTTATTTCTGTTTTTTTGTTACTGTTATTGTTGTTTTTTGTATGTGGAATTTTTGTATTTTTGTATCTTTTGGAATTTTTGTAAAACCAATAAATATTATATTAAAAAAAATAAAATAGATTTCAATAGCCCATTCACCCCTCAGGATGGCTACTTGAGGATGCAATAGTGGCACAGAAGCAAGCTTTCTTAGCTTCCATCACCAGCATACAGTAGGTACTATTATGTGCTTTCACCTGTGCTCAGTCATTTTTCATTTATAAAACTCACTATATTCCCTGGAGTTCCCTTGAAAACCAGGGCACCATTGGGATCCATAGCACCAAAGGACAAATAGAAGTGTTTGTGTCAATGACACTTTCCATTGTGAGACCAGGGACTTGGCAGGAGCACTAGATAATGCCAAATGGAAAATCCCCCAAGTCCAGGAGCAAAGCTGCTGATTAAGTACTCCACTCTTGCAGGCTAAAGTCAAATGGTTGCTCCATAACAGGGTAATGCAAATATACCCCCTACCCCGCCCTACAACACCAATCCATCTACCAGTCATCCTTTTGTAAATAAAAGATCAAGGCTACGTCCTGTTATTTGTCAGGTCAATTCTGTACTGAGGCAGCCCCTTGGTTGCCATGGCAGCCATAATGTCCCAAGTCAGCATGGATTTTGAAATCACCAAGTCTGGGAATTTTCCAACCCTACACCCAAGACTACTTCTGCCAGTTTGGGTAGTGAGACAGCTGGACTAATTGAACAGAGGAAGAAAATGAGAGCAAACTACATAATTGGCAGCTTTCCTGACGCTGATTGCCATTCCTACAGAGAGAGCACTCCTTTTACAGTGCGACAGCAACGAACTGCCAAAGCCACAGTTGCAACCTGATACTCCACATATATAATGATGACCTCAGGAAGCATTGTGTAGCTGCATGGACATAGCAGACTTCTGCAGCAGCACTAGAAAGAATAAATATCTGTGGCAACCTCATATTCAACATCAAATGAGTTTTTCACCAAGCCATGTGCTGATTTTGCACTTTGTACAAACCACAGCGTATCAAAATAGGCAATGTGTAGCTGGAGTACACAGTAGAACTCACATGTAATAACAGTTGCAGAACTTTTATTTTATTGGCGTAACCATACAAACCAACTTTTTTGTCAAATTACTATAAACTACAACTTGAATAAGTTAGATGTACTTTTACACTTACCCTCCAAAGGTAATCTAATCCTATTAACTCCAAGTCATCCATCATATAGGCTCGTCTCTTTGCAACTAGCTTCCCTTCTCGACAGTTCACAGCTTTGAAGAAACGTTCAAAACATTTCATTCCATTTTCTGTTAAGAGTGAAGGGTCCAACTGAAGAACATTGTTTTCAAAGAAGTCTTTATTTATGTCAGGGTCTAAATCCGGTTCATCTCCCATGAGTTTAGAATACCATTTAAAACAGGCTTCACGATCACACAGGTAGACTGCATTTTCAGCTAAACACTTCCATATTTGTTTTGCCTGAGGAGCACAGAGCCATAGTTGACCATCCTTCAGTAAAAATCTAGCATGAAACAGAGAGAAACAAGAAGTCATTAAAATTAGAAATGTCGCTCTAATTCTATGAATTAACACTTGAAACTCAGTAGCTGATGCTGTTTTCAACTGTTCTCCAATGTATTCATACATTCTGGAATATTCCTCAATCACAGAAAAGAGAACAATCTACCGTATTTTTCGCTCTATAGGACGAACTTTTTCCCCTCAAAAAATGAAGGGGAAATGTGTGTGCGTCCTATGGAGCGAATGCAGGCTTCAGGAAGCTATCCGCAAGTCTTCGGAGTGCTGCGGGAATGCCCGTGGGCTCCGAAGGCTTGCGGATAGCAGCCTGCAGCCCGAAGCCCGGGAAGCGCAGCACTGCGCACCCCAGGCTTCGGGCACCTATCCGCAAGCCTTCGGAGCCCGGCGGGAGTTCCTACCGGGCTCCGAAGGCTTGCAGATAGCAGCCTGAAGCCTGAAGCCCGGGGAGCGCAATGCCAACTCCCACTGCGCTCCCTGGGCTTCAGGCAGCTATCCGCAAACCTTCGGAGCGCTCCCCCAGCCTGCAAGCTCTGGGAGCGGCGACAAGGCTGCGCAACCTTGCCTCTGCTCCCGGACCTGTTCCTGCGGCTAAAAACGAAGCCACACGCAGCATCTCCCTGCTGGAGAGGTTGTATGTAGCTAAAGAGGAAGCTAAAGAGGATGAATCCCGCTGGCTGTCTTGGCTTCTTTGCTCTTTGGGGCTGGGGGGGGGGGGGGAGAAGAAAAAATTCTTTATCCCCCCCCCCCCCCCCAAAAAAACCCTAGGTGCGCCCTATGGAGCAAAAAATACGGTATCCGGATTAAATAATATGCATATTATAAACTTGACATTTCACACAACTACTCTGTACACAAATGTTAGTCACGTACTGACATGTGTAAGCAGGTAAAAGATGTTAGAATCCCAACTATAAAAGAAAATTTGAGTTAAGCAAACAGATTGCCTTTGTATCATGCCAAGCAGCCTAGATAAATAGGTATTATGTACTTTTTTGGACTAGTTGGCAGGTTCAATTTCACTGAACATCCTTCAGTCCTACAAAAAAATCCCAGCTATTGATTTCCCGTAGATGCATCTGTCTCAGTACTATAAGCAGAAAAATGCTTCAATAACTATCCAAAGCAGAATAGAGCAGTAAAGAAAATTGTGTACAAATTGCATAGAGAAAATTGTGTGAATTTCACACAGAGCCTAACTACTGTGTCCAAAGAACAATTCTTCTATCCAGTGGTCACACATGGATAAATAAAGGTATTCTTCCCCCATTAATCCCAGCTGATACGTTTCACACCTAGAAGGAACATGAGTAGTATCAGCCATAATCAGAACGTTTCCCGTTCCTCTCATGGTGTTATCTACTGCGAATATTTAGGGGGGAAATGCTTTGTTATGCTTTTGATTACAACTGTATCTTCTTCAGAAGTGTTAAATAAAACATCCACCATCATAGTTAAGAATACGTGTGCTCTGATCTTAGTAGATTATTCTGGTCTTATCTCACCTAATATTCAAGGCTTTTTTCTTTTAGCCAAGTGGTGTGTGTGTGTGTGTGCGCGCGCGCAGTTATTATAGGGATGTCAGAGTACACTTAAGTGAGGAACCTTGTCTATGGAATGGCCACTTGGCTAGAAATATTAATTCTCTATATTTTCAAACCGTAAGAACACTTAGAACTTGCACATGAGTCATCTCTTTCCTTGACCGAGGTACTGCATGCCTCTTTCTAATCCCTTGTATATGGAAAGGTTTCTAGTGTTATCACATATCATTGCTGTCCTACCATCAGAAAACCTCCTCCTTCAAACATGTTTTGATGAAACAAGGGATATGTCTGCATCAGCTGTATCAGACTAAAAAGTGTGCCAGTACACTCTCTGCCCCTATTCTTTTGGGGGCAGCAGAGCAATTAAGCAGTAACTCAACTAGTTAGAATAAAGATCATCAGTGCTTGCGCTAGGAGCAATAGAGAGCTGGTATGTGGATAAATGAAAGCAGCCAGTGAGCCTTCATCTGTGACATGGGAATGAGACAAATAAAGGGATTGTGCATTCTAGCTGGTAAGACCTGGAACTAAAGAGCATGCAAGAGGAACTTGTTTCTAGCCATGTGCCTTACTGCGACCTTGTCTAGAAATAGATTCAGCCACAAGACAAATATCATTTTGTAGATCAGCTGTTCTCGATAGCAAAAAGGGGCATTCATTTTTTGCTTTTTGAACAGCATAGATTGCTACTTTTACACCCAATGTAAAGCAAGTATCACTAAAACCAACCGTAGGAAGTTCAGACGTTCTTGGACTTCTTGCACATGACTGTATCTACTCCCAGGTCTTACAGTTTGTGGATCGTATTCTCCATGCTCTGAAAATTTAATACAAAATATTATAATACTTTTTTTTAATCCAACAGCAAAACCTTTTCAATTTTTCTTTAAAGGACGTGCCATTATGTCCAAGAAAGTGCTTAGGATTGCATACATTATAAAGTTTCTTATCCAGTCTTATCTATTAAAAGAGTATTTAAAATTAGTGATGGCTTTTCTATTTGAAAGGTATATGCAAAGTTTACATTCCAACAACAAAATTACTTTGGAAAATTATCAGAAACTACCCAATATTAGATACCATATTTGCAGCAAATGTTGAAATTAACTTTTCCAGAAGTAGTTAAGCAAAATGTGGGAGATATAAATTTCAATCACAGCACATTTTATAGCTATTGTAAAAATACACAAATGTACACAAAATTGGCAGCATTGCCAATAAAATAATTCTGCCCCTCCCACGTATTTGCTTAAATATGTACAGTTGGGTCTGGAAAAATACCTAAAGTAGAATCTAGGTGGAAGGTGACTTTCCCACTTCCTTCAGCATATAAAGAGGAAATAAATAGCTAGACAAAATTAAATTTAACTCACCTTTAGCATACTGTCTCATGCTTTCCATATACGCTGAAAGATTTTCTGCAACTAAAGTTACTAGAGCATGATTGTGCTGAAGTTGATTGATTAAGTCATGGCGATAAAACACATGGGGGCTTCGCTGAGTTTGACTGCAGTTTAAACACACATCAAAGTGTTACAAGCCCTGTTACTGAGTTTCAAACAATCCATTCCAAATGGCTACCATATTGCAAAACTATGCACACTCCCTCCCAAAGCTCCTAATCCCCTTAGATATGAGAGGGGTTTGGGGACTTGAGCAGACCAATTAGTTCTCCCCAGTTCTGCCTCTTTTATTTTCAATGAATGCATTAAAATTCTGTATCTCAACTTCTCTCAACCATAGCAATGACATACTCATGCAGGCTGCCAAGCTTCAGATTTCCCTTTAAGTCTTTATTCCCCCTACCCCAAGACAAGAGCTTCCCACAGAAAACACCGAAAAAAATCCAGTATTTTAGTATAATTGTGATTGGGCAACAGTGCCCTCACCCCAAGGTAACAGCAAAGACATGAGTTCTTGTCTTCAACATTCAGCGTGAAACAAGTTCCATCTTCAGACAACTGAGTGAGTTACTCCCAATTTTCTGGCTTCTATAGGCTTCAGCTTTATGAATGCCATAAGCCAATTTAACTGAAAGGAATGACCAGTGAGAACCAGGGGGAAATAATCTGATCGTCAGGCAGGAGAGAGAAAATTGAGGAGACTGCGCTTGCCTCCCAGAGTTCTTTGCTCTCCTGCCTCCGTCACGTGATTAGAAAAGTTAGCCAACCCATCCATCTGGGTCATCAGCAACCATCTTAAATGGAATTGCATCCATTATGTATTAATATTTCCCATTATATTTCAGCAATACTAATGGATTATGGGAACTATGTACCCTTTTTTCTAGCCCAACACATTAAAGAAATGAAAAGTTTATATTAAAGTCTCACCTCAAGTTTTGTGGTGCTTCACCAAACAAACTACAAATTTCCCTAATTTGTTTCAATGCAGGAATGACCCATTTATCATTTGTGCGAAGCTCTTCTATAAAACGATCTATCCATTGTATTTTTTGTGTATCTCGATCCTTAAAAAACAAATATTTTTATTTTAGCTTGCAACAATTAAGTAATTTTAAAGTGGTTTATCCATTTCTGGCTCCCTGTTTTAAATACTTTGGAACTGAATCATTAGGTTAGAAAACAGCCTACTAGAGAAGTTAACCAACAAACTCAAAAGAGAACAGGTAGAAGCAAAGGAGGGCACCTTCAGCCCAATATGGGTCTCCTTCATCACATACACAGCACAAAAGGACAATGACCAACCCTCCCCTGCAACATCTAATATCCTTTGTTTTTATCCCTTTGGTGTCTGCTGCCCTGGTATCCTTTTGAGAGTAGGGCTGGGTACAAATTCAATACATAAATAATATGGACACCATGGCAAGCTCTCGTTAACACTAATCAAAAGGGAGGAAGACAAAGTGAAGCTGAAAGGGAGGGAGAACATATGCCAGCCCATAGCTTGCTCATAATCCTCTAAGCCATGGTTAGGAGTAGCATCTGAAACGAGCTTTTTGATATCTACCCTCTTCCTTTATTTTTGTGAAAATAATACAACAGTCTTAATGCCACTATAGTATCAAATCCCAGTGTTAATACCAATGGGACTATGGATTATTGGGACATACATGAATTAACCTTGTGTTCACAAGTTCCCTTCATCATATGCTCTAATTTCAATAAGTTCCATCACCAAAAACAATTTCTTGTTACATCTGAACTGCCAAACTATGATTTTCATAACCCCTCTAAACCAGGGATGCAATCCTTGTCTGAAAGAATTCAACAGCAAGGTCACCGTTTCATATTTAACAGCAAACTAGGAGAGAGAAATGTAGTAATACACAAGCATAATGTCAGCCAACCCAAAGATAATGACTACCAAACAGAATATATTTACCTGAGAACAACTATAATCTAAGATTTTAATGTGGGCACTGAGAGCCTGGTCCATGATATCAACTGGAACATCATCACTATGTGCTAAATTCCATAGAAGGTTCAGTACTTTGTGCGCCATCACACCATCTTTATCATCTTCTGCAAGACGACGAATTAACTCAAGTAGCTTTTCACGCTGCTTTTTGCTTGCATTTGTCCAACTTGCCTAGAAAATAAAGGGACACCACCAGAATATTTTAATGTGCCTGAAAATCAAAGGTATGTGAATTGAAATACTAAAAGTGTTAAAATTAAGTTATATTGTCAAAATGCAAATTAAGATAGGATAGTAATTCTACTGTTCTTTCCAGTAACACCAATTAGAATGTCAGCACTGAGTAGCTTACCAAAAACTGGAAGAACTAAGCTATTTTTAGATCATTTTCAAATACTTCACTTGAATGGATTTGTAATCAGTAATAATATTAATTGTTCAGTGACTGCATTTCACAGTAATAGGAAATAATAGGAAGTCAGACAGAAAGGCCTCTTCTTCCATTCAAAATAAATCCATGGCCCTGCTTCAGCAGAAGAGCAGAAGCCAAGCAAAATTTACTTTGTTACCCAAGATTGTTAAGAATTGCCCTACTGAATCAGGACAAAGTCCCATCAACACCAGCATCAACTTCTAAGTGGCCAAACAGACTATGGGAAGTTCACACACAGTAGATGAGCACAATCTGCACTTGTGAATACCAGCAACAGGTATTCAAAAGCGTACTGTCTGCAACAATGGATGCCATACATAGCCTCCATGGCTAGCAGCTATTGATGGCCTCATCCTCCATGAATTTGCCTACTCTTTTAAAATCATCCAAATTGGTGGTCATCTCTACACCTTCTAGGAGTGAATTCTGTTGTTTATGCCTTAAGTGAAATAATACTTCATTTTGCCCATCTAGAATCACTGGATTTTGCCCATCATTAGCTTCACTGGATGGCCCTGGATTCTACTATTATGAGAGGGTGAAAAAGAAGCATTGGTCATGAGTGTGAAGGGGATATCTGTGTGCACATAAATCTGCTGTCGTTACAGGACTTCAGCACCACCTGGTGGTTGATGGCGAAACTGCTGCTCAAACAAAGACTTCCTTTGTTGCATTCTCCCACGAGCCCTCAATTTTACTTTAAGTCCAAACATCCCAGAGGACTGGACAGAAAATACGGTTTCTTGACCCCCTTCATCCTTTGAAAATTCATCTTCCACCCACTAAAACATGCACACTAAGCACTGACAGGCTGCTTTTCCACATGACGAAACATAACATTTGCTCCTCCCAATTCGGTGAAGTTCAAAAAACTCAGGACTCTGGAGGAGCTTAGCCTATCCCCAAGTTCAGTGATAGTAAAGCAATGAAGGAATAGTAAAGTTCCTTCATTACCAGGAACTCCCACTGTTGACCCTGAGGCTGTCCCTTGCTCTAATTAATAACAGCAAATTAGTATGTATGCTTACCTTGAAACAATCAAATAGGTGGTCAAGTTGTTCAGGAGAGAAATCCCAGGCCAGTTTTGCAAGAAGGTCATGTACATTCTTCACAATGGCTTCATGTTTTCCTGCCTTGATAAGAAAGAGTTAACACCATTTACTGCTATCTCTACAAAAGACAGGATTGTCTTTATTTTTCTGAGACTTGAATTTCTATTACAGCCATTTCCGCACAGGTTATCCTACAAAGTGGAATTGACCTGCACTTACAGTGACCTTAGAACAATTCTTGAAAAACTAGCACTGTTCTCATCCTGTTCTCATTTTTCTATGGCAGGTTGGAAAAGATAGCTTATATAATACCTCAGACTTTAAACTGCACTTATCTCTTGCTCTCTTGACTTTTTCAATTCCTATTCTTTAAAACCCTTTGGGCTTTTTATTTACAAAATCGATACTCTATATAAAGAGGCTAGATGATCAGTTTACAGATCATCATTACATTTCCCAAAGAAAGGTACAGCCAATAGTTGATACTCCTTCATATTTCTAATGCACATTTGCTTTTGAACATTTAAGCTAATAAAAATTGGGTTTTTTAATTTACACTTCAGAATTGCAACTGACTTAGAGCAACAGCAACACTAGGCTTAAATCTTCCTGTTCCAAAACATTAATAGAACTTAACTAGCCAAGTTTGAAAAAGCAGGCAATTAGCACTATGACCGCAATGTCAGCTCAATCTACTAAACCCATTTAACTTAATAATAATAATATTTATATGGTATTCTCAGTGTGCATGGCACTTCACAGAGCAACAAGATGATAAATTCCTGCTCCGAGGAGCTTACCATACACAAAACAGAGAAAGGAAAGGCAAGATAAATCAAAGAATATGCAATTATTTCAGTCATATGTGTTTATGCCATAGGGAATGGAAACAGGGGTTGATCAAAAGGCAAAACCTACAATGATTAACTTCTTAAATTTGATGACCCAAGAAAAAAGAGCACACCAATAATTCATCAGGCTTCCTGTGCCACATTTAGCTTCCTTCTTTTGGTAGCACAGCATATGTGAACTAACCAAAAGTTTGTGTCCACCACAGAAGAACATAACATAATAAACTATGGTATTTGCAGACAGACTGATGAATTATACTTTAACATCTGTATCACAAAATATAAGCAACTCCAACTCATGCATAAGTAGTTCAAAATAAATTGCTCTCACTCAAGGTGACAGTTGTTTAGTCCCTACCTGTGCAGCCCAAATGTTGTCAAGGTCTTGCAAGGTGAGGGCCTTTTCTTTGATGACAAAACGAAGAATTTTCTCTAATTTTTCTACATACTGAGGTTGATGTAGACTATCCCTTAACACAATCGATAAGATATTATTCTGTTGAATCCACTCCTAAATTTAAGAAGGTAAAGAAAATTTCAGATGACAGCAGGCAGCACATTATAAACGCGCCCAAAAAATGAAAGTCACACTTATTTTTGTAACAATATGGAACAGGGGGTCCAACTCTGACCACCAGAGTTTATCTTATTCATAAGCAATGTTATCTACTTACTGGCAATTCCACATTTTACACTATTCAGGCGCAATATACTATATAGGCATGTAAGCAGATACCAAAAGTAATGCCAAGAACCAGCTATTTGGCAGAAGCATCAAAAGCCATTTCACAGAAGTGTCAAAAGGGAGATGCTTGTTACACCAGGGGTGGCTAACCTATGGCCCTCCAGATGTTGAACTACAATTCCCATCAACCCCTGGCCATTGGCCATGCTGGCTGCAGTTGATGGGAGTTACGAGTACAGCTGGTTACCTATCTGAGTTAAACAACAGGCAAACAGAGCAACTTCCAGAAGTGCTGGTAGTACAACTCACAATATCCGTTCATTTTCTCATTTCCCCAGTGCTTCCCTTCCATTTCTGCACCTTGTCCTAACCATTTCCAGCTGCTATAACATGATGTTGTGGGACTACAACTCTCAACCACTCCTGATCACTGGTCATAATGGCTGGGGGCTGATGGGACACTGGAGTCCAAGAACATCTGGAAGGCCACAAATTCCCTACCCCAAACTCATAATGTTGCAGTATTAAAATTAAAACTTCCACCATCAACCCCACTAAATTTGAGCATAGAGTAGAAAGTACACAGGGCATGCTGAGAGAAGTCTTAACTCCACTGAGCTATTTATGACATAGCTTTTTCAGTAGTTGCCCTAAGGATGTGGAATCCTTCACTTTTTCACACTTGTGGTGTTCCAGATGCTGTTGGATAACAGGTCCCATAATCCTTGACCATTTCCCATGCTGCTGTGGAAAGTTGAAGTCCAACTATATTTGAAGGGCCACAGGTTCCCCACCCTTGGTTTAAATACCTTGCTGGAAATGGTTTTGTTACACAAAGTCTTTGGTTCTTGAATTTTTACCATATATTGAGCTTTTTAGTGGGTCGTTTTGAGTTTGGTTTTATCAAATAGTGTATGTTTTTATTTTGATTGTTTGTTACTTACATTTTAATGTCTTATTGTCTTTAATTGTCTCATAAGCTACTTTGTGTCCATAGACAACAAAACAAGGTAAAATAATAATATCAAAATCAAAGTTAAGGAAAACATCTCCTGGAAAGAAAGGCAGACAAATGCTTTGAACGGATACAATGATATAATTCAAAGAACTTACTGCCATTCTTTCTGCTGTAAGCCATTCCTCCTCTTCGGGATTGCCATGCCGATGAGTGTAATATGACACACTAGATATCACCTTGTTAACTTCATTTAGTGCATTCATTTTTCCATTAAACGATGAAATTTGCAACAACCTGTGGAGAAATGTATGTATAAGAGAAGCAGAATCGGATACCAAACATAGAAAACACTGTAGTCATAAAATAAAATAAAATACCTTACCTAAGTATCATTTTTAATCTAAATATTTCTAGGTTTTTTACAGTTTCCTCTTGCCCTGGAACTCTTGAGGCTAAGTTCTTTAGAGATTTGATTATCATTGACAAAGCATCATTTTTGGCTTCATTCTTGGCTTCTTTTTTCAGTTCATCATCAGTTAAGTTTTCTAAAAACTGTGGAACCATTTCTATAATGGGAAGGAAGTATTTCTTCACTGTATGCAGTGTTAGAAACTCATAGCACTGTCCAAATGGTCTGGAGAGAGAAAAAACAGTATAAAAGGCTTAAAGTAGTATTAAGGAGAACCAGTATTTACTAAAAAAAATTACAAACCGGCAAGTTAATGATTACCAGCCAAAATATTATGCCTCTCCACATTCTGCCATCCCATTAGCAGATGAAGAACGTTGTGGTTTCCAGGTATTTTTGAGGGGCAATATGTGAATTGGATACCCCCAAACCACCACTAACACTGGAGCTCCTCCTGGTGGCCACCATGTCCCCTCTACCCACTGAAGCAATGCTTTATGGCAGGCTGCCTCAAACTCAGCCCTCCAGATGTTTTTGGTCTACAGCTCCCATGATCCCTAGCTATCAGGACCAGTGGTAAGGGATGATGGGAACTGTAGTCTCAAAACATCTGGATGGCCGAGTTTGAGGAAGCCAGCTTTATGGTAACAAAGTGTCAAACTGACAGAGGGTACTGTGGGAAAATTAGTGCCCCTCTCCCCACTTGGACTCCCATTCTGCCCCAGAAGCCCCTGCCAGAATGACATCTCATGACATTGTTCCAAGGGCCTTTGTGAGTGTAAACAGTGGACGTCAATAACTGAAAAAAGATCTTGCTGTGTCTCAACATCATTAATTTCATCCCAGATCTTGACCACTTCCATACTATTCAAGATAAATGTTCTCTACAAAGAGCTGAACTGCTAGCAAAATGACTCTGGCTGAGTTTGTGTGTATCTTTCTTCCAAGAGCACTGGGGGTAAGGTTCCTAAGGTGCTTATACATACAATTATGCAAAATACACAGAGACAACTCCCTACTGTATATGTAATATCCTCTTGCCCCAACTCATTACAATCCAGATGTGCCAAATTTTCCACACAAGAAACAATACAGGGTGTAGAAGGTTCAAATGGAGTGGTGGTCCTCCACCAGGAACAGACGCAGCTCACCAAAGTTCCAGCATTCTATTCCAACAGCAAACTGCTACTGGGGAAACTCTGAAACCTCACAACAAACCTTGGCTTTCATCAGTCTCATTGCCGTAATTTCCCATACATTATGGTTCCTAATTAAGGTTACCTGCCCCAAACCTGAGCTTGCTAGATCAAAGCAAAGATTAAGGTCTTCTGAAAGTGTGTATGGTTTAAAGCTAATCTGTATAGTAATTAAGGTAGTTTTATAAATCTTTGCTCCTAGACTGCAAACCCTAAATGACAAAATATCTATTTTTGAATAAATTGGCTCTTTTTGCAATCAAGCTAAACAGAATGTGCCTAGGTTAGCATTTTCAAAGAAAGTAGTATACTGTTTTCATTCTCTTCTTCCCTTTCAAAAAAGCTCAGAACTGCTAACAATAATTCACACTAGAGGGTATATATACTTCACAAAAATAATAAAAACTGCAGCACATCCATCCTCATGCACTACTGAAGAAACCAGAAGACCTGAATCTATTATTCAGACTTAATGCTCACTTGCTTGTACAAGCTGGGGCATCAGATTTTCATCAATCCTCACACACACACACCCAGCGCTCCTGTGGTAAAGCCAATGATGAGAGAGAAACTAACTCAAGGGATACTGTTATTCAGTTGATACATAGAAAAAGGACTTACTTGATGAGAGCTGCAATAATCTGAACATTCAATGCTGATCCGCTCATAAAACGATCGTGTAAGATCTGAAACCCATTCAATGTGCCAAACTTGTTGATGAGATCTACTAGCCAACCCTGCAAAACAATTTTTCCTGCTTTACATGTCATTCTATCAACACATATTTACATTGCAAAGAACAAGTCCTACTTTTGGTCACAATTAGAAGTAAATATACTCCTTTAACCATGATTATCCTCTCGTGTACTGTTAATAATTTCAAAATATTTTGCAAGTTGTGATAATACCAGCAATTCAGTATTATACTATTATAAAAGACAGGTATTTCTGAACAAGAGAGCTTTTATGCACAGTAATCTGTTATCTTCTGACAGAAATTAATACAAGATTTCCTTTTAGGTTAGAAACCAGAAGTGAATACAGATTAATGGGGTGTGGGGGACAGTTTTAGTATATGGAGGTCATCATAACAGGCCTCAGCCAAAAGCTATATTGACCTCCTTTTGAAGTTCCAGTCATGCGAACTGAGACTTCCCAACACCTTGAGGCTCCAAGGGAGTTAGCCTTGAAACAAACATACCAAATTATACACTACAATGAAGTTAGCAACTTTCACAAATTTTAACTCCAACTTTTTTGCCTGTGATTTGATACATTTGCAACTACAGTCATACCTTGGTTTTCAAACAACTTAGTTGTTAAACGTTTTGTCTTGCAAACGCTGCAAACCCAGAAGTGACTGTTCCGGTTTGCGAACTATTTTTGGATGCCGAACGTCTGAAAGGGCTTCCACGGCTTCTGATTGGCTGCAGGAGGTTCCTGCAGCCAATCAGAAGCCGCGCTTTGGTTTTTGAACATTTTGGAAGTTGAACGGACTTTCGGAACGGATTCCGTTCAACTTCCAAGGTTCGACTGTACATTAAGGCTAATGATACTTAGTTTACAAATCCTGATTAAGACAGAAGCATGTTTAGCATTAGTCAAGGTTTCACAGCAGATCTAATAAATAACCATGGTGAAGTCTGACAGAAAATAGTGAAGAGAACTCATTTTAAGCTGAATATTTAAGATGATACCTAGTTCTGATTTGTGCCTAAGCACAATGCAGGCTATAGCACGTGTTTATGTGTCTACTGCTTTTATGACTTGATTAAGAATGCACTAGGAAACAGGGAGAGTACAGTTTCTGCTTCACCTGGTTCTTACTTTTCCAACTTTGCAAAAACCCAAGAGGCAAACCAATACCCCAGAAAACAACTGTCCAGAAATGTCTTAAGTGAGAATGATCACTGCTGCTTCAAAATTTCAAATCAACATACCTTTGGTGACCGCGGGTCTGGAGGACGAGCATAAAGTTCATCTTCAGCCAGCTGAACTCCAGCAGGAACAGTTTCAGAGGGACGTGTACCATTGTAAAGATGGAATTTGCAATGAGGATTTAAGGCCATTGCAAGAAGTTCAAGAAGAGGAAACCAATCTTGGGCTAGCTTTGCCACACAGAGTTCAACTAGGCGGTGAGTGTTGTTAATGATACATCTCTATTAAGAAAAAAATACTTTATATAAACTTGCTTGATAGTGAAACTCCTTATCAGAGTAAAGAAAATTCTATAAACCCTTGTTGCATGAAATTATTTATTTCAAATCATACAAATTTAAGCTACAGGAATTATATAGTAAAAGTAATGCAACAGTTTTCACAAGTGTCACAGGTAATTAACCAGTTTTTACCATAGTGAAGTTGTTGACGTAATAGATACATGGGTAGCTAAAACAAACTTACATGAATCTCAAATTTCCAGCCACTCACTGCCTCATCTGTAAGGATTTTTGTGAAAGAGATTGTTAACCCATCTCGAAAAAATCGCTGACATGCTTCACTTTTAACATCAAGGCCTGTGTAAAAAGAGATCATCAAAGAATTAAGTTACTTGGTGTCATACACTGACTACTAAATTACCAACAATAAAACATTTGGAAACTGCTTCAAAAGAAAGCTGTTTAATACATTTAATACCAATTATACTTTAACTAAACTGCATAAAACTTGAGTTAAATTTTCTTAACAACACTGCATAGACACTATATCCATGCAACAGTTTAACTACTGTTGATTATTTTTCTATGCATGTTCCTAGCCTTCAAGGTTGCAGGAAACACTACACTGCAGACATTAAATGCCCAGAAACTAGGAAGTCCCTATCAAGAATATTACAATAGCTAAAAGAAGTAGGGTTATCATTTTTAAGATCCTTATTATTTATTTCCTCTCAACCTTGCTTCTGTGCAACTCCCTCTACCAGTCAGCCCCCAGTCAGCCTGCCCTTCTCCAACTTGCAATGGATCTGAAGGCAATTTAGACCTGAAACTGACTCCCAACATTGATTCTATTAGCTGAGCACTTTCTCCTGTGCTAATTCTTTAGAAATGCATAAAATCTTCCATCTGTAGTAACACAAATGATTTAAACTAAAAACTGTAAACAATTATCTTTTTATAATCTGTACAATTCCTATAAGATGGGTCAGTATCATCAAGTTCCCAAATGTAGACAAGAGCAAGCCGCTTGCCCAATACTGCCTACTGAGTTTAAATTTCAACCCATGGACTTTCCAAGCCATATCTCACTATCAGCCACTATCTTACAAGAATTCTTCAACTACTGAAATGCTGTTTAGATATACAAATGAAAGTTCTCCACCAAACCAAAAGAAAACATACTTCAAAACTGACCTGTTTACTCATTTCATTGAACACTATGGGCGTTCCCCAAGTTGCACGAGGTTTGTGTTCCAGGCCCCGGCGCACATAAGCGAAAATCGCGTAAGTGCAGAGAACCCTCTAAAAAGCCTCTAAATGCCCGTTGTTCCTGTTCTCCAGCTCTCTCTTCCCACAACTCTCTCTTCAACTAGAGTTGAAGTTCTAGGGCCAGCTGGAGGATGCACAGAAAAGCAGTGGCTGCTGCACTACTGCACACATCAGCTGCTAAGCCTAGCAGCCTAAAAAAAGCTTTGCTGCACCTCCAGTCTCTTTGGGGATTCCTCTGTCCCCAATGAAGTCCTCTTCAGGCACCAGGAAGGGTCCCTTGCAAGCCATAAGGACTCTCCAGCTCCTTCGCATTTCCTGGCTTGAATCTATTTATTTCTTTATCTCCCTGTATACACAGTCTAGTAGTTAGTAAAGCTAGCAATTCTAAATAAGGGATATCACTGTACGTCATTGATGTGATATACCCATTGTTCTTAAAAGTTTAATTTTTCAACTTACCTTTTTTACTAAGCTCAATAGCAGCTTCTAGAAGAACTTCTAACTCCCCTTTAGGCAATACAGGAACAACCCATCGAGGTCTAAGAAAACATTAGAATATAAAATTCAATTTGACATGAAATCTAACTTTCCCCTTCAATGCTTTTCATCTGGAAAAGATGAAATAATTTGAGCCACAAATTAACACATTGCCTGAAAAATATATATAAATACCTGTTAATCATGTCATCCAACTTGGCCAGGTCAGTGTGTGGAAATGCAGGCTCCTCATCTTCAAGCTGTGGTGGAGCATCACCCTGACCCTGTTCATCAGGGGGTGTAGCTGGGGAATTCTCATTTGAAGAATCAGGGGAAGAAGTCTGAATTAGAAAATACATAGTTAAGTAAACCACTCAAATACTGAAATTCTTGCAATAATTTTTAAAATTACGGAGTCATCATACAGTTTAATCAAGTTTTAATGTCTCCTTCTAATAACATTCAAAGGGTAGGCCTCTTTCCCCCTAACGTTTCAAGGGTAAATGTATCTCTTTCTTCATCATCTTTATGCTGCACAGGACAGTTATTTCGCGCTTTCATTTTAATCATATTTGTACTATGTGTTTTTAGTTTTCAACATACAATTCTGCAAATTTCCTTTCCCCTATGTACTAAATTTAATAGCTTTTCTAAATCACAACCCCCTCCAAAATCAAAACAGAAGCTTTGATCTGGTCCTCCTGCTTCTAGGTCATAATTCTAACTCAGTAGCTGCCATGTGTGGTGGGGTAGAGCTGCAGACACAACCTCCTGACACCAGCATCACTGCTGCTTGACAGGGCAGGACAGCAGCAAGTTCGGGCCTGTGAGGGAGCACTGGTGAGATCACACTGGTCTATCATGCACTACTGCAAATGTAATGAGTTCAATGCCTCTGTGCAATGTAATGCACAAATAACACAAGCAACACCCACAAGCAGCCTGTAACCTATAAAACTCAAGTCTCAATCAGGTGCCCTCTGAGTCCTCCTGTAGGGCAAGCACTTTACATTCCAAGCATGACGAAGAAAAAAGCCACTTTCCACCAAGTTCTATTCTCAGAGATAGCAAACACAGTGCCCTCCAGAGGTTCTGGACTACAGCTCTTATCAGCCCAGCTAGCATGGTCAATGGAAGCCCAAAACATCTAGAGAGAAGAATGCTGACTACCCATGCTCTATTTGCTACTGAGAACAGCACCAGTGAAAATCTATTCCAGTTGCCTGCATGTTTCCTTGGCAATGTTTACACTATTTTAATGTAAGCCAAGTATGTTCTAAAGTTCTCTACTGAACTGTAGGCTGCTCTTACAAAAGGAGAAAAAGCATGCAGCAACACTTTGACAATCTTCTCCTCATTGGAGACAACACATTCACAACATTGTGCAAACACCAACCGTGGAATTCAACATTAAGTTTTTACAATTGTTCTATCTGTCTAAGCATTTCAGTTCACTAGGCAGAATGATACCTCTCCCCTTTCCCTGTGCTGCTCTGGCACTTCTCCTGACCCTCCTAGAGTTAAATTTGGGGGTGCAGGGAGGCACATGGGTAAGGGGAGAGGGGACAGACCCATTGTGCAAACTGAAGTTCCTGCACTGACAGGGCTCATTAGAACTGCGCCTCTAGCTTTCAGTGCTGCACTACATTTGGTAGCAACGTCTCCTTGATGAACATCCACAAATCTATCTTGCTTGGATGAGAAACATCTTACATCTTGTACTGACTGCCAATATGCTGAGAGCAATGAAAGAACAGCAAAAGCAAGTTTGGAGCAACACTATTGGGATACAATGATCAAAAGAAAGTTGGGGGGGGGGGGAGATTACTTCAACTGGAGGATGTGAGCTGGTGCAAGATCTCCAACACACTGATGTGATTATGTTCATGCAGCAAGAATACAAGAGCTCTGAACTACTCACACTCCTGTTATCACTGTGCATAAAAAGGAAGCATGTGTGAGCATGTAACATTATCATCAGAACAGGCCTCAAATAAAACCAGTTTTGTTCACCATGTGTGCAAAAAATTAAATCTCAAGTGCAACAAGCAAAACCATTTTTTTGCAGCAATTTCTGAGAAATCCCAATCTAATCACTGGATCTTTTCAGAATGGTTTTAAACAACTATATTTTCCTGAGCCGGATGAACAGAGTATGCACCCAAACAACAATTTGTTTAATAAAAGCAGCAATTTAAGAAATAGCCTCTAGTATATGCAATTAATACATACAAGCTGTCACTTATCTGCTTACTTGTAACAACTTAAGAACACATGTAAACACTTGTGTGCAAACAGGCATGGAAGAGTTTGTGTATTCTCTCTCATTTACTATGCTTATTTGCTACAAATAGTTGTGTGGGTGGCAGGCAGCTTTTGTGAATTTACAAAGCTACTGTAAACATCAGCAGTCCACCTGCTATAAGTGAAGTTAACTGTACAAAACCTAGTGCTTCCAAAAGCAGCCATGGAAACCTTGTCTATGTAAATAAAGCTTAATAACTATTACAATTCACTTCAACAATGATTCCCTTGGAATTGTAATTTTATTCTACTATAGAATGTGACATTTCAATCATTTGGCAAGAAAAACAAGAGTTTTTTTATGCAGTGGAATAGCAGTTCGGAGACCTCAGAAGTCTAGCATTACTGTGAGGATGATCCTTGCCTTCTCCACAGCCCTAAGATTGGAAAGAAAGCTTGGGGGTTGTTTTATGCTTCAAAGTGCAGTGGCAACCTGGCACACCCCAGTGCAGCCAGGTGCTGACACCTCTTCTTAGTGCATCTCAGAAAGCAACTGTTCAAATAACCAGTCCCAGCCATTTCTTCCCCTCTAAACTGGATCCAGACCTGGGAACAGTAATCATACCTGAGCTTCTGAGGGACTCAGAGACCTAGAACAAGAGTAGGGAATCCCCACTCCCCTTTCCAAGCTGAAAAAGATGAAATGGGCTTGTTTTTGCAGAAAAGATCACATTAACTCCCTATGTACCTCCAAGCTCAGAGCTATGGGGTGACTGTACCCAACCTCATGCTGTATTACAGAGGGTACTACACAAGATCAGGACCAAAAAATCTTTAATTAACAAGGCCAGCCAAAATATGAGGAATCTTGATTTAGAGTATCTAAATTTTTAAGACAAACATTCAAAGAGACTCTCACCATGCAAGGGGTTTGTAAACAGGAAGTGCCCAGACCAACTTTACTGGAATTTATTTAATGCGTAAAGTAGAACTGAAGTGTATTGTTGCAAGATTAAGGTTAATTAGTGTTATCAATTGCAACTTTTCTCAAAAATATCTAAATTTTGATTACTAATATGAATATCCACCATACCTGATTCTGCTGGAGAGGAGGCTGGGACTGTCCATCAGGAGCCTGGCCCTGGCTGTCGTTCCCTCCTACTGGAGAGCCACGGGTCGTGGCTGTCATACTCGAAACAGGGCAGATTTTTGCAATTTTGTCTGCTTATGTAGTTGTTGAGAGAGAAAAACTTATAGTCCGCTTAATGAAGTTGAAGTACCAGCATATGTCTGTTTTAAAAAGCTCCAACTCAAGAACAAGCCATCTTGCAGAGACCATTGCATAACCTGAAAGAGATACATTCAAACATTTAATTTTGTTTTAAACTTTTTTGAACATGCAAATACGAACAGCCCCATTTAAAGAACTTCCTACCCCACACATAAATCTAACTCAGAATTACAAATGGCCTAAGCCAGTGGTTCCAAATTGGGAGTCTGTGGACCCCAGGGATTCCATGCAACCCACTCAGGGGAGCTATGGCACCATTCACGTAACAAAAAATACCAGAGATAATATCAACATTTTAAAATGTAGGGGGTCCATGGCTTGGCTTTTGAAAAACAGGGGGTCCTCAGTACTTAGCTAATTAGAAACCACTGGCCTAAGCCATTTAGTAAGCCTTTGAGAGCCAAACTATGAGGGTAATAGAGTTTAAGCAATAAAGTAGTTACTGTGACCCAGTTATTTTCTTATACTGCCAGACTTATCTGACCAGTCGCTTATCTCTTCCCTCAGAATAGCAAGTCTTCTTCAGGCATGAAGAAAATACAATTCCAACAATAGCAGTTTATGCAGCAAAAAGGGCATTCTGCTACAAGAGTACATTTGAAAAAACTATGCCATAGTCAGTGCTGGACCAGTTGTGGTTATGAGTTCATCCTTAATTCACCCTCATCCTTTTTGAAATAAATCTATCTCAAATGATACAGAAAATCACCTACATAAAAACTTATTCCCAGCATTTTGGCAGTACGGTAATAGCTTACATTCAATCATGCTTAGAATTCCCTTAAATTTACCACAGGTATTCTGACTACAAGTTAGATTGTTACAAGGGTGCAAAGAGTTGATCTCAGTATCTCTTCAGTGACGGCAACTCCTATCTCTCAGAACCTGAGCATTTTCTAGACTAGGAGTTGCTAACCTGTTGCCCTCCAAATACTGGACAACTACTAACATTTCTGATTACTGGCCATGCTTGCTAGAGTGGATGAGTTGGGCGTCTACAAGAACATCTGAAGGGCCACAAGTTCCTCATTCTTGCTACAGATGTGCTTCAAGACTGCCCTGTTCCAGCATTCTCATTTTTAAGGTGGCATATGGCAATTAGATATACAATGGTACCTTGGGTTACAAACACCTCGGGTTACAGACTTCGCTAACCCAGAAGTAGTACCTTGGGTTAAGAACTTTACCTCAGGATGAGAACAGAAATCGCACGGCGGCGGCAGCAGGAGGCCCCATTAGCTAAAGTGGTACCTCAGGTTAAGAACGGTTTCAGGTTAAGAACGGACCTCCAGAACGAATTAAGTTTGTAACCAGAGGTACCACTGTAGCATGTAACACATTGGTAAGTGATAACCATAAAAACCAATCAAATTAGAATACTAAATAGAATATACACATTTCAGACAAGAAGGAATAGCATTAATGCTGCATCAAGATGAATTTGGTAAATTAATCTAAAAACTGGCTTTTAACTACAATTTAAATCAAATAAATATTGAATTTTCTTTTTTGAAAAGTATTTATTTATCCACTGGTTGAAGCATCATGTTCACTTGCTTACTGGCAACTCCATTATTTCTGGTAGTCTTTTAATGCCTGGAATTGGTATGCACAACCTGTGAAGCCACATCTAAATAGAGAATAGTTTTATTTAAAGGGTGAAAGGAATTACTTTTAAACAGCACAGTCTAGTAGTTTAAGTATGCTATGGGTTACAACTAAACGCACATCTACTCAACGGGCATAAAATATTAATTCAGCTGTCTCACAAGAATGTTCCAGTAAAAAAATAATCATGAATTAAGAGTCACCGTTCTAACCACTAAAGCTATATGTAACAAATATTCCAGGCAATCAGGCCCAGCTCAACACCTTGTATCCTTGAGCAGCTGCTAGGCCTCCACTGAGCAGCTACATTTTGCCATTTCCCACAATGTTCTGAGATATCATGCACCTCCAGAGCATGTTGGAAAATTTTAAAATGGCAGTGCTTAGCTACCCAGTTCTGCAGTCAGGTACACTCACAGCAGGGAAGACCAACATAGGAAAAGGCCCACTAAAATTTGGAGTCAACCAAGCCTACAAACACTTTGTAAATCAGTTAATGTCACATACTACAGTCACACCTCGGGTTGAAGTAGCTTCAGGATGAATATTTTCGGGTTGCACTTCGCGGCAACCCGGAAGTAATGGAGTGCGTTACTTCCGGGTTTCGCCACTCGCACAGACGCTCAAAATGACATCACACGTATGCACGGAAGCGGCGAATCGCGACCCGCGCAGACGCGGGTTGCGTTCGCTCCAGGATGCGAACGGGGCTCCGGAACGGATCCCATTCGCATCCAGAGGTACCACTGTACATATGCATTAATCCAAGTAGTCTATAGTTCTGAACTCAATCATCCACAATTACTATAGAACGAATTTCAAGAAGTTCAAGAATTGGAGAATCTACCACTTCACCTTCTTTCAATCACCATAACTATACAAAAATAGAATGAGTAGAAAGTTTCATGGTGTAACTAATCTGTGTTAAAACAGTTTGCAGCTTGCCTTCTTGCCTACTGTGAGCTGCAACTGCTTCCAGGAGAGCAGTGCAGTGACAGAGTGCATCACTGGCTGTTTTTTCCTCCTCCAGTCACCTCCGTTTTATTTAAAAATGCATTCTCATTTTTCAAAAACATCCACAAGCCAATCCAAGCCACAGTGACGTGAGAACTTTCTTTTTTCTTTTTGCTATTTTTCCAGTAAGATATAATGAACTAAAACACTGTATTACAGTGTGGTACACCGGTTTGACAGCCACAGACAGGAAATCCCTACAGAGGGTGATGAATACAGCACATGATATCATGGGCTGTCCCTGGAGTTCACTAGATGACATCGTGGAAGACCGCAGCCTCAGGAGAGCAAGGAAAATTCTTAGGGACGACTCACACCCCGGCCAGCACCTTTTTAACCTCCTGCCTTCGGGCAGGAGATACTGAAGTATAGTCAGCAGCACCAACAGGTTAAAGAACAGTTTTTATCAGTGGGTTGTTGGGCTGCTGAATGGAAAAAAATAGTGGTGCAACTGACTTCCGACAAGCACACAGAGCGCGAACAAGACTGAGTGTATGTGGGGGGAAGAGGGGGGCTCGTTTAATTTCACTGCACACAGATGGTGTAGTGACAATAAAGGTTTATTTATTTAAAAGAATAAAACAGATTTCTACCTCCACATGGAAACACCATCCAATTGTAAAGGATCCTAGTGCCTGCTACAACAAACATACACTAGGTTAACACTTAGAACACTGTTAATGTTAAAAGGTGTAAACTGGAGGAATGCTTTTCCCTCCACTTCCTGTCAGACAACTGATTTAGCATCTGTGCCCCTCACTTGTGAATTCAAATGAAGGGTGGGAGATCTCTTGGAGAAATGAGATCTTTGGTCTAAAGCAATTTTAAGAGACAGCAGGGTCTGTGCAGACCTTTGTGACAGGCCTGTTCAAACTAAGATGGTTTGGGGCACTTCTCAGAAAAGTTTATAATCTTGTAAATCTGCTAGTCTGTAAAAAGAGATAATTCCAATGGGTTTCCTCTTTATCACTATGACAACCACTTCCCTTCTTCTATAAAGGAAAGGAAATGAACACTGTGGTGGGAAGAACAGGGAACAACAACTTCCCCTACTGCTGCCACTAACCTGCGTTACATGATTTTGAGCACATGCACATTATTAGGAGTCACTTAAAAACACAGAATAATCATTGTGTTCTGATCTCATAAACAAACTCTGTTTGCAAGTTCCAACTAAATCATCTTGCATTTAGGATTTAAAAAGAATACTTTTAGAGTGATTCCTGTGTCAGTCTTGGGAAATGGGTTAAACAAAGAAGTGATTTAGTTATGCAATCTCTTTTATTTACACAGGCCCTGTTTCGACTACTTCATTCCACTAGTAGAACCCAGTGCAAGGACTCTTGCTAAAGCAATGTGGCTTCCCCCTTTCCCCGGCTCCCAAATCTGCTCTGGAATAACCCTCTTGGGAGACCTGTGCAGGAAGGAGGAGGGTAATCATTCTATCAGGCAAGCAAAAATGCTTGCACTGACTGAATGGATCTCGTTACAGGTAGGCAGCCATGTTGGTTTGCCATAGTCAAAACAAAACAATATATATATATATATTTTTAAATCCTTCCAGTAGCACCTTAGAGACCAACTAAGCTAGTTATTGGTATGAGCTTTCATGTGCATGCACACTTCTTCAGATACACTGAAACAGAAGTCACCAGACCTTTATATATAGTGAGAGGGTGTAGCCATTCGTTGAATCTTCCCCAGTGAGCTTTCAAGGCAATTACTTAGACAATACATGGCTAGTAGTAATAGTGTAGAACAATAGTGGCCAAACTTGGCCCTCCAGTTGTTTTTGGACTACAACTCCCATCATCCCTAGCTAACAGGACCAGTGGTCAGGGATGATGGGAATAGTAGTCCCAAAACAGCTTGAGGGCCAAGTCTGGCCACCACTGGTGTAGAGCAAGCTAATGTCAGCCACACAGCTGATTCCAAAACAATATGTTGTGGATAGTTATTGTACATTTTAGTTACCAGAAATCTCTAAGGCAAATCTACTGCTAACATTTAACAGATAGCCCACATCTGTTAGCTACTGAAATTATACAAACTGTTACACATTCTTTTTATAATTTTTATGTGAAAGATGCCCTCATTTGGACCATGTCTGCATTTGGACATCATGCTAGAATATAATGTACAACAGGGATGGGAAACTGGGATGGGTGTTGAATGTGGCCAACTAGGAGTCCATATTTAGTCCACATGCCTCTCCTCAAGACATACCCCTCACCAGCCCTGCTTCACATTATCTTCAAGTGTTTGTGCCTGTCTGGCATCTGCCCTTGAGCTTGGAGGATGCCTCTTGCTTTCCTAGATGGAGGATGGAGACATGTGTCTGTGGAAGCTTATGACTTTTACATGGATGGAAAATAGGGTACCATACAAAAATAAGCATCACTGCCTAATTTCTTCTCTCTGGCCTGGTCCACTTTTTCCTCTTTTTCCTGGTCACAGCCACTTTATCCTAGAAAGTTATGCAAGAGGAAATGTGGCCCATGGGACTAAAAAAAGATTCTGCACCCCTTGAGTTTAATTATATGAACTAGCTTAGCCCCCACCTAAGCTCAGGCCCTTCCCTCTGCTTGTTCCACAGTCTGGAATTGGCGTTTGGATACTTTTGCTTCTGGTTAACGGTTTGCTATGTCATCTGGAACTATTGTTATCGTTAACTATGGTTAGTGTAAACAAGCCAGCTTCAGAAACCATTGCCGGTAGTTGGTTTGAAATTAACTGTAGTTAATGCTAATTACAGTTTGACAGGCAAGAACATACAACAAACTGCTGTTAACCAAAAGCAGAAGTTAACACTTCCAAAATATTCCTCCTACACACACATGAGGATGGGTGGGGGAGCATATGAGACTCTTTCACATCTCACTAAAGCACCTGTGTCTTAGATATTATTCAGCTCCAGGTCCCAATAGCCCACGCCAGCAGGGTCAATGGTAAGGGATGATGAGAATTCAAGCCCAGCAATATCTAAAAAGCTACAGGTTTCTTATCAATTTTTAATTTATATGTCTTTTTAATATTTCTCAATGCAATAATAAACCAAAAATATTCTAGATAAAATACATTTGCAAGGAGGTAAAAATCTGACTTGCGTTATCATTTCACAACAAATGTTAGTAACCAAAAGCAAGATCCTTCATAATTTATGTGTTATTTTGACATCTGTTTTCTTACTAGTCAGCTAGTCAGAGAAGCAAGCTTCTGATGGTTAAGAGAACATCTAGCTGATAAAAACCTTTTGGAATAAAGTTCATGAAGAGATAATAAAGATTTTTTAAAAATCATTTAACAAGAAACCAGAAGCGTATCTTCTGGGATTAATAACAAATGACATCCCCATAAATAAGAAAAGGATATTCTTATACGCATACACTGCCGCAAGAGTTCTTATAGCAAAGAACTGGAAGGGAGACAAAATACCCACAATAATAGACTGGCAAATCAAACTTATTGAATTTGTTGAATTGGCCAAAATGACGGCAGCTATCAAAGGTCAAACAAATCAAAATTTAATAAAAGAATGGAGTTGAGTGAATGAATATACGAAAAAACACTGCTCCGGTACAGAAATATTGATATGTAAAGAACAAAGTTTGTAAGGGGGAAAGGTTACAAATGCAAGTAAAATCAGAATATTTGTCAAATACAATATAACAAACACAACTGTAAAGATAAGTTATAGAATTAAGATCAAGCAACGATGGAAGGAAGTCAGATTTTAACTCACATTTCGAGTTATGTCAAACCAATGGTGGTGGTGGGGTGAGGTGGGGGGATACTTTGTGTTACTAACATGTACATATGTGTAACCCTTTCTTTCTGTTATTTTGTAGAGATAAAAACTTCAATTTGAAAAATTAATTAAAAAAGAGAGAGAGAGAGAGAACATCTAGCTAGTACCCCCCAGTGGTACATACTGATGAAGTATAAACAATTCAAAAGCTAAAGTGGACTGAAAAGAAATCCAGCATTACAGTTGTCATTACTATTGATAGCTAACTGCTATAGTCAAATAAATATGTTTCATAAATCTTATTCTAGTTATTAGTAAACATAAAAGCCTTAGAGTTTACTGTTGCTAATTTGAGCTTCTTTATAATTGTTTGTAGGATTACCAAACTCTGCTGTAGTTCCTTTATATAATTATAGATAAAATTTTCGCTGTACAATTTTCTTCTTCATCTTCTAGAAAAATTCACATCTCAAGCAATTTTAACTTAGCACACATTGTTTAATTCCCTATTTGCTTATTTTTAAAAGTTAGGGGCATCAATCCAGAGGTGCACAAGCTCTGGATCCAAGCCCACTGCATTTCTCTCATATACAAATTTATTGCTACAACCATGGTCTTGGTATACATAGATAGAATTTCCATGTTTTGCTCCAAAATAAATTCTGCATAGATAGTGTTTTCCCTAACTGATTGCTCTAAAACTCAAGACAAGCCAAACATCTGAAATCCAACCACATACATTTGATTGACTTTACAGAATTCATAAAGTCTTCATAAACTTTTTAAGAGGCCTAGTGCATGCAACACCACCTTCCACCCGAACTAATGAAGTATTTTGAATACCTGATTATTGCCTCATCAAGCTCAGATACAATCCACTTTCCATTAAAATTGCAAAAAAAATCCATTGACAGACATAGCAAGTCTGCAACCACTGATATGAAAAACTATCTGACTAAATCTGTTTTAAATAAACATACCATTATATAAATATTTCATTAAGTTTGCATAGGGTATTCTGAATATCAGTAGTCAGTAAAAAGAAAAAGAAGAAGAGGAAGAAGCACATATGTATGGAAGATTACAGTGGTGCCTCACAAGACGAAATTAATCCGTTCCGCGAGTCTCTTCGTCTTGCGGTTTTTTCGTCTTGCGAAGCACGGCTATTAGCAGCTTTAAGAAAAAGGAAAAAACTCGCAAGAACTCGCAAGACGTTTCATCTTGCGAAGGAAGCCCATAGGGAAATTCGTCTTGCGGAACGACTCAAAAAACGCAAAACCCTTTCGTCTAGTGAGTTTTTCATCTTGTGAGGCATTCGTCTTGCGGGGCACCACTGTATTTAGGTGTTTTGGGAGAGACTGTCACAGAAATATCCTAAGTCCTTACTGGACAAAAAATATAGTGACACGGTTTAGACACAATGTTACTGATGCTTTAGCAATGCCACTTGGTTTTTCTAGGCAAATAAACCAGAACATACCCCAAGCACTCCTGAAATCCTAAAACATCTCACAAACTTCAAATTAATAAATAGAGTACTGCCAGTTCAATAATTAAATTCTGGGAAGTGACCTTTCATATCAAAAAGGAGTTTCAAATACCGTATTTTTTGCTCTATAAGACTCACTTTTTCCCTCCTAAAAAGTAAGGGGAAATGTGTGTGCGTCTTATGGAGCGAATGCAGGCTGCGCAGCTATCCCAGAAGCCAGAACAGCAAGAGGGATTGTTGCTTTCACTGCACAGTGATCCCTCTTGCTGTTCTGGCTTCTGAGATTTAGACTATTTTTTTTCTTGCTTTCCTCCTCCAAAAACTAGGTGCGTCTTGTGGTCTGGTGCGTCTTATAGAGCGAAAAATACGGTAAATCCACGTCGTCTTTATACTACTGCTGTCGGTATCAATAAGAAAGGTTGTATGTAACATTAAAGTAAGTTGTGTTTCAGGGCTTTCCAACTCCCCATACCCTGCAGAAAGCCTCTCCCAAAGCAAGCTGCTGTTTTCCCATTTCTTTTGCAATGCATTCACAAGGTCAGAGGTTCCCCCAATACTCTGTAGAGGCTTTTTGAGGAGTGTGGGGTGTTGGAGTCGAAATGAGGAGTCGAAAAGCCCCATTGTACAATAAGACTTCCATTCCCATAATGTTGGATACAACCCACTGTATTTATTCCTTGACAAATACATATCAGCAGGGTTGCAGCACTGTAATTTATAGGTACTAATCACTAACTCTCTGGATAAAGCAGCAAATAGATTTATGTAAAGTTGTCCAAACTTTCTCATGTATAGAGACAAGAAACAGATGTTCTTTCAGAACGTCAGCTCTCCAAAAACATATACTCTCAATACGAACATGTCTGGGCTATCAAACAGCATATATTCATTTTCTATCAAAACTTTCTATCAAAACAAAAAGTACAAATTAGACAGTTTCTGAAAAATCAAACTGTTGTCTGTATCGTTAAAGTTGACACAATGCCAATGAATACAGAAGGCATTCACAAGGAAAATCTCCAGACGTGCAATGTTAAAACCTAATTTAACTCTTTTAAATATTTAAATTTAATCTAACTCTTTTGCACTCTTGCAAAGGTGCACTCTTTTGCACCTTTGGTAATCAACCAATTGTTTGAGCAAACAATCATTCAAGGAAAGTGCCCTGAGAGCTACTTTATTGAAAATTTCAAGAAAGATAGCAGAATGTAATGGAATATGTGATTTTAATTTTCCAAGCTTGAGGCTGAATTTCAGGCATTTCTAATGGTAACATATTGCAGTGTTTTAGTGTTTGCACCCTAAAAGTAAATACAATTAAATATTAATCTTAAATCCTAAAAACTGGTAACACAGTTTCCATGTTATGGAAATTTCTACAGCAAGAAGACAAATTGGGGTCACTAAGAATAGATCATTCATTGTGTTCTGACATGTTGCATGCCTTTTGCATCACTATTAGCAAGTTAGTTTAAAACCACTATTTCTACTTACTGTGAGTTAATATTTTGCCAGATGTAGAAAGTTTACTGTTTCATAGAAGAAATGACACATTACATATAATGGAAATAATCCATCAATTCTTGTCTAGCTACTTACTGAACACTGAGAGGTATCAATTCACCATATCCCTGTGCAGGTCACAACTCAGGGTACTTTGCACTGTGTTTTCTGGACCATTCTGAAGGCTTCTGAATATCAGGACACAACTCTTGCTGCCCCACACTAATGCAGGCCAGTATTAGCAACTGAGATATGAAAGCTAAGAGCTAAATGGTACCTTAAACTTAGGTTATGGGCGCAACAACAGAATGTTTAGGTTCACTTTTAATGAATGAACTGCAGATAAAATCTTATATTCATTTTTCACATGATTTAGTCCTCATCTGAAGACTGCAAAAAACAAAGCCATGCTTCCCCTGCCCACTCCTCCGCAGTTTTAACATGAAATCATAGCGCAAATGAAATTCCTTGTCACAAAACACATCTAGAGCAATGGGAGTTTCAAACACAGCTGCAGGCTGTAACTCCCTCAGTGCGTTTTGGTTATGTATCAGAGTAGCTTAGTAAAACAAAAGGGTCCAGGTACATTAGCTACCTCTGCCCTACCATAAAGCAGAAAGGACGGAAATACAAAAATCTGAAAGGCAAATAACTCTATAAAAATTTGGCTTCCTTTAATATCACAGATTTGTTCATTAATTCATTAAACCTTTAACACTGCAAAAATTACACTGTTAGGAAGTACAAGTTACCACATTAACACTACACATTAACAAAAGCTGTAGATTATTTGAAGTTTTCCATTGCCATGCAAACAAAAGATTTTATTTGAATGCAAACATAAATAAAACACATGCTGAATGCAGTGTTCGAAACTCCCATTGTTCTAGGCGCATTTTGCGACAGGGAATTTCATTAGTGAGAACAGTTTCTGAGCTCTGGGCGCAGTACTACGCCTAAGATTCCAGATTAAAACTGCAGAGTGGAAGGAAAAGAGGACCTTTTTCTGCCTCCCCACCTTCAGCTACTCTCTGAAGACTAGAGAAGAGACCCTCTTAAGAATATTAGGGGGCTGGGCAAGACTAGACCATGTGAAAAATGAACATAATATTTTAGCTGCAGTTCATTCATTTTCAGCTTTGTATTCTTGTTATAAAGAATCACACCTAGACATTCCATTGTTGCGCCCATAACCTATACTTAAGGTGCCGTTTAGCCCCTAGCTTTCATATCTCTGTTTCTAACACTGGCTGAATGTGTGAATTCTCATAAAGTTATTAATCTGTTCATGTGTAATGTTTATTACTACCATAGATCATTAGCAAGTTAACTCCCTTTCCACCTTAGAAGATGTCAGGGGCAAGCTTCTACTTAACAAGTTCTGCAGATTATTCATGGTGACCCGGACACTTTTGGAACTCCCCAACCATTTGTTTTTTTAAAAAGCACAGGTAATTTATTATAGTTAAGATTTTTATTGGCCTAACAATTAAAGACTCTGGGGTTGTGTCACCAGAAATGTTAAGGATGGCTGAAAGTATCGCTTTTATTATATTTGTGACCGTATTATCAATGGTTCTATTGTAAGCTACCAAGAATTTGCCTGAAACTGGACAAACACTTATTTTCCAAAGTTAGGACCACATGTGATACCTCTCAAACTCGTTATTTTCTCTAGTCTCCACCACTCTTCCAGTCAGCAAATGTGAGAAACTTCCCTACTGCCTTTGAACCAACAGCACCCATCTCAGCATAGAAGAAGTCACTCAGAGCATTTTTCTACAAATACCCAAGCCACCTGGTTCTCTGGCAAAGATGCCTATCAGCACACAAATTACTGCCCCAATTTCTTCCTGAATATTGAGAACAAACATAAGGGCTTTTGAATGTTATCCTGCTGAATTTCATAAAGTATATTCTCCAACACTGTACCACAAACATCATTGTGATGGCAAGCTTCAACGCAAATAAGCCTAGATATTATTGTGAACTTTTAGAACCATTTTGGTTGAAACGTATACAAATATTGTAAAAGAAGTTTTTAAAATAAAACTTACAACATAAGCCCTCCCTCTCTCAAGGAGAAAAGGAAGCAGATGTTCTTTCTCTAAACTTTGGAGCAGCAGAAGTAGTCTGGCTACTCTGCTATCCCCAAACTTGAGATTAGCCTTCCCACAATAAGCATTTATGAACATTGCAGTATGGACTTAGGGGCATTGCTGTTGAACTACCATGTAATCTCTCCCAGTACTCGATCAGTATCAACTCTCCTGGGATTTATGCCCATTAGTTAGAGTCCTGCCTTCTGGGGCACCAGAAAACAAGTACTGTACGTATTTACCCTTTTCTATCAGACAGCCTTCAGAAAGTTAAAGCATATTATCATTTCCTCTTCTCAATATTCTCTCCTCCAGGCTGAAAATATCCACTTCCTTAAACCTTTCTTATAAGGACTGTTTTCCATACCCCTATCTTTCATTGCTCTCTTTTGAACCCATTTAAATTTGCCTAGATCATTCTTAAATTAAGGCACCCAGGGTTGGTCACAATGTACCAGATGAAGGCTGACTAGTGCAGAATAAAATGGAAACTAGTATTTCTGTTGACATGGAAACTTTCTGTTGACTATTATTCTATAAATGCCCCAAACTACATCAACGTTTCTTGCAGCTGCATCATGATACTGACTAAATTTCAGTCAGAAACCAACTACATTTTCACATGCCCAATTGCTAACCCATAAAACACTTTATTGCTATACCTGTGCATCACGGGGGGGAAGGGGGAGAGAAAGTTGGCCTACATCCATAACTTTGCATTTGTTTCTGTTGAATTTCATTTTTCTTAGGTTTGGCCCAGTTTTTCATGCTATAAAGGTCATTTTGATCCTCCACTGCCCCCGCCCCCCGTCTTCTGAGATGTTTAATATTGCTCCAGAGCCCTCAAACACCCCAACTCAAAACAAGTTGCTCACAGTTCCCCTTTTGGAAGAAGACTGGAGGAGGGTGGGGAGTTCAGCAGATTCACATTTTCCTTGTCATCCATTCATCATCCTTACCGAGCTGTTGTTCTATAATTTCTCTCCTCTTCCTTTGAATATACCTTTAAAAGTTGTTTTTGTTCTTTTAGCATTCCCCCAAAGCACCAGCTTATTTCAAGCTTTAGTTTTCTTGACACCACCACTACAACTTTGGGCCACTTAGTTGTACTCACCCTTGCTTACCCTTCCTTCCACTTCTTTGTATATGTCCCTTTTATCTTCAGCTCCTTCCTAACCCCTTCTTCCAGCTACACTAGTTTCTTAACACCTCTCTCATTTCTCTTCTCCCCCCCCCTCTGGAATTGTTTGCAATTGTGCCGTTAGTGACCCCATCTTCAGGAATTCTCACCCACATTAGTCTGCTTTCCCCATTGGCATATCCAGCCATGGAATCCTACCTAGTGTTAGAAACTCAGATATATAAGCTAGGCACCAAATGGCACCTTAAACCTAGGCTATGGTTGCCACAACAGAATGTCTATTTGTCGGGGGTTTGACTAGATGACCCTTGGGGTCCCTTCCAATGCTACCATTCTATGATCTCAACTATACTACTTGACTGTAGCTTGCTCTTACTTGTCCTAGTATGCAATAAGGAGAAACACACCGTGGAAAAAGAATTAACTATATAGACTAAGGCAGAGGTTTTTAAACTGTGGTCACCAACCTGGCACCCAGAAATCTCCAAGTAGTCACAACTGGACCAGCACTAGTAGTGAAACGCACCTGGGGAATTTCGAACACTGATCCTACCTAGCATTTTCTTGAACTTATTGAAATTCGTTTTCCTATAATCCAAAGATACCCGAGGATGCTCACTTTTGGCTTTAAATAATTTCATGAAATTCTACATTACAAGGTCACTTTTCATTAACCAACTCTTCCCTATTGGTTAAGATCAAGTCAAGTATAACTGACTCCCTCATTACTAGACATTGCCTCAGTTTCTTCTGTACTGGCACTGATTAGCACATGTCCAAAAGATGCATGACATCCTACCCCACAAGTCACTAAAAGGGTAGGGTAGGACGCGCTTATACACACTCTGCTGAGGCACATAGGGGCTGGGAACGGAACCCCCACAAGAAATGGTTGTTGACTGTACCTTTAATGCTTCACTTCATGCTTACCTTCGGGTTACTGAATTGTGGCACAAGCTCAACTTACAGTATTTACCTCAAACAGGTAAATATTAGGGATCGATAATTAACCAACATAATCGCAAACTTCCAAAATGGAAGAGCCATATGTCTATTTCATTGCATGCAACTGCCCTCCTGGCAGAACTTATTCCTCTGTCCACAACATCTATTAAACACACTACTACTGTTTCAGATGACCTGTTGGTGCTTCTCTTTCTAGAGTCTGATTAGCCCTCAAGCCAGACAACTGCTACCCTTCTCCCTACCCCATTCTGGTTTACAACCAATGATTCTTAGCCATGGACACTAAGCCTGCTTCTTGTAATGTTTCTGGTACACTTTCTTGAACTGCTTTGAACATATATCTGGCACTGTTCATTTCCATCATGAGTCATACAAGAAACCATATACTGAATGCCATGTACACTTCTAGTAGCTTCATACCCAATAGCTAGAAACCATAGGTAACAAAGATAACCAACCTAGCCCCTATTATAATGAAGCCAAAGTACACATACAGGAATCGCCCCATTTACACATGATCGACTCACACACTACCATGTATACACAAAGCACCAGGAAATAAATAAACCTGGAAATGGCTGGAGAAGAGACCCTCCCCAGATCCCAAAGAGGATGTAAAGTGAGGAAGCCCCAAAAAGACTATAGGCACAGTGGGGCTTTGCTTAGGATGCTCAGCCTCTCAGTCTAACAGCTGGTATGTGCAGTAGCAGCAGCCACTTTTCTGCAAGTCCTCCAGCCGGCCCCCAAGCTTCAATTCTAGTTGTGGATATTTTTAGATACAGTATTTTTTATATGGATTGAAGAGAGCGCAGCAGAGAGGGCATTTAAAGGGTGTTCCCCATTTCCTGTTATGAGCATGGGGGCCTGGAACATAAATCCCGTGTAAGTGGGGGTGATACCTGTAACTGAATAATTCACATGTTTTTACCCTTGCTTATCCATCTCTGTTCCCTCTTTCCTCCATGTCACTGCAAGCCCCTTGGTAAAAGGATAATTGATTGATTAGAGTGGGGCAACAAGTTCCATACTGAAAAATATAAAAAGTTAGATTGCAGTTCTAAGTTCAACCAATAGTTAACTTGTTTCAGAAACAACACAACCCAAGCAACAAGTAGTATGTGAGCTACTTGTTCTGAGCCAGCAGTGACTTTCCAAGCACAAAATGGAAAGCTGCGCTTGCCAATCAAAGCAGTCTACAACTCTTTTATACTTTACTTTTGGCCTCAGCAGCACTATTTTCCAAGCAAATCATTTGCAGAGCTGCAGCTATTGGCCCAAACCAGTGTTGAATGACTTCTGACCCATCAGATATTCCTTTACAAAAGGAAAAGTAATTCCAGAGGCCTGTATGGTAACAGTTCACAAACTCTGGATTAGGATCCAGCCATTATTTGCACTAACCACCAAACTTTTCTCTGTCCCAAGTCCTCTACACTTTGGCATAGCCCTAAGGGAAGGGAGAAGAGTCAGAGCAGTATACTGTTTGATCATCCCACAACCAGTCTGACTTTAGATACAGGCAGACTCCCATTTACATGGCAGTAACATTCCGAGGCACTGCGCATATCAGTGAAATTGTGTATAATTGAAACCTATTTTAAAAGCCTGCAAACACTCATTCGGGTCTTTTAGTGACATCTTTTTGAAGCTTCCAGGTCACTTCCAGGTTCGGCAGATGAGCATATAGCCGTATACACTGTCACACACATATTGAATGGGGGGCTGCCAATATACCATCTAGAGTACAGTGGATAGGACATATTTACAAGGGCTTCTGAGAATCTAGCTAGCAAAATATTTAAAGTACTTGTTGCAGCGACCAAGTTAAATCCACAAGTGGATAGGATTAATTTGTTAATATTTCATGAGGTTTTATCAAATATCTAGAACTCAGGACCACGCAAGAACTGGAATCACAGAAACATGCATTTGTAGGCTTAGAAAGTACATTTAAGTTATAGTAGCGTCATTTTTTATGTTGAGGCAAGAATATCCACACACAAGACATTCTCAGTACATTAATTCATCCAAAGAATGGAGCACTTAGTACTTTACTTCATCAATTTACTATCACTCAAGAAGGCAAGTGATGCTACAAGGAATTGTAAAAAGGCCTGCACTGTTACCCATTCAGCCAGAGTGGCAAATGTAACAAGACCTTTTCATCAAGCCCCCACAAAGGGGAAATAAATCGTAGCATTGTTTGCACCAGGTAACTTGCCTGCTATGACTGCAGGACACGATAGGCTAGAAATCCAAACAAAAGCATGCAATATTGCAAAAGAAGAAATTGGGGAGAAATTTCATCACAACCAAGATTTTAAGGGAAATAGCTGGTATTTAAAATGCACAGTTCTTGCACAAGTTCTTTCCAAGAAATGAATGTATTTTGGATTTTAGATGAACTGCTACAGAACGTATGCACATACAAAAATGTCTTAAGTTAAGGAAAATAAATTCATACACATCATTTCTGAATTGGCAGAAGTCTTGTTACCAGTGCAGAAAAGTGCCCATTGCACAGGTGCAGTAACTTCTTGTGTAATGAAACCACAGTAATTCAGTCATGAAAGGCCCTGCAGAAAGGATGGCAGAGTGGGGTGATGGCAGAAGATCATGAAAGTAAGGGTAATTAGCATTACCATATGTGCACGGAAACCTTAATTTCCCCCTCTTTCAGTGGTATAAAGACACAATCACAGCTGTAATGGAAATAAATATTAACACCAACTGCCAAGGCCCATAAATGTAACAGCTCCAATAGAACATAGGCACACAAAATAACAATGATACCATTTACTGACACTCCTATAACTACAAATCACAATGTAAAAGTAGATAAAGAACTACAAGCAGACTGCATACTGGACAAAAGACAAAATAGAGTAAACATCAGACTGCAGAAGGGCACAGGACAGCAATCAGTTTGCATCAACACGAATACTTGGGATTCAACAACCCTTTGCAGAAAAGCTATAGAACTGGGTTGGTTAAAAAAAATAAAATACAGAAAAAGCAGCATAAGCCACAGGACATAAACAACTTGGCATGGGGACCAAAGTGTTGGACTATGGTAGCAGTATTATTGTAGTTAAAAGTTTTAACTTCTACACTTCACAATTTTCAGCATTTTTACAAAATGGTAAGTGACCCTATTTCTAAGGAGACACTTTTTTATCCCAATCTCATGATAAAGCAACCCAACCTACTTGGCGGGGGAACCATGTTATTTTCTGTTCTCTTGCCCCAAGACCTATCTAATGCACATACTGACATCCTGCTTAAACTGCGGTATTAAATTCATATACTTGAAAGTAAAGGTAAGGTAAAGGTACCCCTGCCTGTACGGGCCAGTCGTGACCGACTCTGGGGTTGCGCGCCCATCTCGCTTAAGAGGCCAGGGGCCAGCGCTGCCCAGAGACACTTCCGGGTCACGTGGCCAGCGTGACGAAGCTGCTCTGGCGAGCCTGCACCAGCGCAGCACACGGAAACGCCGTTTACCTTCCCGCTATAAAGCGGTACCTATTTATCTACTTGCACTTAAGAGTGCTTTCGAACTGCTAGGTGGGCAGGAGCTGGGACCGAACGATGGGAGCTCACCCCGCCGCGGGGATTCAAACCGCTGACCATACGATCGGCAAGTCCTAGGCGCTGAGGTTTTACCCACAGCGCCACCCGCGTCCTTGAAAGTAAGCTTCATTACATTTAAGAGCTTGCTTCCAAGTATATTTTGGATCCACGTGTTAATTAGGCAAGCAGAGTCCCACTGACCTCAACTGGACTTGGAACTGTAAGCATGCAAGCTGAGAATACATTGAAAATAATAAAAGACAAAATATTTGAATAGTTAAAACTCACATGCAAGTTCTCTCTCAGGTATGCTTTTCTTAATAAAAAGAAAAAAATTTAAAAATACACTGAATTTTCATAGACACGTACTTCCTGCTGAAACATGACAATTTACCAGCTTGACAAACAAGAGTTCTAAAGACATAATAATACAAATGAGAACAAAACTGCAAGTATTCCCTGTAAAAGTTGTATATACTAGGTTTACAGCAAAAATATCAAGGTTTTCAACTATCTTTGAAAGTCAATATAAGAGAACAAATATTCAAGACATGATACTTGAAACACAGCCATTTCAATAATAGCTTTTAAAATGTCACTTTAGAAAACCTTTTCACTAAAGTGTTACCAGATGTCTTAAATGACTTTTGTCCTACCTAGTCAATAAACGACCTGTTACTCTTCAGAAACTGTTATGAAACCTGCTACCATCCCACAAAAGAGTGCATATTCTTGACTATTGTCACAGATAGCTATTTCTTACTCCAGATACTAGCATTTATAATATTGATCTTGTAACAATTCCAGCATTTTGAAACAACTATGAGTCGTGATAATATAGGATTCTCTTATTTCCCCAAGGAAATGTATCCCATCTTTCCATTTCACAATGAAGTACTCAAAGCAGATAAAGGTGACATTGTAATGTGAATATATCATAATGTTTATGATTATGTTCTAACAAGCAAAGAATTTAGTTGTTTTCCCATGACTGGTCCTCTAAGATGCTGGCCTTCTGTAATAGGAAAACATGATTAGAAGGGTAAATTCAGAGAGACATTGAACAGGCTGCAAGTGAAGCAAAGACAAAGCGTAACACAGAAGATATTTGTATGTTTCTGCCTTAAAACCTATTTATGAAAAGCATGGGGGGGGAAACCAAGTAAGTTTAAAAGATGAAGGAACTTATTGCAATCTTTTAAGTATGCTTTTATAGTACAGCCAAAACATTATTTGGAAGAAACATCAATTGATTTTAAATTGATATACATCCAAAGAAGTATTTGTAGCACTTTAAGTTGGAAGAAAGTCTCAATTCAAAATCAATGGCATTTGCTTCCAAGTAAAAATGTTTAGGGTAAGTGTGAGTAATTTTTTCAATCAACACATGAAAAAATTATCTTGCAACTTATTCCACATTATAGTAATATAATTTTGTTCAAAACAATTCATAAATTTCAGTTATATGTCACCTTTAGCTCCAAATGTGATGGAAAATATTTTTTCATATTCTAATACCTAGTTGAACCTAATTTTCAAAATAATGTTCTTAACCACTTTAGGAGATTTCAAAGAGCAGAATGAGAAAGCATTTCACAAATAACTTCAGAAATTATTAAAGCTGATTGCTGCTATTAGTAATTGATATTCAGTGATTCCTTTTTTTTTTAAAGGACTGTGTAATGTTTATGGATTTTGTGTTTTTTTAATCTATCTCCTTTCTTGTAAACCACCCTGTGCCTTTTGTGCAAATCAACCAAATAAAATCTGCATTTTCTAAGTTTTATCCACAATTTCCTCAAGTGATGTACATATTATTAAAACTCTTAAGTCCAGAACACACTTAAAACCCATTCTTCCAAACATTTTATAAATGATAAAAGCTAAATACAACATAATTAGAAGACATTTGCAAGCATGAGTTGCAGCACAATTCATACAAAAACCTGATGAACTTAAATGATATTGGGGCCATGTCTTCACACAGCAGATAGTGACAACTGTATTGAACCACCCCCCCACTTTGAAGTCTGTGTTGAAGTCCATTCAAATATTATTTGTATCAATATCGTATGTTAAATATACGGGGCAAAATTAGGATGCTGAAAGAACAGCACACTACTGCATGTCTTTTAAGACTGCAATCCTAAGCAGTTACCTGGGAGTAGGTGCCACTGAACTCAGTAAGGCTTGCTTCTAAGAAAGCATGCATAGGACTGTTGTGCGAGTCAAGTTTGAGGTGTCTTGAAAATCCTTTGTTGTTGTTTAGTCATGTCCGACTCTTCATGACCCCTTGGATTCTTTACTGCATATGTCACCCAATCCTCTGCATGCTTATTCAGAAGTCCCACTGAATTCAATGGGGCTTAAGTCACAATTGTATATAGATTTGTAACTCTCCAGTCCCTTATCTATGTACATTAGGACACATTTTGTACATGGTCTGAAAATAACTACCCCAATAACATTAAAACTAAATTCATCAAGTAAATTTGCTGTGACTGCACACCTCTCCATTAAAATCAATGGGAGCCCAGACGCTAATTATATCAAGGTAAAATTGCAGCCTAAAAATGCTTAAGCATCTCACAAAGCAAGCCTGTGTTCAAAAAGGCACTACGTCGATTATTCATACAAGATATCTAGGAGATACGTTCCCGAGTTTGGAAAAAAAAGGTCTTTTAAAAAAAGACAAACAAGATAATGTGAATTATAACGCATATTTTGCACAGTAACTAAAATGTAAGGGGTTATAAACCACCAGGACTACACAAAGAACCAGAATATAACCTTCTGGAACCTAACGGAGAAAGGGTGTTGAATTCTGAGGGCTTATCCGGCAACACGACGGCCTTACTGGAAACCAGGAGTGCAGCCATGACACAGCCCACCTGCGCCCATGACAATAATGTTTACAAGGAATGCGAATGCGCTGGGCCTGGCGGTTTGAGACCGGAATTAGAAAGAAAGAGCTTGAGCAGGGCCTTATTTCCTGGCGTAGCCCAGGCCTACACGATTCCAATCACTCCACCTCAGTAATGGCGTTTGGCGTGAAGTGAAACGAGACTCAAAAGGAACTAAACGCCGGGCGAAGCTGTGCCGGGAGCCCCTTCCCTCCGCCGTGCCTCCTTCGCCCCGTTCCCCCGGCTACTTGAGAAAGGGGGTCAGGCGAGAAGCCGGCCAGCTCTGCGGGGCCGTGTTTCCCCCTCCCAGGGACTGCGGATACCGGGCGTGCGCGCCCCATTCTCCCGCAAGGCCCAGGACAGGCCGGGCAGAGAGAATGAGTCGTCAGCCATTTTCCCTTCTCACTCCAAAACACACCGACACACGCACGGGCAGGCATTTCCCAACCCCCCAAGACACGCTGACACACACGGCGAGGCGCCCCCACCCCGCCGGTTCAGCCCCCTTGTTTTCCCCACAGCGTGGCCCCCCTTCCTCCCAGCCCCCCACCCCGCCGCCGGCCATGGCAGCCCCAGCGCCTTCCCCAGCTCGCTCACCCCCACACAGCGTCCCCTGTTTCCGCTGCTGCTCCTCGCGCTAGTGCCGAGGCCCGCTCCGCTCCCGGGCGCCGCCGCCGCCGCTGGCTCTGCTGGCGATGAGAGGAGGAGGAGGAGGAGGCTGCAGCGGGTGTGGCTGAAGAGTTTCTCATCCCAGGCGGCTGCAGCCGCAGCAACCAGCGGGGCTGTGTCTCATGCCGGGCAGGAGTCGAGTCGCTGCCGTTACTACTGCTCCCAGGGAGCCGCCCGACACGCCGCGAACTGGGCCGAGTCTCCTTTCCCTTCCCTTTTAGTTTTGCGTCACCAGCTGTTCGGTGGGGCCGCCGCTTCCCGGCGACGGCCGCAGTGCTGGGCGCCCAGAGGCAAGGCCCGAGCCCGCTGCGCTCTGCCTCGGCCAGGAAGCTCGGGCTGGGCTGGGCCTGCGGGGCTCCGTCGCTCCCAGTCCGAAGGAGCCGATATGCGCCTAGTGCCTCGGAGGAGGGCAGGGGAGCAGGAGGAGCGGGGAGGGGGCGACGAGACGGGGCTCCTCTCTTCGGCGAGGCAACGGAGGAGAGCCCGGCTGCGGAAGAGGAGGGGACGGAGAGCAGCGGCGACGCGAGGCACAGGCGCGGCGGAGACGGTGTGTCTGTGTCCCGGGCAATATGGCGGCTCTAGCAGGGTTCGGCCAGCAGCGGCGGCGGCGCAGACTCCGACTCAACGCAGCGGCGCCGGCCCCGCCACCCAAACAGCGTCCGCGGCGGCGAGCGTGACCCCCCTCCCTTTCCTGCGTGTCAGGCAGTCCGTCACTCCCACTTGCCCCCCTTCCGTGTTCCCGAGGCTGAGCAGGCACCAGTTTAAGCCTTGCCTTGTATGGGCGGAGAGCAGCGAGGACGGGGGTCGCTGCTGCTGAGGGGGCGATGTGTGTGAGGGGGGGCTTTCTCCCTGGTGTGGGGGGGGAGGGGGCGGAGCGGCGCCCGCGTCGGTGAGGGACGGGCGACGACGGCGGCCGAGCGGGGCCTGCCTTAAGCTGGGCCAGGCCGCGCTCACTGAGGCGGGGGCAGCTAGCACGGTCGTTTCATTTCGGTTGGGCTCGGTTTTGGCTCCATTGTGACCCGCGGTGCGAAGAGCGCCGCCGCGGAGAGCCCGGATAATGACGTCACCTTTTCGTGCTTGGAGGGGGGGAAGAAACAGAATTGACCCTCCCCTTCCTCTCCCCTCCCCTTCCCCTCCGTCCCAGGGGCCAGCCAAAGGCTGACGCGTGGGTGGGGCGGCAAGAGAAAGAGGGAGGAAGAAAAAGAAAAGAAGCTCCGGCCGGGCTGCTGAAGAGAGGGGGAAACGGGATTCAGTTACAGCGGCTGCAAACCTGGGGAAACTGAGCAAGAGCCCTTCAAAGGCCTCGAGGCGTTATCGGCTGGAGCGTCCTCTCAGTGCGCGGGCTGGATAGACAGGCGTTGCGCATCATCATCATCATCACCGCCAGAGGAAATTATTCTGCACATCTCCGTCGTCTGGACAAAACCACCGGAAGCAGCTCTGAAGAGAGCAGAAGTAGTGCTGGGTGTAAAAGAGCCGAGAGGAGTGGTGTTTCTGTGTTCTGCCAGATTGAGAGGACTCGTCCCTCTTTGTTACTATTATTTTAAAATAATAATAAGCAGTGGGACGTCTGCCTCATCTTGGCAAGATGCATAAATGTCTCCAGACTACATTTGTACTCAGCACTTTTAAATTTCACAGACTCCTTACGTTCTTAGACCTGGGAAAAATATTTTACATATAGTGGCTCACGTTTCATTGCTAACATTACTGTTTTGGCTTTACCTCACACCCATTGCGCTTTCTGTCATCTTTTTATTCTGTAGCTTATGATGTTATTTTGTTATCTTCCTGGACATGAGTTGGAATTAAAAACATCTTGCTAGTTGGAATGCACGTGCAGGGATTCCATTCAGTCATTTTATTTAATATTCAAGTAAACAGGAGCTGGAATAACTTTTTCAAACTAATACCTAAACCATAGTCAGATGTGACTGCAAGCAAGAAGTGTCTGCTAAGAATTGCACTTGGAGTCCGTACTCACCTGTGTCTGCTGGAGGGTAGATTCCCACCAGCAGGAATACCTTATAGTGTTTCCCTATCTGTTCAATATGGTGATCAAGTGTTCTCTGTTTTTCAACTGCTCGCTGAACTGTTCTACACATGCACCCTGAGTTCTACCCTCATTTCTGTCATTAGTTTGCATGCTTTCTTCATAGTTTTTGAAACAATTAGATAGCTGCTCTCTTTTATACCTCTGGCACCTGGTTGCAGAAAAAAGATAGTTTTTGGCATGAACTGAATAGAAACATAATATTATGGTGCAATACAGCCTAGACACCACTATACCATAAAATCTAAACTGCCTCCCCACAGACCCTTAGAACATTTTCATAGTTCTAGTTTTCTGCTAGTAAACTGGATTCTAAATCTAGAGGACACCTGCAAATGGAAACATTTACACCATTTGATCATATATATATATATATATATATATATATATATATATAGCAGTGTGACGCGGGTGGCGCTGTGGGTTAAACCACAGAGCCTAGGACTTGCTGATCAGAAGGTCGGACCGCTCCGGCGGGAAGGTAAACTGCGTTTCCGTGCTCTGCTCTGGTTCACCAGAAGTGGTTTAGTCATGCTGGCCACATGACCCGGAAGCTGTATGCCGGCTCCCTCGGCCAGTAAAGCGAGATGAGCGCTGCAACCCGAAAGTCGGTGACGACAGGACCTAATGGTCAGGGGTCCCTTTAACCTTATATATAGCTCAAAATCTTGTTTAGATGTCTTCCCTCTCCTCCCACTTAAGGATTTGTTTTGCAACAAAAGATTGGCAGTAGAAGGTTCATGACTTAGAGCAGGACAGGTGAGGGCAATGAGGACAGGCCTGGAGAACCTGTAGCCCTCCAAATGTCATTGGACTCCCAACTTACATCCCTAACTGTTGGCCATGATAGCTAGGGCTGATGGGAGTTGCAGTGCAACAACATCTGGAAGCCTACAGGTTCCACACTGGCTCTAATTAAGGATTTTGCTATACAGTATATAATCATTTTTTAATTGGTCACAATACAGCACTAATTCAGGATTATTTAATTTCATTGAAATTAGTGAGCAAAAGCATTATGAATTGTGTTAGGCCATGGCCTTTGCGATTTTTATAGCATCCTATGTGAAATAGCTTTGTTGCTTTATTTCCCCACTTTCATGAGTTTTAATACCTGGCGAGGGCTGAACTGGCGCAGTGGGTTCTGTTGACCCTGGGCAGCAAAAAAAGAACGCAATGCCACTGCCAGCAGCCACAGCACCACTAGCTAGGCTGGTGTAATTATGTCATAAAATAGTCACAACCCTACACTCCCAGCAGCAAAGTAGAAAGAAAAACAATACCAAAAGAAATGAGATAAAGTAGCAGCATTAACAGGCATTCCCACAGCCTCCACAAGTCCACCATCACCCACCATCACTGATGACCACCAAATAGTATCTACGCACAGAAGACACCAAACACATTGGTGTCATGGATGCCATGATGATGTGTTGTTACAGCATCCATTATGCATCTCCTCCAGTGCATGATGAATGAACACACTGAGAAGAACTGCTCATTCAGGAGCCTCCATGGCTCATTGTTTGGAGGACAGCTGTTAACACAGCCACAAGCTCCAGTTTTTCACTTAGGGACTTGAATCCCGTCAAAAAAGTCAGTAGCAGCCTTCAAGTACCCCTTTTGACGGGAAAAGTCAGGGCAATGGGTGCTATTCTCGTAGTAGTCATAGTATTAGTAATTAATTAATTAATAAGAAATAGAGCAACGATTCCTATAGTCCAGAGGACAGAAGTACAACACATTGAACCTGTAGGCAACAGGCCTTCTCCTAAAGGGCTCAGACCCCACAGCAGGGAAGATGATTCTGCACTCAATGTATTTGTGTTGGTGTCTGTAAAGTAGGGTTGCCATATTTCAAAAAGTGAAAATCCGGACACAAAAGTTGGGTTCTCACATGTCTGGATTTTCTCGCACATTTCAGTTGGTACACATAAACAAGGAAGAATGCACTACAGTAGCAAGCTTACAGTAGAGAATACTTGCTAGTAGCTCTGTGAGAAGGCGCAATGCAATTGGAAGCAAGAGGATGGTTTGATTCAAACTCATGAAAAATGTAAATGTGATCTCCACAAGGCCAAATGTATCTTTTGAGTGACTTGCTGGCAATCACATGGGAAAAAGCAGAAGCAATAGGAATAGAACCTGGCTTCCTTCCAGAAAAAGAGACTCTTAACTACACAGTTGCAAGCACAGAAGATGTTCCTTATGGGGTTTCTGTGCATTGTGGTCCTTTTACCAAAGTTCCATCTTGTAGGTTCTTAATTTGATAAATACAGATACAGAATAATGTAGCCTCATGCTATGTGGTCTTGTCCCATGAGCTATGTTCCCTTGCTGGGCCTTCTATACCCTTGTTAGGATTGGCCAAAGTTAGTCAGAATCCTATCTTCTTATGTGGCTGAGGGGGGAGATCTCCAGATGTAGCATACTGCTAGTACAGAAGCATTGCTACACCCTGTGTAAAATGACTATGCCAGATTAACTCTTTTGCCAGCAAAAGGAGATTTATAAACAACCCTCTCCTTGTCCAGTGGGAGTAATTGGTTATGATCCTGCTGTAATTTACTTGAATAGGTTTAAGAGGTTAAATGCCACACACTCCAGGGCAAAACACTTTTCACTAAACACTTTCATGAGAATACTTAACAGGCCTCAAACCTTCCACCCGGTACACTCAATGAGCATGTTCCAACTATAGTTAAAAACACAAATCCAAGGAACGTAGTAGCTCTGTGTTTGCATTGGGTTATTTTTTATTGTTTTGAATCATAGGTAGAGTTTAGCAAAATGCTTTTTTTAACCGCCTGCCTGACACTTCTTACCTGTTTGGTCCAAGCTTCATTTTTTAGTCATACCAACATAGTTCTCATTTTGACGTTTTATATTTTTACTTTACATAAAGAGCAAAGCCAAACCAAATGTAAGTAAAAATTGCAGATGCAAGATAATGGTTGAGGCCTCACATTCAGCTAGCAGCAATTTTTTGTCCCTGAAGAATATGATTTACAAAAGGTTCTTTCATGATGATTATACAATGCTGCCTGCTGTCCAGTGTGATCCAGAGTAAATACAATGCATCTCATTCTAATCTGAAATGCATTTTCCCCCGTTACAATAATTGTGCATAGGAGGCACACCATGTGTGCTGGCAGATCCCTAGTACCAAATTGTCATGTAATTTGCCACTCAGTAACTAGTCAAGCTGTGGAATCTAGAGGACCTTGGAACAAATATTTTATATTAGTGTCTGACAAACTCAGAATCTCCCTAATAATATGACGTGATGTCAGAGGCAAAAAGTATGGAATGCTGACCAGATGTTTGCTGCTTCTGACCCAAATTCAGAAAGAGCAAATACACACGAGTTGACAAAGATCAAGTAAGGAACTCCTGCAGAGGCTGACATTCTGTGCTCATCCACATTGTCGTTTAATGTGGATAATAAGCTTCCTGCACCTCCACTAATTCTCTGTTGTCCATATGATGTTCTCTTCCAAACCACCCTCTTCCCACACTATCCTCTCCCACAGTCAGGATTTTCTCATATGAGGGATACTGCAAAAAGGAGAGGAAATGAAAATATCTGGACAGAGGAGGGGGAAAGTGTGGGAAGGGAGTTATTTGGTGGAGATCATCAGATTGATAATAATGGAAAATTAATGAAGGTACAAGACACTGCAGATTAAATGATAGTATCCATACTGTGGGTAATGCTGAACAAAGTTAAAACACAAAGACACTTTGTTTCAGTGATGGAGATGATTAACCGCTAAAACAGACTGTCCAGGGAAGTTTGTGAATTTACCATCGCATGACACCTTCAGCTCATGATTGCAAGACACCTGAATAAATTCGCTTTTGTCAGTCATCAAATTTTTGTTTCAGGTGAATCAAGCACCTTTTAATCCATCTTGATCCCTCTTGCTGATACTTAGCCTACACTAAATATTGTTGTGGAATTAGCAGTGCCTGCTTGTTTCCTCCTGTTGCATTCTTATAATGTCTTCCTCCGTTTATATACTGTAAATAAACAGATGTCTGCAAAGTCACCCTCGGTCCTCACTCCTCCCAAAGGAAGTGCCAAACCTAAACAAAACTTTCCACTTTGCAATATAAATGAAGTATGAAGAGCTATCAGATGAGCTTGTGTTTTAAACATATTGTTACAAATTTGTGGGTGGCTGCAGACTCCCCATAATGCTAGATGTATTAAAGAGGTAGAATTTAGCTGATTTTGGGAGTATTAAAGGAAGATTTCAGGCCAGGGAAAAATAGAGGCTGAACCTGTTCTCCTGTTCAGGAGATCGCACAAGGAGAACTAAGGAGAACTAAGTTCTGGGCTATTAACACCAATTTGACCATGCAGATACTGTCCTTTCCCTGGCTGAGAACTGGACAGAACAGAAGAAGTGAAGGGGGAGGTTTTCAGGGTAACAGGGGGCATGATGTCACTACAGAAGTTTAAAACAGAGGTTTGGGAGCAGGGGTTTCTGGGAAAAGGAGCAAGAAGTGGGCAGAACTCCATGCGGGGACTGAAGGGCAGCAGAAATGCTGGCTGGCTATAGCAGACTACTACAGAGAGACATGGGGATGGCACTTAGGATGCCTCAGCATGCAATGCTGCACTGCTGAGAAGGACAAGCCCCTCTTGGGATGTAAATCCTATGAATTATTTCTCCAACAAAACCTAGGTTGTAAATATGTGTAAAATAAACCATATTTCTCAAAAACACTGGTCTCTGCTGTGCCTTATTTCCCCCAAGGAAACACAAACTCTGAT